TTTCCAGACAAGGCGGCTTCGAGCGTCGTGGCTGCAGGATCTCAGCCCACGCTCTTGCTCCTTCTTTCTGCGCACACACTCATTTTTATCATCCAGAACAATAGCTTCCGTACCAGCACATCCATTCATCTTGCAATCGCGTCGTGTCATTTTCCAACCAGCGAGCGAGTGTGCATGCATTGAGGCAGGTAGACATGAGAGGCGGTGTATAAGCAAAAAAAGAACAAGGTCAAGTCTAGTGGTACATGAGCTGGAAAAGTCGTCGTTTTACGCAGTGTGTTTTGGCGAGACGCCGAGACCGCGTCGCGCAAGCAGGTCACGCACATCGCCCAAACCCTCGAGGCTGCCCTGTGCGACCACAGTGGCCTGACCCGACCCGCGCGGCGCCTTGCCTGTGCCGACGGCCATCTTCTGCGGCCTAAGAACGCGCGTGGCGACCCTGTTGAGCGTCTTGAGATCGACCTGGTCGATCTTTTCGCACATCTCCTCCACCGAGACCTTTTTGCCGTGCGCCTGGATCTGCCTGCCCAGATCCTCGACCTCGACGAGCCTTGATTCGAGCGCCATGACGAGCGAGCTCTTGAGCTGGTTCTTGGCGCGGTTGAGCTCGGTCTGCGTGACGGAGCCCTGGTAGATGGAGCTGGTGCACAGCTCGAGCTCGCGCGCAATCACGTGCACGATGCTCGAGTTGAAGCTCGGATGCACCGACGCCGAGATACCGAACAGCCCCGAGTCCGAGTAGCAGTGGTGGAACGCCGCACAGTAGTCGACGCTGTGGTGCTGGTTGAGCACGTTGGTGTACAGGCGCGAGTACATGCCCTTGCCCGGACCACCGGCACTGAAACTGCCGCCGCCGCCCAGCAGGATCTGCAGCGTGGCGAGTGCGTAGATGTCGTCATCGTGGATGCTGAGGCCTTCAAAGGCAACGTACACGTGCGTGAATTCGAGATCCGACTGAGGGATGTACAGCTCACCACCCGTGTACTGCGAGGGCGTGGCGACGAGGTCGGCGAGCTCGGTAGCCGTGGGCGTGGCCGAGGATGACGAAGACGTCGAAAAGCTGGAGGATGAGCGGGAGAAGAGCGACGAGAGCGACGAGGAGCGCGACGACGACGATGAAGCCGGCGAGCTCGAGAGCGACGATGCTGGGGAGCTGGCGCGCGAAACATCCGAGATGGGCTTGAGGCCGCCAAAGAGCTTCTCTGAAAGCTCGACGAGCTGCTCGTGTGGCATGCCGGAACCAGCGACGACGATGCGCTCGGGCCTGTACCAAGTGGACATGAAGTTGCGCAGATTGTCGGCGGTCATCTGCTCGAGGCTCTCGATGGGGCAGAGCAGCGGGTTGCCGAGAGTGTTGCCTTGGTAAGCGGCTGTGTGCAGTAGCTCGGGAAGGATCATCTCTGGCTTGGACCAGATCTCTTGAATCTCGTAGGCGGCGGCTTCGCGCTGCATGTCGAGCTCATCGGGGCTGAGGAGCGGGTTGAGGATGGTGTCTGCGAGGATGGAGAGGACGGCGGGGACGTCCTTGTTGAAGACGCTCGACTGGTACATGATGGTCTCGCGGGAGGAGGAGCACATGACGTTGCCTCCGAGCGCCTCGATCTCGGACGTCATCTGCTGCGACGAGCGATTTGTGGTGGACTTGAAGGCGAGGCGGTCCAGGAGGTGCGACGAGCCCGATTCGCCCGCCACCCACGGGCGTTCGTAGCGCGAACCAGCATCAATGTAGACGCCGACGGCGCTGAAATGGCCGAGTGTGGCTTCTGTGGCGACGCGGACGCGATTTGGGAGTGTGGTGACATTGATGAGTGCGGACGAGGGCAGTGGCGATTGGTAGGCTGATGGGGCGGAGGATGCTGTGAATGTTTTTGCAGACGGCGCCGAGACGGAGGCGGTCGACGAGATCGAGCGCGCCAAAGCGCTGTTGCGAGAGATCTGTGATAGACGTGATGCAGAGAGTGCTGATGGCGCACCGGCCACCGAAGATGAAGAGGCGAGGACAGACGACGAGTCTGGCTTGGCCGCAGCTCGAACCGGTCTGGAAGCGTGCGACGAAGGTACGGAGGCCGTCGCCACGGAACGTGCCTGGCTTGCGGTCGATCTTGCGAACGCTCTGGCGACCATGCTGGACGATGATGGGGTCGGCAGCCTCATCTTGACTCGTATGTAGTGGGTGATGGGAACGCGATAGGTTGTTGGAAGTGAGTGCACAGGCGCGATTGGTTCCGTCCGATTGTCCGTAGGAGGTACGTGATCGAAGAATCCAAAGGAAGTGCCGTGCACGACAGGCTCGAGCTGATCCGGCAAGATGAAGAAAAGAGAAAGACGGCTGGGAGAAGAAGGATGTGGGAGCGAGAAACCAAAGATTCGGAGTGGAGATGAGACGGCGTTCAAAGCGAGCCTGGCTGGCAAAAATCCGGCGTCTGTGACTCTGCGGGACGTCGGGTGGAGCCGAACTGCGCCTTGAATCCGGTTGGCTGACTGCGCCTCGGCATCCCGAGATCGGGCGAGTGTCGCCAGCCGATGTGTTTCGATGGATCGATTCGGTTGTTCCTGAAGATGTGAGATTTGGAAAATTGCACAAGCCAAAGCCAAAATAAGATTCCGCTTTGCTGGTTGCAACGCGCCGAGTGAGCCGAAGAGTGACGAGGTGGAGGCGGGCGGCGCGCGCTTGCGGCTCTGTCTCCGCAGGGCGCTGGACTTTCAAGCCTCGCTTCGGCTGGTTGGGTTTGGGACAGATTTGGAGCTCCGCACGAGCGCTTGGCTTGCCCTCGCACCATGAGCGGTTGCGTGCTCGCTGCACCGCAACGCCAGGACGTCTTTGCCAAGCTCTCCCGAATGCAATCGCTGGCATGCCTTTGCCTCGCAGTGGAGAGGACACACGCACACGGCTTCAGACATGGCGACATGCTGGAACGGATGCGTGGAGAGATTGTGGGCTGGACAAGCACACACTGTCTGAAGAAGGTCGGTGCAGGATGTGCCGCGCTTCGTGTGCAGCAAGGCTTCGGCTGAATGCAAGCAGATGCTTGTCTCAAATATTGACGTTGGAGGTGCTTCTGCCCGCCGCGGGGCTGACTAATTTTACACCTTCGGCTTCGACTGGCTTCTGTTTCGGCGAGCCCAGGAACGTGTTGCGGACACTGACCTTTCGATCTGAGCCGGCGCACGCACGCCATCAAGAACCCCACATTTCGGCAAGGACAGCGGGAAGACCGAGGAAGAAGCCACTAGGCTTTCAGATTCGGCTTGGCTTCCGACATGGCTTTGGCCTAAGAACGAGCGTCGAAGCGAAAGACACGGCTCCGACGGATGATGGTTGTGGTGCGAACGGTTGTGGGTTTTAGCGACGACGGCTACACGCTGCTTTCTTTGGCTAGCTTCGGCTTGGGATTATGCGAAGGCGCTTGTACCATCGTCGTCTCGGCTTAACGGCATAGCAGCATGGCGGGGCCGAGTTTCCATTTGGTGTGCTAATCATCCGTTGGTCCCCACCAGCGTGTCGGCAGAAGTCAGGATGAGATTTGTTTGGCAGGCCAAACAAATGTCGAATCGAGCGGCGAGAGACTGTCTCGGCCTCCTTTGCCTTTGATGGGCGTGGCCGAGAGGAGCTGCTGCGCATACTGTAGCAGCCGTGTGCGACGGGCAAATGCAGTTCTGGCCAGCCTCCCGATCCGGAGCACATCTGGCTATTTGCAGCGACGGTCGGGAGTCGAAGCGGCTGGCAGACATGCGTTGCACCTCGTGCGCGTGCGTGCATGAATTCCAACGGCGCAGTGATGCGGCTTGATGGCCCCACCCACCCCCTGACCTGAATTCGATGCCAGACCTTCCCGACTGGCGTGCTACAGTGACGCTGCAGACGTGGGCTTTAGACGCTTGAACTGCGTACAAAGCGCCAAGCATCAGCAGTCATGGAACAGTTGTGCTCGACACTTGACTGGCGCAGGTGGAAGCACCTGCTAGATTTGGGAGGTGTCGACTCCACGTCGCGATTCGGTTTGGTGGACACTCGGCCCGGCCAACCTGGCTCTGCAAACAAATCTCTGAAAATTCGCTAAATTTGATGGATTTCCCCTTTTTGTTTTCGAGGCGGCTGGGCAGAGGCAGGAGCCCAGCCGCTGTGGCAGCAGCTCTTGCAGGAACGACGCGATCCGACTTAAGGTTTTCTCTGCCTCTGACGATGCAGCCGACACTCTGGGTCTGTGCTGAAGCCAAAGCTGGCTGGCTGGCTGGCTGGCTGGCTGGCGAGCCGCGTGAGAGCGCGATCCGCCAGCGTCTCGTACGATTTTCATCTCCACTTGGCACGCTGGGGGTGGCATGGCAGCGCGTCTGCTCAGGATGGCTTCGGCTCGGATGGCGCTGAGTCGCTGCTGCGAGTCTTAGTCACGGCCATGCGCGGCCGATTTGACGTCGGATTCCGTGCGCTCAAAGTCGCCTGCCTGCGTCTGCACCGAAATCAGCCGGTCCGCATGGCGCCACGCCTCGTCCGGTGGCTTTCAGCCTGTGCATCGGCGCTCGCCTTTGGCTCCCAACCCACTCTGGCTCCCGCTCCTTCGCATTCGATTGCGCATCCGCAGCAAAGCATCCTCCCACACCCACACCCACCTTCTTTGCGCCCCTCTTTTTCTCACCCACCATCCAACGTTGCCGTCCGCACGCCTCTCCCTTCGTGCGCCATCTTTACTTCACCTTTGCTCACGCCACCACCCTATTGCAACCATACCACCACCTCGGTCTGCAATACCGCCAAGCCTGCCCACGCACCGCTTAGCACTCTGGCATCCCCTCCTTACGGCTTCGAAAGTCGTTCCAAGCCGCTCCTGTGACAACCCGCTCATCTCTGCGCACTCGATTGCAATCCACCTCACCTGCATCCCATTTCCATCCGCCTCGCTCGTACACGCACCGCGAGGCTGATAACCCGGGCAATCGCGATTCGAAGCAACTTCTCTCTCCGTCTCTCTCTTCCATCGCACTGCTCATTTGACTGCTCCCGGCACAGCACGTAAGCCGACCCGCTCGTCGCCTCGGGTTCGTTCTCGCTCCCGCCAATATCCGCCCGTCCCCTCCGACCGCAGCCATGACGACCCAACACCATCCATCTTCCTTCAGCCCGGGCGGCGTGCAAACCGACTTTGGTCCCGTTCGCACCAACAACTCCAAAGCCGAAGACAGGGACAAGAAAGGTCCCATCGCCGCGCCTGTAAAGAGCGCCTGCACCTTTTGCCGTTCCAGAAAGTCGCGTTGCGATGGCAGCAAGCCTTGCTCCGCTTGCGTCGGCAGAGGCCGTCCGGACGAGTGCCTTTACACCGTCTCGCGCCGTGGCGGAAAACCCAAGCCCAAGGTCGACCCCACAATCGACCTCCAGAACCACCTCAACAAGCTCTTTGCCATCACCGACATGCCCTACGCCTTTCGTCGTCCCGGCGGTCTCGCTGGCCCGCCTGCCTCTGACTTGGGTGTAGCCCCTCCCATGCAATCCCAGCAAATCCAGCCACATTCGGACGTCTTTGGCGTCCCCAACCAGTACCAGCCCTTCGACCCCTCGGTGTTCCAAACGCCTGCGGTGCTCCAGCCGCCTCCGGTCCAAGCCGGTATGCCTGTGCAGCAGCAGCAGCAGCAGCAGCAGCAGCAACAACATCAGCAGCACGCTCTCGCACCTGCCCACCCGGCCGCCGCCGCTTTCGCCCTCAACGACCCATTCGCTCCCATCCCAGATTACAACCCAGGCGGTTTCATGCGCTATCAGCTCCCCGACGTGCCCAGCCAGCCCTCCGTCTCGGGCGGCGTACCGGCTCACATGCAACCGCACCCGCAAGGACAGCCTCAGCACCAGCCACAGCAGCAACCCCAACAACAGCACCAACAGCAGCGGCCCACCCAAGACTTCGCTCCACCCAAAACCGCCGGCTTCAGTCCTTCCACAATGCGTCCACAGCACGCCCGATCCGTTTCGGCGACACACCAAGGCGCCCAAGCTGGCGTGCCCATCGCCGCTCAAGCTGGCAGGCGTGATCCCCTGTCCCCTCACAGCCTCGTCCCAGACGCGTCGCACCAGTCTTCGGGGCCCTCACCGCAGTCGAACGCCAGCCCCAGTACCCGGCAGCATGCTGATGAAGCCGTTGCCGCCTACCACGCCAGCTCCGTTGCCGCGCCCAGCTCGTCGGGCCAGTCCAGCACCTCCCGCAACACCTCGGTCGACAACGCCGTCGATCCGGCCAAGATGTATGCGGCGTCGTACAAGTCGCTCAACGCCGCTGCCGCAGAGGCAGGCAGCGTCAAGGCGCTCCTCACCGACTACTACCGCTACCTCTACCGCTTCATCCCCGTCCTCCCGCCGCCCAAGCACATCGACGTCCTCATCAAATACTTCAAGCCCGACTCGGCCTTCATCTACGCGCTTCAGTGCGTGCTGCCGCTGCTCCGCGACGAGATCCAGCCCATCGGCGCGCTCCACAAGCTCTCGGGTCAGGGCATCAACTTTGGCTCCGAAGAGAAGAAGGCGGCGCTGCGCGAGCGCACCCTCGCCTACGAACGCAAAGCCACACACGGCCTCGACCATCTGCTCGAGCAGGCCGACACCGACGACACTGGCGACAAGATGCTCGAGGCCGTCCAGACGCTGTGCGTGCTGGTCGTGTACGAGTACGGCAGCGGACGCGCCATCAAAGCGCGCCTCAAGGCCGACCAGGCGCTCGGCCTCGCCATGGGCCAGGGCCTGCACAAGCTCCGCCACACCACCTCGCCCAACGAGACCAAGTCGGCGCGCAGCAGCTTCGCCTACATCTCCAACGCTCATCACCCGCTCACCTCGCTGGGCGTGGATCCCAACGATATCTTTGAGATGCGCAAGCGCTGCTGGTGGTCCGTGTGGAGCTTGGTGCTCTGGGCCGCCTACAACACCGGCCGCATCCCTACCATCCGCGCCGACGATCCACGCGTCAAGAGCGAGATGCCCGTCGCCTCGGACCCTTCCGTCTGGACGTCGGACATCAGCTCGTTGCAGGCGCTGCTGCTCGTTCAGGATCGCGTGCTGGCGCTCGCACAGTACGGCCACTCGCTCGACGGCTCGGACGCCCGCTACGACCCGGCGCGTCGCGAGGTGTCCATGTCGCCGTCTTCGTCGGGCACCTCGCCCTTCTCCTTTGGCCGCCTTGGAGTCTCGCGATCGGGGTCGGTGAGCAGCGATGAAGCGCCCACCGTCTTCCACGCGCTTCCTACGCGTGCCACGCGCCAAGAAATCCTGGACAGCATGCTGGAGATCGACCAGTTCCTGCAAGAGCAGATCCGCATCCACGAATCCACGCATACGCCCGACTCGCCGCTGCCTTCCGAGGTGCCGCAGACGGGCGACCTGGCGCACGTGGAGAAGGAGCTGGAAGACTCGCTGCGCCAGGCGGCGGCGGTGCAATTATACACCTCCTCACTCACCCTGCACATCGGACAGGCGTTCCAAGGCGCATCGCTGTTCGAACGAAAGCTCTGCTTCCTCAACTCGATCAAGGACAACAAGGACGGCTCGGGCGAGACGGCAGTGTGCCGCGAGCCCATGCCTGCGTTAACCTTTGACAATGTGATGCATGCCGCGCCATTCGTCGGCACCAACGGCAATGGCAGCGGCACCGATGCCAACGACGCGAGCAGCTTGATGGCGTCGCCCGGGCCGGACGTGCAGCCGACGTCGTTGACGCAGCAGGACCTGTATGCGCGCGGACCTTTCCTTCCGAGGCTGTCGCTGCAGCGATGTGTGCATGCCAGCCGCAAGCTGCTCGACATTGCCAAGCGTCGTCACGGCCAGTCGGTGAACCCAAACCCGTTCAACTGCTGCAGCTTTGTGTTGATCAGCTTTGTGCTGCTCATGCAGGCACTCGCGGTGCACGGCGGCTTTGCGGGCGAGGGCGACGAGTCGCCGCAGGACGACGACATGTTTGGCTTCCAAGACGGCGCGTCGTCCAACGGTGGCAACGACCAGGGCCACTACGCCAACGAGAGCCTGCAGCGTCTGCTCGAGCAGTCCAACACGGACGACGACGCCATGATGGACAGCTTGGAGCCCTCGGTGGATCCTGCCAAGCAGGCACAGCTGCGCGACATCTGGGACCGTGTCCGTGAGGCGCGCGACACGCTCATCGATCTGGGCAAGCACTGGGAGGCGGTGGTGCCCATGGCCGACGAGGTCAACATGTGCCTCGAAACCTCGCAGCTGCTGCTCAGCAACGCCTACTGAACACCAGGCGTTGCCCCAGCCCTCGCATCATGACGAAGAGTTGAATCCGTTTCTCGTCCTTTTGGGTCATTGTGTGTTCTTTCCATGTCTTTGTTCGTAGGCTCATCATCTCACACTAGTGCCGGCGCGTGTCTTGCAATCGCATCTGAAACTGATCTTCTGCCGGTGATGCTGCGTTGTGTGTGGGTTCCAGCACAGTCTCGGGCTCACACTGAGAAGCACCACAAAATTGAGCAATGTTAAGCTGTGAGCAAACTTATCCGGACGAGAATTGTCGGCGCGTCGCACGTGACCAGTGTTGTTCTCTCCCGATGTTGGGCTCGATTTTGGGAGCGGGAGGGACCCCGCGACTGAGCGCGCGCGCGCTGCGGCTCCACCGGGATATTTGGCTGTATCTGCACGCTCCGCTATCCATGCGCCCGAAACCCTGCTTTTGGCAAGCCTCCCGCAGCGCTTTCTGTCGGCTCAACACCATCACACACCAGCAAGGGTCCCTCTTCCGCACGTGGACTTCTCGCCGGTCTCCTATTTGCCACAACGTTTTTCGAATTCGGACGACAACTAATGATCCTCACGATGTCGTAGGAGACTCGAGGCGCCCTTCATACTGTCCGCAACCGCTTTTCCCCTCTCGAATCGAGGCCTGGTCGGCCAAACATCACGCTTACTACGCAGCATTCAGCTCGCGACTACCTAATCAACGGGTCAGGGAACTTTGTTCACCGACATTCGCGCGAGCTCTCGGATTCTTTCCAACGAGGATCCTCTCTACAGGCAGCCATAGATTCGCCGCGTCATGGCTGATAGATTCGCGGCGCTCGCCGGCTACGATGCCGGTTCCAACTACGACTCTACGATAGAGCAGAGTCTGGCAGCCGCAACACGCGACGATCTGCCAGGACTCGAGACGGTGGCCAGCATCAACCTCGACCTTCCGCCGTCCAAGCCGCTCAACAGCACATTTGGCAAGTCCAAGAAGCCCAGCGCAGCGGCCGAGCGCGCCAGGCGCATCACTTCGGGCCCCATCGACCTCGGCACCGGCCGATCGCGCACACCGCCTCCGCACGACTCGTCCGCCAGCTCGTCCAACAAGGAGAACGCGCGTCAGCAAGAGCCTCCCTCCACGCAGCGCAAGCAGGAGCAGCGAAGGCACTACGGCGTGCGCATCGCCGAAGACGACACCTTTGATGAACTCGAAGACAGTCTCCAGCGCGGTCACCAGCAGGATGAGCTGCAGCGCATGCAGCAAGACATGTCGCAAGGCGGCGACTCGCTGCTCGCCGCGTCCCCGGCCAACGACTCGGGTCAGTGGGGCGCGCGCGCCATGCGCCGCCGTTCTGCAGCAGGCGTGTCGATGAAGTCGGCTCAGGAGAAGATCAACAACCTCACCCAGGAGCGTGACGAGCTCAAGATCGTCGTCGACCTGCTGCGCGAAAAGGTTTCGCTCGACGACAGGCTCGCCGAGCTCATAGTGCTCAAGAAGGAGAAGCTCTCGTACACCAACAAGATGATCGCGCAGCAGGCCATGCTCAAGCAGCAGGACCGTGCGATCAAGGTGCTTCAGAAGGAGCAGCAGCAGTGGAAGGGCGGCAATCCTGCTGCGTACGAGCAGCGCATCGCTGAATTGCAGGCCAAGCTCGTCGCGGCCGAGAACAAGGCCGAGGAGGAGAGGCGCGAAAAGGTGCGCCTGCAGGACGAGCTCGACTTTGTCAAGCGACGCGGCCCGCCTCCAGGAGCCCCGGGCGACGAAACCTCGGCCACGTCACTCGGCGACTCGACGCGCTTGCGGCAGCGCATCGACACGCTGCGCGACGAGCACGAGGACGAAAAGTACGAGCTGCGCAGGGAGCGCGACGAGGTGCAGGAGCAGCTCGAACGCGCCCGCGACGAGATCGACCACCTCCGCTCGGCACATCGTCGCTCGTCGTCGCCGGCCGAGACGTCGCACTACCGACGCAACATCGACGATCTCGAACAGCAGCTCACCGCGCACAAGACCGAGAACGCCAAGATGCTCGAGCGCCAGGCACAGCTCGTCGCCGACATCGAGCAGCACAAGGACGAGCTGTACGAGCTGCGCTCGTCCGAGGAGGCGCTTCAGCGCGAGCTCGACGTGGCCAACCAGCGGCTCGAGCACGCCAACATTACGCAGGAGGACGAGGCGGCACGCTTCGCCGAGGCCGAACGTCTCGCCGCAGACCGCTACCAGGACCAGATCGACAAGCTGCGCGACGAGCTCGCCTCGGCGCAGCTCCAGATCGACGGCAAGGAGGCCGAGCTCGAAAAGCTGGATGGCGAACTGCAGGACCTCACTGCCAAGGTGGCCGATCTCGATTACGAGCTGCGCCAGGCCGAGACGCTGCTCGAGGAGCAAAAGGTGCAGCTCGAGGGCGTCGAGGCCGAGGCGGACGAGCTCGACCGCCAGGTGCAGGCGTACAAGCAGGAGGCCGACGAGCTTCGCGCCGAGGCGGACGAGCTGCACAAGGAGCTCGAGTCCAAGGACGCCGATCTGGCCGAGACGAACAAGGAGATGCAGGAAATGTCCAACCGCATGTTTGGTCTCGAGGAGGAGCTCGAGGCGCGTGCCGACGAGATCAAGCAGCTCGACGAGGAGATCGCCAAGGTGGAGGATGCGCTGCAGCAGGCCAACGAGAAGCACGAGCGCCACACCGGCGTGCTCAAGGAGAAGCTCGTGCTGGCCTCGCAGGAGCTCACGGGCACCCAGGGCCAGCTCGAGGCGACGCTCGGCGAGCTCGAGGCGATGCGCGAAGAGGCCGACACATATGCACGCGAGGTGGAGCAGCTCACTGCAGAGCGTGCGCGCCTCGAAGATCTCAACGCCAAGTTGGACGCCAAGGTGTCCGACGTAGTCGAGGACCTCAAGGCTGAGGAGCGGGCGCTGGACGATGCGCATGCCGAGTGGGAGCGCAAGCTCGAGGAGGTCGAGGAGCGCATGGCGCGCGTGGTGCGGGACAAGGACGACGCGATCGTGTCGCTGGAGAACGAGTTGAACCAGATGGAGGACGACCTTGCTACGCGCAAGGCCGACGTGCAGACGCTGCAGGATGCGCTGCGCACCAAGGAGAACGAGTCGTTCCGCATCGGGCAGAGCTCGGCCAACGACAAGTACAGCCTGGAGCTCGAGATCGACCGTCTGAAGCGCGACCTTGCGCGGTGCGAGGACGACCTGGCGCGGGCGCGCAAGGAGCTCGACCGCAAGGACGACGTGCTGCGCCACAAGGAGGATGCGCTCGCCCAGATGCACTCGGAGCTGCGCGAAGCGCAAGCCAAGCTGGCCAGCGAGATGCAGGGTCACCTTGGCCTGTCGGAGCGCTTCGAGGCGCAGCAGAACGCGATCAAGGCCGAGCGCAAGGAGCTCGATGCGGCGCGTGCCAAGGTGGAGGAGCTGGAGCACGAGCTGAACAACGGCGAGCGCGCCAATTTGCGCTCCGAGCAGGCGACGCGCAGTGCGCTCGACCAGCGCAACGCGCTGCTGCTCACCATCTACACGCAGATGGGCAAGCTACTGGCATCGGCGTCGGCGGACGGCAATGCGACGCCGCGGAAGCGCGAGGCGGAGCTCAAGCCATTCACCAACTTTGACGTCTTCCACACGAGTCTGCTGGGACGACTGCGACGCGTGTTTGACACGCAGCTGGGCGTGGACCAGAAGGCCAAGGAGCTCGAGGCGAAGCTGCTGGAAAGGTACAATGCGCTCAAGCGGCAGCAGGACACGCGCTTCCGCCAGATCGACCGGTTCGAGGCGTCGATCAAGGTGGCGACGGACAAGCAGGGGCAGTGGCGGCAGCGGCTGGTGTCGAAGCAGGCGGAGCTGGATGCGGTCAAGGCGACGAATGGCGAGCTGCTGCAGCAGATCTCGTCGCTCAAGACGCGCAATACGCTCTCGACGCCCGCGGACAACACCAAGCTCACGGCGCTCACCACGCGCGCCAATACGGCGGAGCGGAGGTTGCAGACGGCACTCTCGCAGGCATCGCAGGCGGAAGAGCGTCTGGCGGAGGCCAAAGTCAAGTACGGCGAGGGCGAGGGCAAGTGGGCGGCGAGGATCAAGGAGCTCGAGCTGCGTTGCAAGGCGGCCGAGGAGCGTGTCAAGCGCGAGCGGCAGGGCGCCAAGGAGAGGGTGGCCGAGCTCGAGGAGATCCGACGCAAGCTCGAACGCGATCTGGACGCCGCCACCAAACGCAACCGCCTCGTGGGCGATCTGCAGGCCAACGTGCGCAACATCAGCTAGCGCACAGCGCACCTTGTTTTTGTATTGCCCTGCTTCTAACACTCGCTTTTGCTCAACGCTACGGAAGCTCCAAAGGTCGGACATATCGGTGTAATTGTATCATACTCGATCGGATGTGAATCGGGCCCCAGTTGGCGGGGTCTGTGCGAGTGAGGAAGTCGGGTAGAAGTTCAAGTGTCGTGCGAAGGGAGGCTGCATGGGGATGCATGGTGTGAAGCAGGCGGGATTGTTTGCTTGGCTCGTCCAACCGAGACCGCAGAGCTATGCAGTGTAGCAAATGCAGCAAAATGCACCGCAAGGCAAGCGAGTCAGGGCCAATGCTTGCGCACGGTGAACGGGCGATGCACGATGTCGCTGTACAAGCCAAAGTTGCAGCAAGTTGCAGCAGTTGCAGCAGTTGCAGCATTTGGTTCAGTCACAATTTCTCCTGATCCAGATGGGCGTTACATTCCCGTGCCGTCCAAGTCGGTACCGAGAGGCACGCGATGGTCGATCGAACCGTGCAGACTTGCCAACGGACGCTTCTGAGTCTCTTCTGGGCGCGCCGATGCATTCGGGTAGATTCCCATCCAACCCGACGTGTCCGAGCGTGCTAGCCACCTCGCCCTCGGCTCCTCCCCCCCGCTGCAGCCATCGTACTGTAAGCGGGAATGAAACTCCTTCAGGGGGAACCAAGGGGGCGAGGGACAAGGGATGGGGGAAGAGACGAGGACTAGAGGACTAGAGGAGTCGAGGTCGCGAATGCGAATCCGTTCCCATGCGAGGGTCTTCTCCGAGGTGCATGGGGATGGTTTGGCGGCGCGCGTCGTTCTTGGTGCGTGTTTTTGCCGAACTTGTCTTTTTCTCGCGTCGCGTAAAGTGAAGATGATTTGGGTTCTCTCTCACGCCACGCGCCTCACTTTCAGGAGGTCACTTTTCTGCATTTCTTGCCGATCCGCAACTTGTCCAACGCGACGCGAACGCGATAAGCGAGAGGAAGGAGGCGGGCGCGCTACAGTCGAGGCCGACGCGTAAAGTGAAATGCAGGGAGCGCGAAAAAGCGCACATGCATGTTTCAGTCTGACTTGCAGCCCAACCCTCCTCTTGCCCTCTTGCCGTCTCGCCTCGCGCCACGCCACCCGCTGCGTGCAAATGCACGTTGGAATTTCAACCCTGCGTTCTCTTGCATCCCCGGGCGTCGCCTTGCTCTCTCGTTCTTTCGATCCAATCCGCGCTTGAGCGTCCGCCCATCGTGACAACTGCAATACGCACATGCGATGGCCTGCCGCTTCCGATCCCTAAGCCGCCCAATCCACTCAAGGCTCGATGCGACGCAGCCAAGTCGAAATGCGCACTTCGATCCCACCGCCTTTTTCTCGCCTCAAACCTCTCTACCGTATCCTTGGTCCCGACTGATTGTTCTTCGTCGTGAGACTCCGAGAGCAGAAGGATGAGCATCGAAGCGGGGTCCTGACTTTTGCCGCTCGGGGACTCGATGTGGACATCGCAGCCTCTGACGAACGACCGTGTGGGTGTGTGGATTGGAATCTCGCTCGAGCGTCGATGCAAGTGCGGGGAAGTCGAGGTGGAAGAAAAGTCGCCTAGGCTCTTTTTCTTTTTCGGTTGCATGTGCCCAATCGAGCTGCGACTGCATGCCGCACCAGATCGGAATTTCGACGAGAAGATGCTGAACTTGGTCGAACTTTAAGCTTTTTCTTTTTTCTTCTGTAAAAATCAGATCAGGAAGCCGTCGGGCGATGGCAGCGTTGGGTTCCTGCCAAATCCATCTTTTTGGCCCGTCTGGCAGACGCACGCACGCGGGGAGCTCGAGCCAAGTGGACGAGGCGAGCGTTTACCCCAGGACCATCGGGGCTCGGCTGGCTTGGATTGGTTCCCATGCAGCCGCCCATGTCAGTCGCCTGGTGCTCTAGCCCAAGGCCGCATCGCTATCTTCGCCACGGAGTGCAAATGAGCCGCCTTTCGCTTGTTCACACTTGGGCCATCGTGTCAGAAATAGCTCTTCTTGGTGGCCAAGGTGGTGGTTGGTCGATGTGGTCGAATGGTGCGCCGCAAGATAAGAGCATCACTGTATGCAGTGGATGACAAGGACGGGCAGCGACGCCGCGGCCAAAGCAGGAAAAGGCAGGCACGCCGAAGCTGAAATTTCCACCAATGCGTGCATGACAAGCGCCCGCCTTCCAGCCGTGTCGGAGTCGAGAGCGCAAGAGGCGTTTTGGCTTTCGTTTGGCCGTGGCTTGATCCCCGAACTGTGTCGATGGAGCCAGAGCTGAGTGAGCCTTGACCGGGGCTTGACCCGCCTCCAACAGGCGCCAGCTGGCATCGGATCGCTGTCAGCCATTTCCACTCGCGAAAGACGAGAGCGGAGCGTTTTGAACGCCTGCCGGCGTCCGGTGCTGAGATAGCCGCTTCTGCTTCCGCCGCTGCGGTGGGCCATGGCGTGCGTTCCTGTTCCTGCTGCTGGCGACTCTGCATGACTGGGCTCGAAGCGGCTGCCCCACCGCTGCCCCTGCTGCTGTCGCCCGCCGTCGAGATTGAGCATCTACTCTCTCTCGTGGTCAAACGACTTGCTCGGTCTGCTCCGCTGCGTCGCTCCTGCAGGCGATCTCCAGAGCGTGCGTGTGATTGCGCTTGTCGTATGCAGCCCAGCTGCACTCGGTCTCATCTGGGCGCTCGTTCTTCCTCGTCTCTCGAGCCAGGAATGCCCGCTCTGGCCCGCCTGCATTCCGTACGTCGAGCCAGCGGAGCTTCGCTATCGCTTCCAACCCTCATCCGTCGCCGTTGCCGCTGACCATCATCACCATCATCACCATCACCATCAAACACCACCATCCCATCGTGTCCACAACCACTATCCCTTCTAGCATCGACAACCTCCCCTCCTTTCCCCACCCACCGCTGCAGATCTTCACCGAGTTCCGACCGCTTTCGTCGACAGCAGCTCCGGCTCTGATCGCTTCGAACGATACGCACCGTCAGCCGCATCGCTCCTCATCGTCTTCCAGCATCATTTGAGCGCCGTAGCATACACTCGAAGCTCCTCGGCCTTGTCACGACCTCCCCCACACTCTCTACACCGTGCCCCTTTCCTACACCTGCATTCGCCTTCGCAAGTTGTTCGGCTCAACCGCCTTCGACGTCACCGACACCTCCGCTGCAGTCACATCCTCGTGCTACTGCCTTCGACCCTACGTGCCCTGTAGTGCCGCATCGCATCACCATCTCCGTTGGCTATAGGCCATTCCCGTTTCGACACGCGCATATTCTGCTGACGCACAATTGGATCGCACGCACGCACGCACGCGCCGACGCAATTGGCACACGGTCCAAAGTGGGTAAAATCCAACTGCATCGCATCACACCGCATCGCTGCACGCAGCAGTCACAATTTCGCCTGCCAACAGCCCAATCAGCCTTTCCAGCCTCGCTTGTCGCACTGCACCCTTTTGCAGTGTCACATCGCTTCACGTCAAAAGCCCACCGACCGCCTGGACCCACCACCGCATACGCTGCGTGAAATCCCCTCCGGCAGCTTTCGGCACACCCGCCTGCCCTGCCCCCCTCCCCTCTCCATATTGTCACGCTGCAGCTCTCGGTGCCTTTCTTGTTTCCTTTCCGCTTCCTTGGTTCGTCCCCTTTGCACTCCTCCCTTTGCATCTTGAAGATCTTCCGGAGCTGCGCTTGCTTGCCAAGGCTGCTGCACTTGCACTCTCGATTCGGCCCTCCCGTTCGGCAACAATCTTCGTAGGCTCTACCGCTGGTCGATAGTCGCCTCTCGCTTTCATCGTTGCTTTTCGGCACAAGAAAACGTCCCACCAGGTAAGTCGAACCTTCGCAGTATTGATAAGCCCATGGATGGTGGGGTCGAGGCCGTCAATGAAGCCAGCCTGGCCCCACGCGGCCGCTTTGCCGCGGTGCCTTGAAGCCATGTCGTCATGCGCATACGCAGCCATGCATGCATGATGCCACCTCTAAGAGCACCTTCTAGACGCAAATTTTGCAACCTTGCGCTTCCTCTCCCTCCCCACCGCCCATGGCCGTCTCCTTCACATGYCCCCGCCACTCGCTCACAAAGGACCCTGTCGCTAACATCTATCTACCTCCTCCTACATTGTACATCCACGTCGACCCCTCCTCGACACTTCAGAGTTGCAAGCATCGATCTGGACACCATGGCGAGCGCACTTTCGCCCTCGATGATCAACATTCAGGTCCCCTTTGCAGATGCAGGCCATCTCAAGGCACCTGGCTACCTTTCCCAGCCCACCAGCTTGGCTCCGTCGCCGCAGAAGAAGCAGCGACATTCGTCTCCGAGCAAGCGTCGCTCGCTCACTCCCTCCGTATCGGCATCCTCGTCGCCCCTCAAGAAGGGCAGGACTGGCTTCAAGCGCACAACCAGCACCGCCAACATCATGGACACCGTCATGAACTCGAGAGTGGCTACCGATCACGACGCCGTACCTGCGTTCGGCCTCGGTATTCCCACTTCCACCTCCAACATCTTCGAGTACAGCCGCTCGTCGCCCGTCGCCTCGTCATCCCAGACCACCTTGGCTGACCTCGAAAATGACGAGGCCGCCAATGTGCTTTCGACGCCTCGCCGCGGCAAGCGCGTCGGCAACGTGCACATGGGCTGGGAGTCGCCCCTCGATGCCGATCAGACTCCCACCGCCGCCTCGGTCGCTGCCACAGCTCCTCACACGCTGCCCAAGTCGTCGCGCACTCGGGCCTCCGCGCAGAGTGTCAGCGTCGAGGCTTCGCCTTCCAAGCGCAAGGCATCCACCGCCTTTGCCTCGGAGCTGCGCCTATCGCGACGCAGCCTCGTCGACACGGCTGGATGGGCTTCGGCCGCCATGATCAGCTCGGTGCCCCTCGCCGAAGACCGCATCAACAGCTCGCCTGGCTTCTCCCCTCGCTTCGTCCCCGAGCCCGTCATGACCGGCCTGATCACCGCCGAGACCCGCGATCCACTCGCCGCCTTTATCAACGACGCGTCGCCAGTGTGCAGCCAAAACCCAAGGCTCGTGCCGGTCGAGGTCGAGGGCCTTGGTCGCGTTGCCGTTCATCCGGACTTTGCGCAGCAGATCGCCGAGTCGCCTTGTGCTGCGCAGTCTGACGCCCAGCGACGATTCTCCACGGCCTCGGAGCGCGAAGCAGCCTTGCTTCGTGGCTCGGACTCGGAAGATTCGGCCGCTCGTAGCGACAACGGATCTTCGACGGATCCGACATCGGCAGGCACACCGTGCCCCTCGGGCGTCTCGCCCAGCTTCTCGCTCTCCTCGCAATTCCCCTGCTCGGAACCCAGATCTCCGACCAAAAAGGGGGCCATGGCGGCATCCTACTCGGAACATCACGCATCCGATACGCAAAAGGCGCTGTCTGCGCTCATGCGCGTCGCTTCGCCGGACGCCGTGGCGCAGCAAGAGGCCAGGCTCTGGTGTCCCCGCCTCGGCGGCAGCACCGCTACCACCGTTGCCAAGCTGCCCATCCTCGATTGGCCCGATCGTCCTGACGGCCCCTGGTCCGCTGCTGGGCGCCACATCGACGAGCTCAAGCAGAAGCGGCGCCAGGGAATCCAGCGCTGGCTCGAGTCGGATTCCGCCGACGAGACCCAAGACGACGCTCAAGAATCGTCGGGCGCCGCCTACCGCCACCACCCTATGGTGGCCAAGGCCTTGCTCGACCGCGCCCGCAAGCAACACCGCACTCAGATGTCTTCTGCCGTCGTCGCTGCCGCCAGCGCCATCTCTCCCTCGAAGCGCGGCCGTAAGCCGAAGCAGCCGCACCTCTTGCACGTGCAAGAGACGCCGTCCAAGCGTCGCGGACGCAAGCCCAAGGTGGCTGCCTCCATCGCCAGCTCGTCGCGCAAGTCGGTGGCGACGGGTGCCTCGCTGGCGCGATCCAACACGAGCGCCATCATTGGCTGCAAGTGCGGCATCGACGACGACTCGATCATCATGGTCCAATGCGACGGATGCCGCAGCTGGCTTCACCTGCCCTGCGTTGGCGTCAACACGGTCAACGACCTCGACGACGAGTGGTACTGCGACGACTGCTGCGACGCCGCGCTCACCGAGCATCTCTCGCCCGCCTCCTCCATGCCCACCTCGATCGGATCGTACGCGCATCTCAGCACGCCCGAGGCACTCGAAGCGGCACTGGCTGGCCAGGAGCCCGTCTTCACTCTGCCGAGCGGCACGCCCATCCACCGTTACGGTGTGGCAGTGTCGTCCTCGATCGCCCTGGCGCCCAGCCCGCCCCTGCTCTCGGTGGGCGACCGCGGCGGCCGCAGCACGGCCAAGCGCCAGGGCCAGGGTCGATCGCGTGCCGAGCGTGTGGGGTGGAGGATCAACGAGCCAGGCTCGCCGCTCGCGCGCAAGAGCACCACCGCCTCGTCGGGCGTGCGACCGGCGGTCCCCGAGACGCCGTCCAAGTCCAGCGAGGCGACCGTCGACTTTACCGATGCCAGTGCCACGCCCAGCCTGCTTGCCGGCTTCTCGCGTGCCGACTGGGAGCCCACCCGCGCTCGCAGGGCGTCGGAGCGTCAGACGACGCCCACTCGCGTGCTCGGCATGAGCACGCCGAGCCGCCACGCTTCGGGACGCAAGCCGAGCCACTCGGGCCCGCTGTCGCTCGGTCTGTGCGACGACGAGCCGCCGCACGCCGATCTTTTCTCGACGCCCTCGCGACTGGCATCGGGCGGCTCGTGGGCCTACCGCGCCGGTGGTCAGCCTCTGGGCAGCCAGACGCCATCGCGCTCGGCCGGTCGACACCAGCGTATCGACTCGTTCAGCGGTGGCCTGCTCTCGACGCCCGGTCGCGACTTCCTCTCGGGCGCCTTCGGCACCGAGCCTTCCACCAGCATGCCGAGCCTCGTGTACAGCAGCGGCTACATTGATGGGCTCGACGACCATCTCAGCGGCGACGGCTTCTATAGCGGCAGCAACAGCCGCGCTTGGCAGCTTCAGTCGCCCACGTCGAGCACGCGCGCCGCCAGGGCGAGGCAGCCTTCTGGCTTTGGCACCCCGTGGTCCAGCTCGCTGCTCAAGACGCCCGAGCTGCAGCCGCGACAGGCGCACACGTCGTCGGTGCGCAGCGGCAGGTACGACACGAGCGACGACTTCCCGCCCTCGTCGTCGCCGTTCCCACGCACCCCGACGTTCGACATGAGCAGCCCGCGTTTCACGCCGCATGGCTCGCACCACAGCTCCGGCGCGCACGAGCGCCACCCGAGCCACCTGGGACTTGGACTGCCCTCCAGTTCCTCGGCACGACTGCACAAGGCGCTCGGTGCCGACCTGCACAAGGGCGGTGCCAGCCGCGACGACAGGTCGCTCTCGGCCAGTGCGCACGCCAAGCACAGGCAGGTGTCCACCGAGGTGCCCATGGGTCTTGGCATCGGTCTTGACCTCGACGACGTCCTGGACTGGTCCTAGTTGGGCGCCTCTCACCCAGCATCTTCAACGCATCCCTGTCCTGTCGCCCCCATTTTCTTTGCAAATCTGCATCTCGGCGCCTCGCATCTGCTCGAGGCATCGTCTTTCCACTCTCCACGCCGTATTCGGCGCATCGTTTAATTCAAGGTCATGGTTTTAGCTTTGCTTAATGGTCTTCGCACTGAAGAACTTGGATTGTAGGGCTACCGCAGAGGGTGAAGGAGAGGCTGCGGTGTGAGCTCTCCTCAGCTGTTTTCGCATTTGCAGCTGTATCGGTGAATTTGTGAGAGGTCGGAATTCGGTCGCATTTGCAGCTGTATCGGTGAATTTGTGAGAGGTCGGAATTCGGGCAAGAAGGAGATGCGCGAGTTGGTGGAGCATGAGAAAGTGTGGAGGCCACTACCATCATCTCGACCGGGAAAGCGTCGATACAGCAAGGCACTGGGTGGGACGAGTGGATCAAAGATGAGCGAGGATGGGCAGGATGTGCGGGCGTTACGGCGCGGCTTTGAGGCGGTGACACAAGGCACGCGGCGGTTTGGGAGCCGCGACGAGGTGCTGCGCTTCTATGCTGCCCCGCTCGCGCGGCTATTTGGACGGGACCCGCTGGGTGCGCTGCAGGCATTCGGGTCAGAAGCGTCGGTCGAGGTGGACGTGTTGCTGGTTGAGGCAATGCAGGAGTCGCTGCTGGTGCGACTGGGTGTCGACTGGGCAACAGCGCTGGGTTCGGCGTGGAAGACGCTGCTGGAGCTCACGTTCTTTGGGTCGGCGGCCGAGTCGTGCGCGAGGCAGGCAGGGATGGTACAGCAGTGTGCGCTGCGAACCGTGTCGCGCGTGTTGGCGACGGCAAGTGGCGAGACGCTCGAGCAGACGGTGCAGCTCTGTGTCGCGGCAAGGGAGAGGATCTCGCTACGCGCAATGGTGGCGGCAGTGGCGGCGGAACCCAACCCGGCACGCGCGCGCGTAGCGTGGACCGAGGCACTGCGGCTCCTCGGCGCGCTGCCGGACAGAGTGGCGAACGCTACCAAGGGAGATGTGCCCCAGGCGCTCAGGGGCGAATGCTGGATCGATGCAACGCTCGTGCGCGGGCTGGGCGATGCTCTGCAACATGCAAACGACAAGAACGAGGTCGAGCTGCTCAGAGATGTGCTCGTCAGGCTGGATAGGTTGGGACATCTGTCGCGTGCGGCCGACTCGAGCACCACCGGGTTCTGGCCAACGCTCCTCCGTACAACAGCGACGAAGAGCACAACGACAACTCAGTGGGCGAAACTACGCCGTATCGCGGGAAGCAGCCTACGCAGACGTCTCGACACGACGCTGCTGCAGACACTTCAACATGCAGCGATGCGCGGGCTTGCAGGTACACTCGTTGCACCGACAGAGACGGGCAAGCCGGGTACCGAGGGAAGCGCGTTTCTCTCGTCCGCAACCCACGCCGTCGTAGCCGCATCCGCCCACGTCTTGGGTCTCTTTATTCCGCCCGACTCGCCCGCCGACTCGAGCGACTCGGACACCGATACCGAAGCCCTGCACTACGTGCGCACGTTCAACGGCACCGCGCTCAGCCGTGTCCCGCAAAGCCCAGTGCTCGCGTGGGCATGGGCAACCTACCTCCTCTCCGCGCCCGCGCGTGATCGGCTCGACTGCCTGACAGCCGCATTCGAGCGCTGGACCGACGCGACGCGTCTCGCGCGCGCGCTCGTCGACGAAGAGCTGTTCCTCTCCGCCCTCATCGTGTGCATTCTCGCCTCGATCGCGGCAGGCAGTCAAGAGCTGGAGGACGCGTTGGTGGCGGTGGCGCACTCGCGCGCCGTGCTCGACGGGGTGTCGGAGCACCTGGCACACGCTGACCCGCTCGTGCGCCGCACGGGTATGCTGGTGGGCGAACTGCTCAGCGAGCGCACTGCGCGTCCCGGGGGTAAGACGCTCAGCTTCGGCGCGGCCATCTGGAACGGCACCGGTGGGGGCCGCGAGGAAGCGCGTGTGCTGCGCGCACTCTACCATGCCTGGTCGCACCATTCGGACGCCATCGCAGCACGCGCCGCCACGGTCAAACACGACAGCGTCGCCGTAGATACGCTGCTCGGGCCCCAGCAGGTGGTACCTGTATCAACAGCGCTTGTCGCATTGGGAGCGGAGAGGAAGAAGTCCGACGGGCCAAAGACGAGACGACTGCCGCAGAGGGTGGATGCGAGAGACACGCGCACCCGACCTCTGATCAGTGTGATTGGGGACTCGGGCGACGAGGCGCCGCTCTCGGTCTCGCCGCCACGCCAAGGGCCATTGCGCATGTTCTCGGCCCCGGTTCGACCGCATACTCCGAGCGAGTCCTCGTCGTCCTCATCCGACTCGGACAGCGACGCGGACGGTGCGGACCAGCACGAGATGCACAAGCTCGCCGCCGACCTAGCTGGAGTGAGCACCGACGACGCTGCGTCGCTGTTCGCCTCTGCCGCACCCTCTTCATCCCGCACTTCGGCAGGGGTTGGCGATATGGATGCGGACCGGGAAGCGCATGCGCCGCAGTTCGAGCGGCGCGTGCGCGCGCCCGTGTACGTGTCGCAGCTGGCGCCTCTGCTGAAGACGTCGTCGCGCGCGTCGGTGCGGATGGGGCTGCGGAGTGCAGCGGCGCTGGTGACGCGCAAGGCCCCCACGCGCACGTTTGGCGGCGAGGTGGATGAGAACGCCGTCGACCTCACGCTGGCGCTGGCTGCGCTGCACGACAACTTTGGCATTCGACGGTTCGAGCAGATGCGGCGGGAGGCGCTGGTCGAGGTGGCGTGTGCGGCGCCCGTGCGTGTGGGGGGCGTGCTGACCGAACAGGTGTTTGGGAGTCAGTACAGCGGCGTACAGCGCACCGCGATGCTGTATGCGCTCACCGAGGCGGCGGTACGGTTGTCCGGGAAAGAGCAGCAGGGAGAGGCTGGGCACAGGGCAGAGGCGGTAGCCGCGCGTGTCGTCAGCGAGACACGGCGCGTGGGCGAACAGCGGGTACCCCAACTGCGACGCGAACGGAACTTGCGACTCGACACATCCCGGTCCGCACTTGTACAGGAGATCCGGCCCGGCACATCGCTTGGCGTCGCTTCGGACGGGCAGGGATGGGCGGCTGTGGCGGCAACGTTTGTGTTTCCGTTGCTGAACCGGTACCTTGCGTATCAAGCACTACCCTCTCGCGGGTCGCTCTTCGAACCGGACTCGCTCGCACTGCTGTTCGATACGCTCGGCGTACTGATCTCGCTGGCGCCGGCTTCGGTGCTGCGTCCACTCGGCCCGGTGCTACTCGAAGCGCTAGGCACGCTGCTTATCTCGCCCTCGGCAGGGCCCGAGACAGCCGCAGCACTCAGCGCACTCGCCATCTTTCTGCACGCGCATCTCGAGCTCGACGGTGCGGCGTCGCTGCTCAACGACCGCACGAGCGTGCGCATGCTCAAGACGCTCCTGCCGCGCGTCCAGATGCTCTTCACCCAGCTCAATGCGCACACGGGCGGGACGCCCGCCAAAGTCGCCGCTCGCGCTGCGACCGTGCTCCTCCAAATGGACCAGCTCGACCAGGCCCAGACCCAAACCATCCAAAACGCACTCGGCTTCATCCCCACCTGAACCCCCCTCACACAGCTCTTTGCCAAATGGAACAAAGAAAAAAAAACGCAACTGTGTTTCAAAAACATGACCACGACTGTGCGCGCGCGGCATCACTTCTTCTTCTTCTTGGCTGCGCCTGCGGCTGCGGGGGTGCCGCCTCGACTGCTACCGGCATTGCTGGCGGAGTCGAGCTGCCTCTTCTTGCCGCCCTTGGTGGCTTTTTCCTCCTCGTCCTCCTTGAGCACGAGCAGGACGAGCGTGTTGCATCGTCGACCGAGCTCCTGCGGCGTCCTGCTCTTGATGAACCAGTCGAACCTAAACCCAGCCCACTGCATGACGTCCTTCTTGATGCGATCGTACGCATCGCCCTCTCCCAGCCCGTACTCGGCGAGCTTGACCAGCAAAAAGCGGTCCTCGTCCTCCGAGTAGCTCTTGCCCTTGTTCTGACCATAGTGCAGCTTGAGCTGGAGCAGCGGTTGACGGTACGAGTTGACTTTGCGGCGCAGCACGGCCTCCTGGTGGTGCTGCTTGAGCAGCTTGGCCTCGCCCTCGTCTATGCGCGCGAGCAGCTTGGCATGGTCCGCCAGCTCGTCGATGCGCTCCCAGAACACCTTGGCGTACTCGCGCACCTCCTTTTCCGTCTTGCTCGCATCGGGCATGTCGGCGGCGATGAGCGCATACGCCTTGCGACCGTAGCGCTCACAGCCGCGTACAAACGTCTGGAACTCGCGGCGGTTCCAGTGCGCGAAACCCTGCTGCGCCAGCTGCTCCTTCTCCTCCACCTCGTCCTCGGTGAGCGCCTCGGCAGTGTCGATGAAGTTCTGCTCGCGCTTGCGCTCCTCCTCGACGTCGTCGGCAGTCTCGCCCTCGCCCGGCTCGCGCAGCGGCACGCGGTAGCCGATGGAACGCTGGTACGCCGCCGTCTCGCGCTCCTGCAGCTCGCCCAGCCGCGGCGGGTAGAACTGGAAGTCGTTGATGTTGATCTGCTTGGGCGCACGCGGCGCCCTGGGCTGCGCCGGCTTGGGACCCACGCGCATCGCATCGCGGTAGTAGTTGTCGATCGAGTAGTTGGCCTTGCGCTCGCGCTTGCTCGGCTCGATCCACAGCTGGCCAATCGGCTTGCGCTCCGAAAAGTTGCTCCCCTCCCAGTTGTACACCGTGTCGGACTTGAAGTTGTTGAGGTCGTCCAGATTGAGGCTCTGGTACTTGGCCTGGATCTCCTGCGTGCGCGTCTCGCCCGACTTGATGATCTCGTCAATGTCGTCGTCGATCGACATGGTGTCCTTGCTGGTGATGATCTTTTCGGCGCCGTGCTGGATCATGCCCACCAGATCCTCCTTGGACTGCGCCGCCTTGGCCGCCTGCTGTGCGCGGCCCTGCTGGATGACCAGCTGGTCCAGGCGCAGCTTCTGCGCCGCGCGCTCCAGGATGCGCTCCTCGATGGCGTTTTCGGTGACAAAGCGGAAGACGTACACCTGCTTGGTCTGGCCGATGCGGTGCGCACGGTCCATCGCCTGCAGATCCGCCTGCGGATTCCAGTCCGAGTCGAACAGCACCACAATGTCGGCCGTGGTGAGGTTGATGCCCAGACCGCCCGCACGCGTGGTGAGCAAAAAGACAAACTTCTCCGAGCCCGGCTTGTTGTACTCGTCGATGGCGGCGATGCGGTCCTCGTGCGCGGTGCCACCGTCGATGCGGCAGTAGGCGTAGTCGCGGAAGAGGCAGTAGTCCTCGAGGATGTCGAGCATGCGGCTCATCTGGCTGAAGATGAGCACGCGCGAGCCGTTGGCCTTCATCTTGCGCAGCAGCTTGTCGAGCTTCTTCATCTTGTCCGAGTTGAACACCAGATGCTCGTCCGTGGTGAAGGGCGGGCCGGGCTCGGCGCCGTCAAAGAGGTACGGGTGGTTGCAACACTTGCGCAGCTGCATGACAATGTTGAGCAGACGCGTCTTGCCCTCCTTCTTTCCGACGCCGCCGTTGACGGCATCAATGTCCTTCTCGAGGATGCTCTTGTACCACTTGCGCTGCATCTCTGTGAGGCCGACAAAGAGGTTGATCTCCTTCTTGGGCAGGAGCGACTTTTCGACGTCGGCCTTGACGCGTCGGAGGAGGAAGGGGCGGAGGACCTTGTGGAGCTGCTGGACGACCTGGTCCTGGTTCTCGTCGCCCTTGCCCTTGAACCACGACTCAAAGTCCTCCGAGTTGCTAAAGACGTCGGGGAGGAGGAAGTTGAGCAGCGACCAGAGCTCCATGAGGTTGTTCTGGAGCGGCGTGCCGGTGATGAGCAGGCGGGAGCGCGAGTTGAAGGCACGCACGATCTGGGAGAGCATCGAGTCGACGTTCTTGATGCGGTGCGCCTCGTCAATGATGATGTACTCCCACGAGAGCTTCTTGAGCGCGCTCTTTTCGCGCAGGCACATCTCGTAGGTGGTGATGAGCACGTCAAAGTCCTGGGGCAGCAGGTGCTTCTGGATGACGTCGTCGCGCTCCTCCTTGGAGCCCTTGAGGGTGACTACGTTGAAGCCGGGCACCCAGCGCTGGAACTCGCGATACCAGTTGTCGAGCGTCGACTTGGGCACGACGACGAGGTGGAAGCCGGGCGTGTTGCGGAAGTCGCGGAGGTAGCCGAGGAAGGAGATGGTCTGGAGCGTCTTGCCGAGGCCCATCTCGTCTGCGAGGATGCCGTTGATGCCGTTGTGGTAGAGGGAGATCATCCAGTTGAGGCCCTGGACCTGGTAGTCGCGCATGGTGCCGCCCTTGACGTAGGCGGGCGACTCGTTGAAGACAAACGCGCCCTCGTCTTGGTCGTCGTCGCCCTCCTTGAGCAGCTCGTCGTCCTCCTCCTTTTCGGTCTTTCTGCGGCGGTTGTCGCCGGCCTTCTTTGCCTTTTTGGCGGCGGCCTGCTGCGACTCTTCGAGCATGGCTGCAAACTCTTGGTCGCGCTCCTTCTTGATGTCGATAAAGTGCTGGAAGAGCTCGGTCTGGTCGAGGAGGTAGCCGTAGCGCTTAAAGCTGTCGGCGAGCTTGGCCTTGGCCATGGACTCGCGTGTGCTGGCGAGCGTCTCGTCCTGAGCGGCCTTGACGGCCTTTCCGTGCTTGCGTGCTGCGGCGCGCTCCTCCTTCTCGCGCTGCTTCTCGAGCTGTCGCGCGGTCTTGGAGGGCGAGGACATGGAAACATCGCCATCGTCCTCGAGCTGGTCGGCATCGTCGTCCGAGGCGTCGGTGTCGTTGTCGCGCTTGTTTGGTGGTGTCTGGGCTCTGGAGACGGAGGCGGAGGCGGTGGGTGCACGGCTGAGATCGGCCGAGACGGGGATGTAGTCCGAGAGCTTGTCCTGGTCCTCCCAGTTCTTTGCGTCGCGCATGGCTGGCGGCAAGGCCGATGGCTTCAGGTGGCCGTTGGAGCCGTTTGTGCCGTTGGGAGTGTGGGACATGGTGAAGTGAGGGTGAGCAGCCACAGAGGCCGGATCGCGGTGTGCTTAGGGAGTTGCCGTTGACGTGCGTGTGAGACTGCCTGAGACCACGGTGGGCGGCGCACACAGGTTGTGCTGGGTCGTGCTTGGTCGCACTGGAGGTGTGCCAAGATTCGGTGAGCTTTAGGCAGTGCTGAAGGAGAAAAAAGGAAAGAGCGAAAGCAAGGCGGCTTGTGAGAAGGAGCAGCGAGGGTGATGCACGCGTAAGGTCGAGTGGTTGGCGGTGTGTTCCGGTGCGAGAAGGAGAGGAGGCGGTGCTTCGACGGGGCAAAAGAGAGGATGGTGGAAAAGAGTGGTGGTGGAGAAGGAGATCGCGTTCGAGTGGATTGGCGGTGGCTTTAGCAAGGGCGGCGCGTCGAGGACGAGGCTTGGCCTACTTTGGTCCGATCCAACAAAGCGCTGTGCCGCCGATTCACCGAGGACGAGCAGCAGCAGCATCAGCAGCAGCACCAGAAGCAGGGCCGGCAGCAGCAGCAATCCAGGAGCGCAAGAATTCCTTCCGGCCGGCATCGGGCAGTTCCGCGCTGCTGTAGCGAAAAAAATCGCGAACGCGTCTGCTCAATGAACACGCTCGCCCGACGCCGACGCCAGTAACTTAGGCGGTGGTTGGGTGTGGAGTTCAAAGGCTTTCTGGCATCTGAGCACGCGTTGAGCTGTCCTCGTCATCGACGCAGAGCAGCGACGCGTTCCCGCCGCCCCGCCCACACCCTTTCGCACGAGTCCAGGCGCCCTCAGACACAGTCAGGAGCCATACGCTACTCTCACAGTCGACGATGGTTTGAACAACACAACTCTATTTTGGGGTGCGTAGCGTTTGCAAGTGTGATCCTCTGATCTGGATCAAGTGAGGACCTTTACTTGTCCGCTGCCTCGGACAGCTCGCGGTACTCGACGAGACGGAGCAGGTTCCTCTGGAGCATGGCGATCGTGGTCTTGCCGATCGCAGGCAGGTACATGGACGCGCGCGTCCTCACGTCGGGCTTAAAGTTCTTCTCGCTCGAAAAGTTGACGCAGACGGCGCCAGGCTTGATCCAGTCGGTCTCGATCTTGTAGTTGGCCGAGGGCACGCCGGCGATCACCACGTCGGCCGCACGGATGCACTCTTCGGCGCTGAGCGAGCAGTTGCGCACCACATGGTGCGGGCGCAGCTGCGAGGCGGTGTTCTGCGCATGCGCCTTTTTGACCATCTCGGATCGCGCACGGCCGTGCGGTGGCGACGACGGCTCGGCAGCACGCTTGTTGAACTCCTGGATCGAGTCAATGTCCACCGAGTACACCTTGGCGCCGTCGTTGGACAGCAGTGCGGCGAGCGGACGACCGACCACCTCGGAACGGTTGATCACCGTGATCGTCTTGCCGTACAGACGGTCGCCGTACGGCAGCTCGCGGTCGTACACGCCCACCGCCTCCAGACACTTGACCATGGCGAGCGGCGTGCACGGCAGGATCGACTTGGCCATGCCCGGAGGCACCTGCTCGCTGTCCAGTGCTGCCTGGCGGTGCGCGCGCTCCTCGGGCAGCTCGCGCGTGGTTCCCGGCGCATTGCCGAGCTTGGCGGGCGAGATCCAGCGCACGTTGTGGTACATGTTCCAGCAGTAGCTAAAGTGAAGACCCTCGACGTCCTTGCGCGGATCCACAATCTGCTGCAGATACGTGTCCTGACGTCCAAAGAAGATGGGGTAGTACACCATGATGCCGTGCACCTTGTCGTCGGCGTTGGCAGCGATGATGAGGTCCTCGACGTCCGCCTCGAGGTCAAAGTCGGGCGCGCTGCCCTTGTGCTCCTCCTCCTTGACCTCGACCGAGTCGTCCCAGGTCTTCCAGATGTCAAACTCGATGCCGACCGCCTCGCACGCCTTGCGCGTCCACTCGGCGTAGGCGACACTGGGCGGGCTGGGCGTGGCGAGGATGCCGACCAGCTTGGGCCTCGACTTGCCCTGGTCGATGCGCGTCTGAATCGCCTGCTTGATCGCATCCTGGTACGGAGCAGCGATGCCCGAGGCCTGCACGAGTTTGCCCGGGTTCTCTGCGCTGGGCAGCGCACCGGGCTGCGCGGTCTGCTGGACACTGGGTTCGGACATGCTGCTAGCTACGCCGCGAAGCACGTCGTTGGGTTGGACCGGGTCGACGGAGGTGCCTTGACGTTCGAAGGCACGTACGAGATCGGAGGCCGAGAGGTGGTAGCTCGGCTCAAAGTCGCACACGGTTGCTCGATGGAAGGTGTCGAGCAGAGTGTTGAATTGCGTCTTGCGTTGAGCACGGACGTACGAAGGCTCGCGGAACGTGCCTTTGCCTCGAAGCCGTGGGGTTAGCGGAAGCGCCGAAGACGAGCCAGAAGCCGAGGCGGAGGTGGAGGGAGTCGAAAGGTTCTCGTTGGACGACGAAGAACGAGGCGACGAAGGGCGAGCGAGCTTGTCGAGAAGCGAGTTGAGGTGGGAGAGGTCAAGACCTGCGTTGGTGGACTTGGCCGAGGAGTGGAAGGCCGATCCGGACGGAAGGGCGGGGGTTGCTTGAACCGAAGAGGAAGCGGACGAAGACGAGGATGCGAGGCTGGGTGTGCTCGTTCGGACTAAGCGTGCGGATGTAGCCAGGGTAGACATGGAGAATCGGTCGAGAGACGAGGCGTCAGTCGTCAAGTTGCGCGAGCATGAGCACGAGGGCAGGAAGCTCGGGCTTTGGAGGTGTGCCGACATGGTAGCAAGAGGAGCAAGCAAGGCAGACGAGACTGGTCGAACGCGATGAGACGAAGCGCGAAGAGTTGCTTTACGGAGCGGGCGCATCAAGTGGGTCGAGCAAGTGGGTTGTGCGAAATGAAGCCAGCGATGGTGCTTTATCGATGGATGAGACGCCGCAGGAGTTGTCGATCAACGAGATGGTGGTGCCAAGTCAAGCCGAGGATGATCGGAGGGCGATGCTTTGGTAGGATAGTGACTGATGCTTTTCAAGCTTGGTGCGTGCGGTACGAGAGCGAGACGTGGGCCAGGGGGGCGCGAGAGACAGGAACCACGAGCGAGGCTGCGAGCACGGAAGCAGGGGCGGAAGCACGGTGACACTCACCTTTGGCGGGCCAAGACGAGAGCGTTGCGGAGTGAGCAGCTCGAGACGAGGGCGTCAAGCCAGCTCTGACACAAAGATGCGGCGGTATGGTGGGCGAGCAAAAGAAGCGAGAGTTCGCGAGCACAGAGAGGGTGTGAGAAGACTGCAACCAAGTCTGAGCATGGCGGAGGCCAGCCCGTCAGAGCCGCCAGAGCCACGCGGATGCAGCGGGAAGCCACTCTCCCTGCCGAAAGGAGCAAAAAAAAAAAGTTGCCCTGCAGCCTCGAGTCAAAAAGCCAGGAGCTGCGAAAAAAAAATTCTCGATAACGCTCCGTTTATCTTGATCGCTGCACAAGCGGATAGAACCGATCGGCTTCGGGTAGCTCAAAAATCAAAAAAAAAGAGAGCCAGCGCTCAGGAACCGCAGCGGAGGTGATGGGCGGCGTCGGGCAGCCCGTCGTCCCCGCTTGCGGAATGGCCGGCTCGAGTTGCTCGAGTCGAGTCGACACGCGGCGGTTGACTCCCCGCTGCTTTCCCCTTGCTTCCGTGGGCCCGAACCAAGAGAAGGCGGCCGTCAGCAGCAGCCGCCAATGCGTTGGGTTGGTGCCTGATGGACCGGATCGGAGTGAGCTGCAAGGAGCGTAGGTAGCCTCCAACCCCTGGTCCTGCGCCGTGTCAATACAGTGTACGCCTTGATCATGTTGGGTCGCCAGCACTAGCCCGAAATGTCCCCGCCCTGCCCCGCCCCGCCCCGCCTCGCAGATCCTGCCTTCGTCAGCGATACGGAGGTGCTGTACAGGGCGGACTCGGTACAAGCAGCAGAATCACAGCAATGCTTGTGCATCTCTGCGTGAAGGAGGATGATACTGCATCGGGGCTCGCTTCCGATCGGGCCGGCGACTGGTTCTGCATCAGCGATCTAGAGTCTCCTGCAGAGGTCCCACTTGAGCATGAGATCCCGGTGGCGCTGCGATGCCAAAAGAATGTTCGGATTGAGATACAAATACAAAGAGCATGCCCACTGATGCCATAAAGGCTCTATGCGTGAGTTGCGGCGCGGGCTATGTGTCCTGGATGTTGTGAAGCTGCTTGAGTTCTGCGAGCTCGGCTTCTCGTCGTTCGAGGTCTGCCTTTGCAGCGAGCCTTGCGGGCATGTGTGCCAATACTATACATACTCACCGGCATGTTGTCAGCAGCTGTCGCAAGAAGGCGAGGGTACGGGGGCGTGGACTTACCGACGAGGTAGCGGTCGTTGAGGTGGAAGCCGTTGAGGTTGTCGAGGGCGCGCTTAGCATCGGCCATCTCCTGGTACACGACGTACGCCGTGCCCTTGGTCTTGGGCGCGTCGCCGATGCGGATCTGACGGATGGCTCCGTAGCGTCCAAACACGTTGTACAGGTCGGCGCCGGTGGTGTTGTAGTTGAGGTTCTTGACAAACACGATGCGCGTGTGCTGACGCGCACCGCCAATGTGGCTCGACATGCTGACCCAGCCGTGCGCGTCCAGTCACCAAGCGAGAAGAGGCTGCCACACGTGCGCGCTTCGACAAGTCTGACCAGGGATGGTGTCGACAAGATCGAGAAAGTGCGCTGGACAGAGATGATGGCAGGTTGGAATCGAATGCGCAGCAGAGAGAGCAAAGGTGGAGTGTCCACAGGTCCGGGTTCCGAGCATTGGAGAGCTGAGTTGCATCGCCGATGAGAGACGAAAAAATAGGTGCCGATGTCTCCAGCGCGGCGTTTGCTCTGGCCCGGCTACACAAAAGTCGAGCTGGGAGCGCAGCAACGGCTGCTGCCATTGCCGAGGCTCCGGCCCGCCATTCGCCGCCCCCGGCTTTCTGCCTTTACGACAGCAGACTGTCTTTTGCCCCGCCTCGCATTCTTCTCTTTACCCCACACACAACCTCATTCCCGTGGCCATTGCTCTGTCTCACACCTCATTCTCACCTCGACCACCTCGACCGTCAAGATGGCAGCTGCTCAACCCAACACGCGCGTGATCGTGTACGGCTATGGCGCGTCGCCGTTCTGGCAAAAGATTACTTTTTTGCTGGACCACTACGGCGTGGAGTGGACGCAGGTGGACGTGCCTCCGGTCATGCCTCGTCCCATGCTGAGCAAGCTTCTGGGCATCACCTACCGTCGTATTCCCGTGGTTTTCATCGACGGCCATGCCTACATCGACACCACCGCTGCCTCGCTCGCGCTGGAGCGTACGTTTGGCAACGGCAACCGATCTCTGCTTCGCCAGTTCCCGGCGCTGCAGCTGCAGCTCGCAGTGCACTGGGCCGAGAGCGCGCTCTTCCGACTGGGCGCGGGGCACCTGTACAATGCGCCGCTGAACGAGGTGTTTGTCAAGGACCGACAATCGTTCATGCCCGGAGCGAGCTTTGAGGGCGAGGCGATGAAGAAGCGCATCCCCTTTATTCGATCGCAGCTCGTGGCGAGCTTGGAGGCGATCGAGTCGCAGCTGGGTGAGGGCCGCGGCAAGTTCTTGCTCGGGGACGAGCCGCAGTACCTCGACTTTTGCGTGTTCACGCCGCTCAACTGGGTGCAGACGCAGCTGCGCACGGGCGAGGATCTGCTGCCCACCGTCTCGGCCAAGAACCCGCAGCAGGACTGGACCAAGTTCCGATTCCCCAAGACGCTCGCGTGGCTCGCAGAGGTGCGTGCCTACGTCGCCAAGAATACGGTGAAGCCCGGCAAGCTCTCGGCCGACGACGCCGCCAAGGCGGTGCTGCAGCAGGCAGAGGCAAGCTCCGCCAAGGACGAGAGCGCACTCAAGGTGAGCAGCGACGACCCGCTCGCCAAGGCCGGATGGATCAGCGGCAACAAGGGCCAGAAGGTCAGCGTGACGCCCGTGGATACCGGCAGGGTTCCCCAGCTCGGCTCGCTCGTCGGGCTCGACAATGCCAGCGTGACCATCAAGATCGAGGCGCAGCAGGGCAAGCACATCCTCGCCACCTTCCCGCGCGTCAACTTTGACATTCGCGCCGCCGATGCCGCCAAGCTCTAACTTGAGCCGCTCAACCTTGTGCTCCATCTGGATTGGACTCGCCCGGAAATCGATGCTTAAAGTAGACTATTCGAAATGCCAAAAGCTTGCTCCGGCAAGCAGATGATGATGACAAGCTTGTTGATTGAGTTGTGGTGGGGCTCAGAGAAGCTTGCGAATTCGCTCATGACTTGTCGACATTGTCGTCGCCTTTAGGAGCAGGCGGTGCTGGTTTTGTTTTTCGGGCGGTACAGCCTTGAGGCGCGCTCAGAGCAGCAGTAAACGTGTTGGCCGCATCCGTGCGCATTTGGGCAGATGCGAGGCGGCGCTCTGGACCCTGAATTTGGCTGCTCAGGGGAAGAGGCGCGCGTCGCTGCTCTCCTCAACCTGTCAATCCGCGCTGCGTCGAGCGTTGGTGCAGCGGCGATGCTGCAACCGCGCCCCCTCCTCCCCCCCGCGCATCCTTATCAGCCTCCCCGCGCGCCTCTTCTCCCCACCACCTTCATCCCACCCATCTGCCCACCCACATTGCATCTCTCTCCACTTCATCAGATTTGTCGCCGCCATGCATGTTCAAACACTCGCGCTGTTGGCCGCGGCTGCTTTGGCCCGAGCTGCCTCGATGCAGGCGCCCTTTTCGCTCCACTCTGCACTCGACACGTGTCTTTCGTGCGCCACGCTTCCCACCTGTCCCACCGACCCCTGCACGACCAACACTCCCGGTGGCCTTCTGCTGCTCACGCAGTTCTGGGACTTTCACCCCGCCATCGGGCCTTCGGATTCGTGGACGATCCACGGTCTTTGGGCGGACAAGTGCCTTGGGGGGTATGATGCCGACTGCGATCCGTCGCGCAACAATGACAATATCGCCGCAGCCCTTCGATCGTCCTCCGACCCTCGAGCTGCAAAGGCGCTCGAGACGATGAACCAGTACTGGCTGGCGCTGAATGGAAACGACGCTCAGCTTTGGTCGCACGAGTGGAACAAACACGGCACCTGCGTCTCTACGCTCAACCCGGAATGCTACCCCGAATCAGCCTTTGGCGAGCATCAAGACATCGTCGACTTTTTCTCAACCACCACCGACTTGTTTGACAAGTACAATGTCTTCAAGGCTCTTGAGGAGGCGGGGATCAAGCCGAGTACGAGTGCGAGGTACTCGTTGCAGCAGCTTAAAGATGCAGTGCGCCAAAAGTGGGGCAAAGAAGCCTCGTTCCGATGCCGAAACGGCGCCCTCAACGAAGCCTGGATCTACTTTCACACTGCAGGCAGATCCACCAGTGCAGACTCCTTCGTTCAGGTCGATCCACTCACCGGCGACAACCGTTGCCCCACCCAGAACATCCGTTACCTCCCCAAATAGCTCCTCAATCAACAACAGCGCAAGACAAAGCAACAATACAAGTCCATTTCATGCAATGCAATGCGATGCAGGGGTATATCCATTGTGCGACCCAAGTTAGAGTGGCACCGAACTCAGGCTGCGGATGAGCTCGTTGCCGTTGATGGTGTTGGTGGTGGCCACCACAAAGCGTCGGTTGCGCGTCTGGCCGTTCATGAACCGCAGCGCCGCCAGCTCCGTATGCGTCACTCCGCCCAGGAAGAACACCAGCGTCGTCGTCACCTGGTCCGCATCCGACGGCATCGTCGCCGCCGCACCCGCCGTCGACGTCTCGCTCCCGCCCGGCCCCGCGGCTGCCGACTGCACCTCGTCAAACGTCGGGCCGGGAAGCTGGCCCACCACATCCTCAAAGCCGCGCCAGCCCACGATCGGGTGCGCGCGCGGCTTCACACTCCGCCCACCGGGACGCAGCGCCGTACTGGCCGCACGCCCGACGTCCAGCAGCGCCTCCTTCTGCGCCACCGCCTGCACCAGACGCACCGACAGCGGCGCATACCCAGAGTAGACGTACGAGATGTCGCTCGGCGCACGCTCGTCCACATCGTCGTTGATCAGGCGCAGACTGCGGCGCACCGACGCAAAGCCGCCGCGTCCGCCTTCGTCCTTGCCATCGCCGGCTGCCGCGCCACCCGCCGCCGACGATCCGCCGCCGACGACGCTCGTGAGCGCGCCAAAGCCAGCTGCGACGCCGCCACCCGCATCCGCCGCGCCGGGCGCCGCTCGCGTGAGCAGCCCCACCTTCTGCAGCGCCAGCAGCAGCGGCAGATGCTGGTAGCCGTACGTCTGCACAATCTCGCGCTTGACAAACTCGAGGTTCTTGGGCTTGATCCCGCCCGCCGCACTGCCGTGCCCCACCACACTCGTGAGGCACAGCAGCCGCAGCACACCGAGCAGGTCGCGCTCCTCGTTGATCATGTCTTCGATAGCGGCGTACTGCGCGCCGAGCTCGAGGCCCGCCACCGAGTTCTGCTGCACCTCGAGCATGCGGTTGAACTCCTCGCGCGCCGTCCACTCCATGATCTTCTCGGTGAGGCCCGTGTGTAGCCGCAGCGACGCGTGCTCCGACTGCAGCCCACCCAGCTTGCCCACAAACGCGCGGATCTGCGACACGGTCTTGGCCTGGTGGCGCCCCTCGTAGTCGTGGTTGAGCCGCTTGGCGGCGCGGTGCAGCCGATCGCCGACGACGGCAAAGTTGAGGTCGCGGATCTCGCCAAACAGCACGTCGGTCGACGCGTCCAGCCGGTGCTTGCGCTTCTTGGGCGTCGACGTCATCTGCAGCGGCGTACCGCTGCCCGATGCGTGCGGCTGGGCGCCCATACCACCACCGGGCGGCTGCGCCTGTCCCGTGAGCAGGGCAGGGTCGACCTCGACGTGGCCATTGCTGATGCCCACCACCTCGTCTACGAGGCCTTCGTAGGTGAGCTGCGTGCAGAGCGGTGTAGCGTAGTCGACGGAGCGATCGATGATGATGAGGCTGTCGATGAGCTGGCTCGGCGTGGTGAGCGCCGGGTTGGAGGGATCCGAGGCGAGGTGTTCGCGCCTCTGGCGGATGAGCAGATCGGCGAGCCGACGTGCGAGGGCGCCTTTGCCCAGCACGCGTGGGAAGAGTCCGTAGGCGTGCTGAAGCGTCATGAGCGCCTGTGCCGAGCGGAAGATGGGGGTGTGGTCGCCGTCGCAATAGATCTTCTTCCAGGCTGCGTCGTCCTCGAGGCTGATGAGATCGTGATCGAGTGGTACGAACTCGAGACCAAAGTCGAGTAGCGAGACGTCGGAAAGCACGCCCTCTTGATCGAGGAACTGCAGACAGGGCTCGGTCCTGTGCGGAACAAACGAGATGGTGTAGGTGTGCTGCAGGGGCGAGGTGGGACGCACGCTGCGATCCGCGCGTAGGTGCTCTTTGGACACGTCGTCGTGACGACAGGGTAGCAAAGGTCAGCTGCTGTTATCCGAGATCTACGCTGGAGGTGGGAGAGGGCAAGGGAAAGGGAGAAGGAGGAATAGAGAAGAGGAGTTGGGGAAAGTGTCGCCTCCCGGCACAACTCCGCGCCTGTGGAGGCGAAAAGCAGGGCGGTGTTGTTTGAGGAAGGGACTTCGTTGGGAGCATCCTTGTCAGGAAGGTCTCCTTGTTCTTTGGACATTGACTGACCGCATGCCTATCGTTGAAGAGATCTAGTAGGCTCGGCTAATTTAGTCCAGATGGGATGGGCGAACCAGAGCCACTGGAAGGGAAGGAAGAGGAAGCGAGACGACTCGAACGAACGAAAGGGCAAGACTTACCTGCGATGGCCTTCATCCACTTGATCTCGGGACGGCAGATGTAGACGACGGACTTTGTGGGAGCATTGACGCTCTTGAGGCCCGCCTTGGAGAGAGCCTGGGAGTGGGCGGTGTCGGTCTTGGAGACAAAGGCCGCCGATGCTGGTTCGAGCCAAAACATCTTTTCGACGCCGTGCTGCTTGAGGCCGGATACGTCGGCGACGAGACCGAGGGGGCCTGCCAAGGACGGATCGAGCATGAGCGTCTTTGCTTCTTTGATGGTGTCGAGCGTCGACATGAGGCCCCTGCGCGCGAGGTCGCCGAGGATGTTGGTGTCCAGGCCGTCCCATCGCTCCGTAAGGGGCTGCGCCATGTCTGCCGAGGCGCCAGCGGATGACTGGGGCGAGCCGGGAGCGACGGCGGTAGCATCAGGGCCAGCGTCAGTGCCAGCCTGGCGTGGCGCAGTCGCGGTGGGAGCCATGTTCACTCTTGCGGTCGTGAAAGACGTGGTCCGGCCCTCGAGCTCTCGTTATACGGCGGTTCCAGAGGTTTGCGGTCCGCCGACAATGCCAGCCTCTTGACTGCCAGAGCGCGTAGAGGCTGGATCAAGCCGACTCAGCACCCCGAGCAGAGCCCTTGGGGCTGCAAGCGACTGCGGGACCGCCGAGGTCGAGGGCGACCAGAGTGACGATGGGAAGGGAGAACTGCCGCAGCAAACCGAGTGGAAAAGAGACGGATGGGAGGCGAAGCTGGCAGAGTGCAAAGCCGAAGACGAGGACGGTGGGCGGCAAGACGATTGATTGGCTGGTCGGAGGAAGCGATGCTCGTCGCTGTCTGTCCAATCACATTCGGCACCAGCTCAATGCAAGCGTCACACCCCCGCTCGCACGGTCGGTGCGCATTCGAATCCCATCGAGATCGGGCTCGAAGCCACTTGGAAAATGCGTGATTCGAGATTTGGCGGAGTCCGCCGAGTTCCGAGTCAGAGCCTTCTTTTGCCAGCTGCGCAGAGCATGCCAGGCACGCCCGAAAAAAGGCGTGGAAGAAGCAACGTACACTCAACCCACACCCTGACACCAACACAAGAGCAACAGCGCCTTGCCTCATCTCTTCATCCTAAGAGCAGGTCGTGTCGCACTCCATACACCACCCTCGCATGTCGAGCCTCCTTCGCTCCGCCCTCTCATCCTCGCGTTCCTCTCTGCTTGCGTCCCTCGCTCCCACCACTCGTTCCGCACGTTCTGCACGTTCCGCACGTTCCGCACGTCCCCTGGCCCACCCACATCCACCAGGCATCGTTCGCGCGCTCAGCTGCGCTCGCCAATCCAACCTCGTCATGGCAGCAGCACAGCCCGAGTCGTCCACCTCGGCGGCAGCCAAGATCTCGCAGCCAGAATGGCAGGTCCCGCAGAAGCAGCTGCCCGAGCCCGAGCTCAAGATGTACAACTCGCTCACGCGCTCCAAGGTACCCTTCGTCCCCAAAAAGGGCCGCACCGTCACCTGGTACAACTGCGGGCCCACCGTCTACGACGCCAGCCACATGGGTCACGCACGTAACTATGTCACCCAGGACATCATCCGCCGCATCCTCCGCGACTACCTCGGCTACGACGTCCACTTTGTCATGAACATCACCGACATCGACGACAAGATCATCATCAAGGCTCGCCACTCTCATCTCGTCCGCCAATTCCGCGCACAGCACCCGCAGCTCACAAAGCCGCTCCTCCAGACCATCCAGGACGCCTGGTCCGCCTACTTTGCCAAGAACCTTGAACGCTTCGCCCCACCCGTGCCTCCACAAGAGCAGCAGGGTGGTCTCGTCGACCACGCCGAGAAGGCGAGAGCGGGCGAGGCTGGCTTTGAAGAGATCGCTCGCCTCCGTCAGGATGCCGCCTGGCTCAAGACGGCCTCCGAAAAGGAGCCCAAGTTCGGCATGTGGTTCTCGGCTCTCGACCGCTCGCGACAGGCGCAGGTCGCCGCCGCCATGTCGCTCGCTGCCAACGACTCATCGCCCGAGGCAGCCTCGAACCTTATCGACGCCTCGGAGGATGTGCTGGCCGCCTTCCTCGACAAGCAGTTCGGCAGCACCGTCACCGACCCCGCCGTCTTCCGCGACACCGCCGCCTACTGGGAGACGCAGTTCTTCAACGACATGAAGCGACTCCACGTCGAGCCGCCCACCACGCTCACCCGCGTCAGCGAGTACGTGCCCGAGATCGTCACGTTTGTGCAGCAGATCATCGACCGCGGCTATGCCTACGCCGAGGGCCTCGACGCCGACAAGAAGAACGTCTGGTTCGACACGCGCGCCTTCGACGGCGCAAAGAGCTCCGACGGCAGCTTCGACCACTCGTACGCAAAGCTCCAGCCGTGGTCCAAGGGCAACCGCGAGCTGCTCGAGGAGGGCGAGGGCTCGCTCTCCACCTCGACCACCGCCACTGCGGGCAAGCGCGCCGCATCCGACTTTGCGCTTTGGAAGTCGTCCAAGCCGGGCGAGCCGGCGTGGCCGTCGCCGTGGGGTCCGGGCCGTCCCGGATGGCACATCGAGTGCTCCGTCATGGGCTCCGCCGTGCTCGGCGAGACCATGGACATCCACTCGGGCGGCGTCGACCTCATGTTCCCGCACCACGACAACGAGATCGCACAGTCCGAGGCGCATCACGGCTGCAGGCAGTGGGTCAACTACTTCCTCCACACCGGCCACCTCCACATCGAGGGCCTCAAGATGTCCAAGTCGCTCAAGAACTTTATCTCGATCGACGAGGCGCTCGAGCGCTTCACCGCGCGCCAGCTGCGCATGTCCTTCCTCCTCCAGCCGTGGCACGGCCGCATGGACTTTAAGCAGTCCGCGCTTGGCGAGGTCAAGAATGCCGAGGCGGCGTTCAACAACTTCTTTGTCGGAATCAAGGCCAAGGTCGCCGAAGCCAAGGCGCTCGGTGATGGCTATTCGGACGGACAGCACCACTACGGCGACAAGGAGAAGGCGCTCATGCAAAGCCTCGAGGACGCGCAGCATGCCTTCCGCCTCGCCATGTGCGACTCGTTTGACACGCCCAAGGGCATGGAGGTGCTGCTGGACCTCGTGAGCAAGGCCAACGTCTACGAGAAGAGCCACGAGAAGCGCGCGGACGTCAACCTCGGCGTTCTCACCGCTGTCGCGCGCTACACGGGCGACATGCTCAAGATGCTCGGCCTGGGCGAGGGTGGTGCGCTCTCGGCGGCCAGCGAGCTCGGCTGGGGTGTTGCCGACGACTCGGCCGACGGCGCCCCGGCGGTCAACAAGGAGGAGCTGTTGCTGCCGTACCTGCGTGCGCTCAGCACGTTCCGCGACGCGGTGCGCAACCTCGCGCGCTCCGGCGCGCCCGCATCAGACTACCTCAAGCTCTCGGATGCACTGCGCGACAACGACCTCGTCGACCTCGGTGTTGCGCTCGAGGATACCGAGGACGGCAAGGCGCTCGTCAAGCTCGTTCCCGCCGCTCAGCTGCAGGCGGCCAAGCGCGAGAAGGAGGCTGCGGCGGCAGAGAAGGCGGCCAGAAAGGCCCAGGCTGCCGAACAAGCGCGTCTGAAGCGGCTCGAAAACCTGGAGAAGGGCAGGACGGCGCCCGAGCAGCTCTTCCGCACCGCCGAGTACAGCGAGTGGGACGAGCGAGGCATCCCCACCAAGGACAAGGAGGGCGCCGACCTCGCCAAGAAACGCCGCAAGAACCTCGAGAAGGACTGGGACAAGCAGACCAAGCTGCACAAGGACTTCCTCGACGCCCAAGCCAGTGGCGAGATCCAGTAGGCGCACGCGATTCACACTTACAAAGCTGGGCTCCGGGAATGCAAACATACACATTGAAGAAGACGAATCTACATTTTGTGTGATGTGCTGTGACCGCGATCAAGTCTGGGATACGATTTCGAGTTGGGCGTGGGCGCGGATGTCTTCTGGCGAGACCGCGGCGAGTTCGTCCTGGAGTGCGGCGATGAAAGTGCCTGGGCCCTTTACGTCGTCTCTCCTGGCTGCTTTTTCGCTGGCGATGGTCATACCCAGCAGACCCGTGAGTGCCCCCAGGAGCAAATCGACCTTTCCATGTGCGACCATTGTGTTGCCCAACGAGATCACCGGTTCTTCGTCCTTGGCCTTGTTGCAAGCTGCAGCCAGACCAGTAGCAACCGTGACGCCGAGTGCGCATCCGGAGCCCGTGATTGCACCCAGTAGCGGATGACCATTCGTGCTCGCAATGACCGTCTCACCATCGGTGAGATAGTCGGTTTTGCCCGATAGCAGCACCAGACACCTCTCCGTACGAGCCAGATGCCTAACCAGACCCACGGGATCCTTGAGTTGACCCGCACCCGAGTCGACGCCTCTCGACTGGACCTCATCCGACTTTCCGGCAATGCTCGCCAGTTCGGCCGCATTGCCCTTGAGCAGTGTCACCTGGGTGTGGTTCAGGATGCCGCGCACGACGTCTTTGCGGAACTGCGTGGCACCGCCACCAACGGGATCGAGAACCACGGGCTTGAGGTTTCGGTTCGCACACGTTCCAGCCACGTACATGCCCTCGCGCGAAGCCGGCGAGATCGTACCGATGTTGAGCACAAGCGCTCCAACGGCTCGGCTCAGATCCGCCGCCTCCGCAGCTTCGTGCGACATGATCGGAGATGCGGAGAACGCAAGTGCGAGGTTGGCGGACATGGTCGACGAGACGTGCGACGTGATGGTCTGGATCAGAGGAGGGCCGTGGGCGCCCTGGCGGTGCAAGCCGAGCAGATCGGCTGCGGCGTTCTTGTACCATTCCACATCGTGTGCCTTGGCATTCAACTCGGGAGGAAGCGCAAAGGCAGAAGACAGGCCCCATGTGTCGTAGATTGAGGCAGATGCATCAAGACCGACCTTGTACGCTCGCACGATGTGCGCGAGCTCCTCTGCCGCCTTGTCCGAGTCTTTCCTCGCCACGATGGCCGAGATGACCGCGATGCCGTCAGGCGCGTTCGTCTCGCTTGCTGCGCCAAAAAGCGTCCTCGCCGCCGTCTTCTGGTTAAGTCCGCCGATGAGCACGCAGGGCATTCTGCGTGGTCCCCTCGACAGCTCCGCGACGATCTTCTGCGCTCCGCTGATGCCAATCACCTTGTCCTCGGTGATACCTGCTTTGCTCTGGGTGCCGTAACATGGCCCCACGCCAGCATAGTCCGCGAAACCTTCCTGTCTTGCTTTTGTGGCCTGTTCGATCGTCTTGACCGAGATACCAAGCAATCGCTTGTCGCCGAGGATGCGACGCGCTTCCGAGACCGGGATGTCTTCCTGGCCAATGTGGAGTCCCACGCGCTCGGGCAGCGACAGACACACGGAGAGGTTGTCGTTGATGAGCATGGGTACTTTGTACTTGTCGCAGATGGCGAGCGACTTTTTCGCGATCTCGAGAAACTCGTTTGTCTCGGCATCCTTCTCGCGGATCTGCACCACAGTCACATGGCCGTGTGCAAGGCAGCGCTCGAGCGACTCATAGTAGTCGACGCCAGGTGGCAGGAGCTCCCGACCCGTCACCAGGTAGACCGAGTAGTCGACCTTGCTCTTGTTCAATTCCGACATGGTGCTGTGATGTTCCCTATCTCGAAAAGACGTGGAGTGGATGGCAGAAGAGAAGGATTGTGCTTCGTCTGGCGTATGGAAGATTCATGCGCGGATCGCCGACGCACGGACACAAAGTCGCCGTTCCGTAAGCCGTGGAGTGATTTTTTTCAATTCGAGATGTGAGGTTGTACTATGGAAACAGATCTGCGAAATTTTCTCCACGGATCGCGTCGCTCGCGTGTCCAAGATGGCGCCACCTGCAACCGAGCCTAACCTAGGAGCCATATCACCGCTCCACCAGCCGACTTCGATGCAGGCTACTGCGTGCGCTAGCCACTGCCACCATGCAAAAGCGTCACCCATGCTGTGACATGTCCCTTGCTGCTTGCCCCGTAGCCTCAGTCAGAGCACTTGCTGTTGCAGCCGTCGGCCCGGTGTAGGATGCAACACGTCGACTGCACCGCTCCGCACTCTCGCCCTTCCTGCCTCTTCGTCATGGCAGAAAGTGTACACTGCAGTGATGACCAGATGAATCTGAGCGTTCACGCACCATCTACATGCTTCTCACCGCCTCCTCTGCCCTGTCCTATTCTGATTTACCTGCCGATGGCGGCAGTGCCATGCGGATCGTCTTTCCTCGACGAGGCTCCCGGAACCAGCTCTCCGCTTCGATTTTAGCTCTCGTCACCTGCGGAGATGGTCTCACTCGTGCTTGTATAGGGTGCTCTGCAGCGTCCCGAGGTGCAGATCGCATGGGCTCGCATGAAGCATACGTCCATCCGACCGTCGCACCACTTTGGCCCACTGCCAAAATCGGAACCTCCCTCTCCACCCAGTGGCGCAGCGCGTGTAGCGAGCGATGAACCTGCGGACGTAGAGACTGACTGCACTGACATGAGCAACGTGATTCGCTCACTCAGGCAAGGTCTGCTCAGGCAAGATCCGCTCCGTGTGGCTGTCGAGACCTGATCAGGGACGGCGCTGAGATCCTTTATTGACGTTGACATTGTCCTCACCATCCTCTCGACCACCACCACCATTCTCTTCCACACTTTGTTCCGGTTCCTTTTCTCCTTCATTTTCTTTACCTTTGCTTTAGCTGGCCTTTGTCTTGCGATTTGGCGAAACTTTGCTCGTGTTCACCCAAGCCCCCAACGTTCGAGGACGATCATCGACCTGTGCACCTCGACGAACGAGTGAACAACGGAAAGCGTTTCGTCGACCACATCAATCAGTACGATTCGCTAGTCGAATCGTTTTCTCCACCACAGTCCAGCGCTTGAAGCCTGCACTGTTTCGCAACCTATCCAATACAGCAGCAAAGCCAGCAGAGCTTCTCCCGACTCGACCTGGTCTATCCATCTGTCTCACTGTTGCCCAGGAACTGGATTCTTGGCTTCACCTACGACTCGATCTAGCCGACGTCACTTTCCCCATCCGCCCCCTCGCCCTTGGTCTCTGGAAGACCACCTCTCCTCATCTCCGCTTGAAGCTCGCCATCCGCACCGATTTTGGCATTTTTCAGCGGTAATTCGGGCCTTTTTTCTATTTTCCGCATTTTTCACCCCGACTTGCGCTGTCCGACAGGCCGTCGAAGTCGCGCGTTCCAACCCTTGTCTCGGATCCAACTCGGCTGCCCTCTCCAGTTCGTAAGTACCGCACCGCACCGCAGCCCCGCACCTCTTTTCATGAGCCGAACTCCAGTCCCAGTCAGAGCTCGTCCGATCGCCACATTTGCTTCCCATACGTAGCCAGAGGCTCGGGTCGCACGAAGATGCGGATGTTCGTCGCCGAGACCCTGCGCTCGGCTGATCAAAAGCTTGATGACTGAGACGATGGATCGCCAAGGATTTTGCGCTCGTCGTGACACAGCAAAGACTGACTCTTGAACTTGCCTTCTCTGGATGCATCCTTCTGTTCTACCGTCATACGCAGTCTCAAGCGAGGACATATCGAGTGTAACCATGACTAGGGACTCGAAACCAGCTCTGCGCCAGAGTGGTCGGCGCAGAGCCGCGGGCGTCGTGGCCATGCTCGCGGTCGCTACGGCCGTCACCACCGCCACGTTTGCCGATGCCACTACGCTCCCCAGCAACTTGTGGGGGAAACGTCAAGATCCTTCCATGCTGAGCCAGGTGGAGGCTCAGGTGCTCAAGCTCATCAGCGCCGACGGATCGTTTGCCACGATGACGGGAGCGAATGCCAATGCCATCCAGTCGGCAGTGGGCATGAGCGGCGACGTCACGCCTGCCGTCGTCTCGGCGCTCAGCTCGGCAACAGCAGCCAGTGCTGCTGCCACTGATGCGGCGTCGACAGCTCAGACTCCGTCTGCTATCGTACAGGCTGTGGAGGCCACAGCAGCTCCCACGGACAAGGTGGCGAGCGACACGCTGAGCTCGGCGCAGGAGTCGCAGCTCGAGGGCGAGGTCGGCGCAGTCGCTGGAGACTCGACTGCTGATGGCGGTGTCCAGAGCTGGACGTACGACCCCGGCGCGTTTGGCTGTCTGGGAAGCGACGCTTCAGGCGATGCGGCTGCCACGCTGTGCAGTGTCAACGCTCCCGCCCCGACCGCGACGGGCGCTCGATCCGAGCAGGCCCTAGACAGCGTTGGAGACAGCGCCTTTGCGCCTGTCAATGCTGCTCCTACCCCAATGCGCAGGAACGCTGTTCGTGCCGCTCCGACCCCCGAGCCACGCCTGGACAGCGACCTCTCGCGCCGCCAATATCCGATCGACCCGGCGGGCCCGGCGTACACTTCGCTGCTGGTGTCATCGAACCTGTTCCCGCTCTTCACCTCGTACGTCACGCTCGAGCCGCCCTCGACGACGCGCGTCAACTTTGGGCCGACGTCGAACCTCAACGTGTCGTCGATCCCGCGCCGCGGCAGTTCGGACTCGGGCAACGGCGAGGCGCCGGGCAACATCAACAATCCCAACTCGCCCGACCTGGGCTGGCTTGACGTGCAGATCGGCGGCGTGCCGTACAAGAACGGCGACCTCATCGCGAGCATCGTGTGGATCCTGGCGACCATCGCGCTCATCCCGCTGCTGCTCATTCGACTGCTGCGCAGGTCCAGTCTGATCTCGATGGTGCTCATTACGATCATCGTGTTCATGGTGCTCATGCTCATCGGATTCGGCGTTCGCGCCAAGCTGGCCAACAACACACCGACGACGTCGATGATGAACGTGGAGGGCATCATTTTGGCCGTTCTGTTGCCATTGCTCATCGAACCGCTGCTGCATCTGCTCGGTCTGTACTCGAAGCAGGGTGGAAGGCCGTCCGGTGTACCCACGGCGAGTCTGGTGCTGAGGATCCTCAACTTTATCGTCTTCCTGCTCTTCCTTGTTGCAGCAGCGTATTATGCCAGCTGGTTGGACAAGTGGGAGAATGCACTCAAGATGACGCAGACCGCACAGGATCTGCCGGACATCATCCCGCCCAAGGTGACGCGCATTGCGCCTGTTGTGGGTGCGATCATCGAGATCATCGTGATTCTGGGCGCTGCACTGCTGATTCCCGTCGCAAGGGGTGATGCAGGAAGCATGCGTCCTGGTGGATTCATCTTTATCCTGCTCATCCTGTTGTTTGTGGCGACCGTGTATAGGCTGCTGCAGGCGCTGCATGCCACCACGCGCATCTCGGCAGAGCAGGGCGGCTCGTTGGACGCCAACGATCTGCTGCCTTTCTTCCAGGGCGGCTCCTCCAACACCACCACCGACAACCAGCGTGTCGCTAACGGCCTCTCCCTTGCACCGCAGGGCATGTACGGTCCCAACTCCGAGGGCATCGACTGGGAACAGCTCCAGCTCACCATGGCCAGCAGAGGCACCCCGCAGACCCCGCTCATCTTTAATTTGGTCTACGTGCTGCCCATGTGGTTGATGGTGTTCCTCCTCTTCTTCACTCACGCCCCTGCCGCCAAGAAGACCGAAGAGGCTGCCGGCGGTGAAGGAAACGTCGCTGTCGCCAAGGCTTAGGATTCCCTCATCCAATCATTCTTGTATTTAGCTAGCTCATTCATCCCCCCCTTAATCAATTATTCACGAAAGGTCCTCATGGCCCCTCTATTGCCTCTGGCAGCTTGTTCGCCGTCTCCGACACCTTCTCAGCGCACTCTCTCACCTTTGTGGGCCTCCCGTGTCGCCTCACCTCAACTTTACTCCGGTTTCGTTCTTGCACGCTGCCAGTCTCGCAGCGAGAGAGACAACGGCCTATCCCGCCGGCCGGGGCTCTGGACATGCCAACGACTCGGCCACCTGGCTTCACGCTCTCCGACTCCGACACCGACTCCGCCAGTGATACAGATGACAACGAAGACGCCGACCCTGGCTTCACTGTGGTCGCGGCATACCGGTTACGCTGACAGCGCCCGCTGGCGCATTCTCGACGGAGTGCTTGCACACGAAGAAAGGTTCGACGACGATGCCAAAAAAATGAAGCTCTAGTTGCTAATATTACAGAGAGGCATGTATGCAGATGTATGGATGATGCGTAGACGGGATGAGCATGCGATGGTTTGAAGTCAGCGTTTGGGGACACGCGCTACGTGAGCGTGAACTGGCTGCGTGCGCGGATCTGTTTTCCGTACTTGTAAAAGACGAACGGCACTGGGATCATGAGCACATTGAGACCGGCGAGGAACGCGGATGCGCCCTGGATGGTCATGCCGACGTACATCTGCTTTGCAAACAGCGGGAATGCGGCGGCAAAGGAGCTGCGCGAGAACGAGTTGGCCGCCATGGCGGATGCTGCCACGGGCCTGTACGCATGTGTCGTGTAGGTGAACACGGCGGTGAAGATGTAGCTGATGCCGACGCCAAAGACCACGGTTCCGAGAATCGGCACGATCCAGTGGATCGACGGGTAGGTGGTGAATGCGAACCAGAACATGCCGATCGGCAGAAGGATCGCTCCGACCATAGCAACTGGCAGGCGGAACTCGGGTTCAGCAACACCATTTCCTTTGGTTTCGACGAGACGCGTGTAGTGACGTGCCCACAACGGCATCGTCGCAACGGCAATCATCATGCCAATGCCGATACCGAGGAACGACAGACCAATCTCCTGTAGGTTGAACCCGTGCTTCTCGAACACGATGGGAAAAGCCACGAAGAATAGGTAAAGGATGCCTAGCAAGAGCGCCGACCACAGACACAGCAGCGTCAGCATGGCCTCGCGCGCCAGCAGCTGGAACGGCCTTGTGGACGAAGTCAAGATGGTCCTCGGGAGCGACTTTTGCGCGACTACACGTTCGTGCTCGGCGTACAGCTCGGTATTGCCCGTCTCCTTGCGCAGCTTCTTTGCCCTCGTGGCGAGCAATGCCGGAGCATACGACTCGGGTCCAAACAGCACAAGGATGACGAGCATCACCGTCGACCAGATGTTGATCGTCCAGAACGTCCAGCGCCAGTTCGTATTTTGGTTGATGAATCCACTGAGCAGCGGACCAAACACGGGTCCGAGGAAGGGTCCGTTGGTGTAGATGGCCATGGGCACAAAGATGTCGCTGGCAGCAAAGATGTCCGACACACTGCCGCCAGCAACACTGAGGAAGGCGGATCCGCAGAAGCCGGTGAGGAAGCGGAAGATGAGGAAGACGGCGAGATTGTTGGCAAAAGACACAGGCAAGCCGAGCAAGGTGAAGGCGGTGTAGGAGACGAGGTAGACAGGACGTCTGCCATAGAACTCGGAGAGCGGGCCTAACAACATTGGGCCGATACCTAGCCCAATCACAAAGAGGCTGAGGCCGAGAATGGCGACCTCGCGCGAGACGTGGAACTCGTCCTGGATGCCCTGGTAGGCATTGCTGATGATGGACGATGTGTTGGTGACGCAAAAGGCGCACGAAGTGACGACGCAGAGCAGCATGATCTTTCGTGCGCGCGACCAGTTGAGCGGGTTCTCCGCATCGTTGTCGGCCCAGGTGACGAGGTTGGGATCCGCGTCCGATTTTGCTGCCGCCTCCTTGGACGGGCCGGGCTTGGATTGCGGTGCCTCGCCCTTTTCGAGATCCGTGGCGGTGGGCGACTTGTTGTTCGCCTCGTTCGTAGTCGAGGCGGCACGAGAGCTCGTGCTTGCCCTGGCGGTGTCTGACATGCTGGTGCGTGGCGTTGGCAACGCTGATGTCTCCATGGCGGTGATGTTGGAGCAGCGATCGGGATTTCGCTTGCACCGAAAAGATGAGCACGGAGAAGGTCGGCTTATAAGCGTGATGGTGTCGAGACAACCACGAACTGCAGCTGGGCTAGCCGACAAAGAGCGTACAGGTGCAAGGGTGGAGAGAGCCTTGGGTGGAGCAGGGCCACTTTTGTGCGAGGAGCTGCCGGGTGATTTAACGGGGATTGGCGGTCAATTGACGCGCGCGGTCTGATGACGGCAGCGAAATTCCACGAAAAAATGCTGGAAATTCCTCTCTCTGGCTATGCAAAAGCAGCGCAAAAGCCGATTTCCGGCGGGTCGTGCTGAGGCCGATGCCGAAAGTGATGCAGACTCGTGCCGAAGTGACGATGTGCAAGCGAGCCGAAGTGTTGGTGGTGTGAATGTGCGGAGATAGGGCGGAGGCAGGTATGACATGGTAAGGAACGGCCCTTATATCCATACGGAACGTGCAAATCCTTGACACATGTCCGGGGTCTTGCGGCAGGTTAGAGCGGGAGTTCGGAGCGCCATGGCTTTGGTGAGTTCTTCTAACGACATCGGACCCTCGTGCGGCACGGTCGATCAAGCGTCAAACCCGACCCGAGTCAGATGGACTTTCCTCACTGGCCATTGTCGTTCTCGACGGCAAGTTTCTCGGAGGTGGCCGAGGCAGCGTGGAGGAGGTGGGATGCCATAGGCCAGCTTCACTTCAAGCTCCGTGACAGCCTGCAAAATTTGGTTCCTAGCATGCCGAGCATCCGACGAAGCGTGACATCTCCCGATTTTAATGAGATCTTCCGAGATCATCGGCGGAACGCGCTCGGTCGCAGCGTGTTCCGGTGGGAGGGTCTGAGTGTGATCTCTGAGGGTGCGTGCACGTCTGCTGTCTGCAGCTGCACCTTCGACGACAATCACATCGGCCTTGCAGATGAATCTCGTCGACGTGCCCAACATCCGCTGCTGACCCACCGCCGACGGCCTTCCCCACTCGCCATCACGAGCACGCCGCTGCTCACCACCACGCGCACCGCGGCGGATCCAGCAGCTGCCTCGTCACACTGCTTCTGCCTCCATCTTGTCGGTTCGGCACGCCCATCATTGTTGTCGGCTGATCCGATCTGATCCGTCGCCAGGACAGCGCAGGCCGTGCGGCACTGCCGATCGATCTTGGCTTGTTGTGCATCTCTCGGTGCTTCACCGACGCCTTCTGACCCACTTGGTGCTCCTGCCACCGCCACAAGCCAACCGTCTCTCTGGTGCGCCGCCTCGACCAAGCGCCAGAGCCCTCGATCCTCATCATTCATCCTCCATCCAACCCGCTCAACATCCCCACCCGCCGTCGCAGGACTCAGAGCGCCAACCTGCAAGACGCGCTCAACTGTCGCATCAACCTCTCCTCCTTCACTCCCTCCAACACCGCTCCCGCACATCCCACGGCCACCACCCACTCCGCCTCGGGCTCGGCATCGCGTGGCGCCGACGCAGCCGCCAGCTCCAGCTTTCCTCCGCCACCCTCCTCCTCCTCCGCCGCCAACGCTCCCCTCGCTACATCCAGCTCCTTGATCGAAAACCTCGTCAACACCGGTCAGAATCCGGCACTCCGCAAGGTCCTCTTCCAGCTCGGATCGGCGCAGAACTCGGACCTATCCGCGGTCACCAACTCCCTCTCGTCGTCTGCACCGGCGTCGTCCACGCCTCTGTCCGAGCTAGCTGCAGCAGGCGCTGACCCTTCGCGAGCCGACCCGTCGTTGCAGGCTTCCGAGGGCAGCGCATCTACTGCTACTCACGGCTCATCCTTGCCGCCAACCAGCAGCAACAGCGCCGCCAGCGACTCCCTTTCGCAACCTACGCCGCAGCGACAACCCTGGCAACGTCCGCCGTCCTTTGAGGGAGGCACTTCTTTCCGCCAACATCTCGAGCGGAGCCAGGTCCAGCTCCAACAACCGCCCACCATGTCTGCTCCCACCTCACAACCCCAGCCTCAGGCCGGCATGGCCCCGCAATCCCAGAACCAAGGCGGGCCTCTCGACTCGGTCACGCTCGGTCAGCTTCGCAACCTCATCGTCACAGACAAGCCAAAGTCGAGGCAGTACGACTTTCCCATCGATGCCGATGCCGACAACATGCAGAACGAGATCGACGAATTCTACTCGTACGTCGAGGTGCCGCAAACCGCAGAGAACAGGACCGCATGGGAAGAGTGGTGCACCATGCCCACCCACTTGCGCCACGCTGGCTACTCTTCCACCGGCTCCGAGCTCGGTACCGCAGAACCGTCCTCTTCGCTTGGCCTCGGTCTCGACCTCAACCACGCCGGTGTGGCCCCCCACAGCGCTGAAGCCCAGTCCGCAGGCATGCCCAGGAGAGCAAGCCTGGTCGAGCCGGCCCTTGGAGAGTGGACTACGCTTGGCAGCTCCACGCGCAGACGCATCCTCCAGTCGCTCCTTTCCACTCTCGAAGTGCGCGACCCTGAAGCCCGTTTCCGCGCCTCTCGTGCGCTGCTCTACCTGCTCCAAGGCGCCTTCGCAGACACAGCTGGCCCAGAACATCAATTGCACTGGCTCCTCGAAAACGCTCGCATGGTCCGATCGCTCGGTGGTCTGGGCGAAATTTACTCGGCCATCAAACTCGCCAGCTGGAAGCACGACTACCTCAGCTCCCTTCCGGACCACATTCCCTCTCACGAGCCTGCTCATTCCGGTCAGCAAGGCCCCGCCAACGCGCCACTGCTCACCCCAGAGGCAAAGCTCGAGTATCTCGACGAGATCAACCTCGAACTCGCGCTCCACTTCGCCCAGCTCTACTCGCTCCTCGAGAGTTCTCGAGGCGAGGAGGAATGGGGCGACGAGCTCATGAGTCTCGATCCTCCGCTTCCCATTTTCCTCTTCGGCCTCGTGGCATCGTTGCGCGAGAAGAGCGCCAAGGGCTATCCGGTAAAGAAGCTCTTACTGCTGCTGTGGAAGTCGCTCCTCTCGTGCTTCGGAGGGGTCAAGGACGTCGAGCGCTGCAAGCTCCTCGCCCGCGAGATCGAGGGTCTCGGCCCCATCGACAAGTCCACCAAGCGCAACGTCCTCAAATCGGATCCACTCCACTTTCAGGATTTCCAGCACGAGATCTCGGTCAAGTACCCGACATTTGAGCCGCCAAAACGCCAGGATCACGATCTGCCCCTCGACAAGCTCGCCAGCGCCATCCATCCCATCCCGCCCCGCAAGCCGTTTAGCAACCATCTCGATGGCTCGGATCGCTACTCTGGCGGACCTCAACAAGGACCTAATGGCATGCTCCCTGGCACGCCCGCGCCATCTCCTCCTCCGTCCCCCAAGCCCAACAAGGCCAAGTACCAGACGGACCAGACACGGCCATTCATCTTCCCCTACAGCCGTCAGGTGCACGGCCAGGGTCGTCTCGTCCCGCGCAGCATCGACGAAGCTTCCAAGCTCTACACGGAGCACATGCACGTCAGCCTGGAACTGTGGCAGACTTGGAGAGTGCGCGAACAGTGCATCCAAGAAGAGAGCGGCGTCGGCAGCGCCGCCGACGGCACTCGCATCGGGCTTGGCGTCAAGTCAGCCGCATCGAAAGCCTACGTCCGCACCGACGCAGCCTCGTCCTCGCAAGGCAGTCGCAGCCCAGTCAGCTCCGAAGCCTTTCCGCCCCGCGGTGTCTCGGAGCGCACCTTCAAGGTCAAGGGCGAAGCCACCTATGAGCATCTCGTCGAGATCGAAGAAGACATCGAGGCGGAACTGCGCGACGTCGAAGGAGACCACATGCTCGCGGCACTCGACAATCCGCGTCATACAGAGCTGATCGATCAGCTGGCACAGAAGAGGGCTGACGTGCGTCGACTCCAGCGCGTCGACCAGCTCTATCGCGCCGTCCTGCCGCAGCTTCAGTCGTCGGTCATCGTGCTGCTCAAGCTCTTGCTCGCCACGGTCACCTCGATCAACACCAACTCGGCACACGCTGCAGCGATCGCCGAGGGCGCTCCGATCGACGAAGCACCGCCTCCGACCCTCGAGGATGTCGACGTGGCGCGCCATCGCGAGATCCTGACCAAAGCCGTCTCGGCCATCCTCTTGCTCTGCCTCAAGTGGTTCAAGGCGAGCCACGTGATGAAGTTCAACTACCTCTCGCAAGTGCTCGTCGACAGCAACGTGCTGCTGCTCATCCTCAAAATCTTTGGGCTTCAGGAGATCGCGCACGGCGTCAAGACAAAGAACGAAGCGGACAACTTCCGCTTCTTCAACTACTGCTATCTCAACGGTGGTCGCGAGGCCCGCGGCCCTCGGGCTGAGGACTCGCTCATGTCGCGACACAACATCATCGGGCCCGTCGCCATCAATCCGGGCACCACGTCGCCGCCGCCGGGCAAGGCGACGCTCATGCCCGACGGCACCGAGGTCGAGATGGTGAGCGACTACTCGTGGCGCAACTTTTTCTCGTCGATCAACTTTACCCGCATTCTGCAGAAGCTCACCAAGCGCAAGGTGCACCGCATCCTGCTGCTTGTGCAGTACAAGAGCTCGGCGATCCTCAAGCGCTCGCTCAAGGTGCCTCATCCGGGACTGGAACTCTACGTGCTCAAGGTGATCAAGAGCCAGATCCCGTTCTGCGGGCGCAAGTGGCGCCAGAGCAACATGCGCGTCATCACGAGCATCTATCTCAACTGCCGCCCCGATCTGCGCGACGAGTGGCTGAGTGGCTCGGATGTCGAGGCGGACGTCGAGGACTCGCTGCCGCAGGAACAGGCGCTGCGCTCGCTCGTCAAGTTCTACAACCATACGCGCTTCGGTCCGCCGCCCGGCGCCGCGATCGGCCACGGCGAAGGCCACGGCCATCGACGCTCGATCAGCACGAGCGCCGAGCGACACCAGCAGGAGATGCAGAACGGCCAGCAGCAGGGCCATGCGCAGCCGCACATGCAGTCGCAGTTCCACGCGCAGCAGCCGCAGCACCAGCAGGGCGGTCAGCAGCACGGCGCGCAATCCGACGGCGGACCGCACTCGCAGGAGGCTCAGCAGGCGCAGCGTGGTGGCATGTCGAACGGCGACGGCGCCAACGAGCACGGCGCGCCGCCTGCGACGCTGTCGCCTACACGCACGGCCAACGGGCCGTCGTTCTTTGAGAGCGACGTGCTGCCGCCGCTGCGGCGCTCGCACCAGGCGTCGGCGCCCGGCGGCTACATCCCGGACGACGTTGTCGAGGGCTATCTGGACACGTACGAGGATGTGCTGGGCGAGGTGTTTGGCGAGAACGTCTTCTACCCCTCGGACGGCGGTGGCGAAGGCGGGGCGGCGGAAGACGACGGGTCGGGCGGCGAGGCGGGTGCGAGTGGTTCGGGCTGGAGCTCGGGCAAGTGGGGACTGACGCAGCAGGGGTCGTCGACGGCGTGGGCGCGGCTGGGCGAGATCCTGGGCGAGACGGGCATCACGGATGCGGACACGGCGAGCCTCGACTCTGCGCACTCCGGGGCCGGCAGCGTGGCTGGGTCGCTGACCGACGACGAGGGCGAGCGCGACGAGAACCGCAACGACTGGGAGCACATGTCGCCCAAGGAGATGCGCTTCCTCAGCTCGGGCGTGCTCTCGCCGCCGTCGCCGTCGCCGATCCCGCTGCACGGGGGCAAGCAGCCGTCGCCGCTGCAGTCGCCGCGCATGAGTGCGGCGGAGCTGGGCACGTCGGCGCTCGACACGTCGCCCGGCTCGCCCGTGCGGCCGTTTACGATCTCGGGCGTGAGCTCGGGCGGCGGCTCGGGGTCGCGGCCGGGATCGCGGCGCAACAGCCGCTCCAACTCGGACAGCAGCCCGCTGCGGCCCGTGCTGACCGACTGGGCGGACGACGAGCAGCTCGACCAGATCGACCGGCTCGCGCAGGCCGAGGCGCGCGGCGAGGACGAGCAGGACCTCGACACCGCACAGCCGCTGCCCCTGCACAGCCGCAAGGCGGGCGGCATCGACGAGGTGGAGCACATCTTTGGCACCTGATCTCTCTCGCTGCGTTTTGTCGTGTTGGAAATGCGAATTGTGCGTCCAAAGCTGTGTTTGGAAATGTTGGGAGTGATGCAGACGGGTTGCGGGTGGATTAAAGAGGTTGAGATTGCGTTGTGAGCGTAGGAGCTGCGCATCTAGACTATCGAGGTGGCGAATCAACCGTAGTTGAGGCTGCAATTCAGAAGCGGAACGAAGACATTAGCAGCTGTGGTCGAGGGGGTTGATGGGTTGGTGTTTGGGGTGGGGGATTGTGCATACCGGAAGATATCGTTGAAGACGTAGAACGAGCCGTTTTCGGGGTTGAGGGTGAAGGTCTGGGAGAACTTGAGGGGGTTTGCGCCGTCGTCTACGACGAGCATGCCGGTCACGAGCACGACGAGCGAGTTACCGTCGCCGGTGGGTTGAGCATCGCGGGTCTCGACCTTGTGCTGGACCTTCTCGAATGGCAGGCCCGTGAGTTTTTCAACAATAGCCTGGGCACCCTGGACTTGCGAGCCCTCGAAAGTCAGCATCGAGTTGGCCCTCTACCCAACACCCAAGACCATAATAAAAGTTCAGCTGTGTGATCAACCCTAGAAGAAATCACGGCGTGGGGAAGGGGGAACGTACGTAGAGGTTAACGAGCTGGTTTCGATCAGCATCGAAAGTCGAGTAGTAGAAATCGGTGAACTGCTGTGCAATCTGCTCCATTTTGACGACAAAGACGGGCGGTGGATGATGGTCGATTGTTCGAAAGATCAATCCGCAGGTGGTGTTGCGCATCTTTGACCTTTGCCCCCCCAATCCCGCTCCAACACATGGCAAAGCTCACCAAAAAAAGCTAACACCGCGCAAAAATTGGTGAATGTTAGGTCCAAGTAGCAAGGCGATCACGCACGGACCCAGCTCAGCCCCCGCAATCTTCTTGGGCCCAATTTTCGACGCCTCCTTTTTCCACGCTTTCTTCAGAATTGCCTCTCGAAGGCACTCACCCCTTCCTTCATGTTGAGGGCCTGCGCTGCGATGTGCTGGATGAAGAATGCATTTACTACGAGCAGAGATGAACACAACAAAGAACAGTCATGACGGACATTATTTTGAGATGCGCCTACTCGTCGTCTGCCGCGTCGTCGACCTTGGCAGCCACGGCGTTGGCGCGCTTCTTGACGCCGTCCTTGGCCTGGACGGCCGACGCCTTGGCGGAGGCAGCGAACTCCTTGGCCTTGCCCTTGGCGGAAGGTGCATCGACCTTCTTGGCGTCCTTGGGCACCTTGGCGCTGCTGCCACCGAGCACGCCACCGACGAGACCGACGAGACCGAGCAGACCAGCAAAGGCGGCGCCGAGGCCGCCGGCGACCTGGGGCATTTCCTTGATCGCCGCGATGGGGTCCTGGCGTGCGGCGCCGATGAAGGTGTTGACGTGCGAGCGCACCTGGTCGACAAAGCCGGCGCCCTCGGCAACATCGGCGGCCTTGGCAGCCTGCTCCTTCTCGGCGTCCTCCTGGCCCTGCTCGATCTTGATCTTCTGCTCAAAGGTCTCGGCGGAGAAGGCCTTGGCCTGTGCAGGGTCGTGGCCGATGTAGATGTTGTCAAAGAGGATGTCTTCGTCCATGGTCCAGAGCTCGAAGCCGACACCGCCGATGGGGTTGAAGTCGGCGGGGCTGTTGTCCTCAAAGAAGTTGGGGTTGGCGATCTTGCGCGGGGCCCAGACGCCCTTGTAGTCCGGGTTGTCGATGAGCGGCGCAGACCACTTGCCCTTGTAGGCCGGGTTGCGCTTCACGGGACGCACCCACTCGCCGCAGCCGGGGGCGGCCTCGCACTTGGGGTTGGGGATGCTGGGAGCGAACCACTCGCCGTCCTCCTCGTCGTCCCACTCCTCGGGCTTCTGTGCGTCCGGGTCGGGCACGGTGAGGGGCTCGGACTCGAGCCAGCCGTCAGGGATCGTAGCCTCGTCGTCGGGGATCTCGAGCGGCGCATCCTCGTCCCAGTCGGCGGGCTTGGTAGCGGTGGGATCGGCGATCCTGGCCTGCTCGACCCAGTCGGCGGGCTTGGAGTCGGTGGGGTCGTCGATCTCCTTGGACGGGTTGACGGGGGGCTCAAAGTCCTCGAGGAGGGAGCCCTTCTTCTTGCTCTCGTTGTTGATGAAGATCTCGAAGGTCTGGTCGGGCTGGACGACGAGCGTGTAGAGCGTCGAGGTCTTTGCGAGCTTGGGGTATGCGGGGTACTTGACGTGCTTTTCTTCGAACTCGCCGGTCTTGGGGTTCTTGTGGCGGAAGATGAAGTGGACCTTGTTGGTCTGGCCGCACTTGTCGGGGCCGAACATGATGGTGTAAGGGGTCTTGTCCGAGAACTCGTCTGGGGTGACGCCTGCTTCTGTTGCCGAGAGGAGCTTGATGTAAGCACCGCCGCATCCGAGACCCTTTTGCAGCTTGACCTCGTACTGGACGACGAGGGGCTTGCCCTTGGGGTCGATGGGCGTGTCAAAGAGGTGGGAGATGGCGTGCTGCTTGGCCTTGGACTTGAGCACGAGACCGGTGTCGCCGGCGAGGCCGGGGAAGACCTCGGGCTCCTCTACGGCCCAGACGCCGTCGTACTTGAAGGCCTCGGTGTCGTCCTCCTTCTGGAACTTGGAGGCTTGGGAGGTCTGCCATCGTTCGGACCAATCCGAGGTGAACTGCTCGATGAAGGGGGCCTGGATGGATGTGGGGGTGAACTGTGGCCTGGCGGCATCGGCGGAGACGACCTCTGCGAGGACGAAGGCGGCGAGGGCGGCTGCGACGGCGGGCTTCATTGTGGCGACGGCGACGATGGCAGCAGTGGCGGCAGCAGCAGCAACAGGGTGTGGTAATGCAAGCGGCTGAGTGAGGCTGGTGGACGGGAAGAAGAAAGGAATAAGATGCCGACGTGGAAGGAGGAGAAGTTGCGTTAATGCGAGGGAGGGATGATTGCCGGTGAGGGAAGATGTGAAGTGAGAACGACAGAGGGCCGTGCTCTGGGCCTTTGGCGCAAAGCAGCCGAAAGTGGGAAGGCGCAGCTCTACTCCGACGCCTGGTGATGTGGAAGCTTTGGGTCTCGCCTTCGCCTCGCCTCGCCACTTGCATGCGAGGCGGGTGCCCACGTCACCACTCACCCAAATTGTGCCAACGCTCGCTCCCCGTCCAGGCGTTCCTCCGCCTTGAGGACCGGACTCGACTCTCGAATCTGGTCTCACCCGCAACAGAGAATCCGCTCCAACGCAGCGAAGACATCGGTTCGACCCGACCGTCTTCTGCTTCTGCATTCAAATGGGCGCGCAGGGGCCAAGCAAGCTCAAGTGCGGGCGCGAGGACCCTGGACGGCAAGGGCCGCGTTGCAAGGCCAGTGCATCTGTGTGTCCATTTTGCTCGAAGCTTCGGCGCCGCGTGCATGGCTTTGACGTGGAACCTTTGAGCTGCTGCTGGCCGTGACATTCTTCTTACCGGCCGAAAATTTTGCAAAATGTTAGCGCCGGCAGAGCTCACAAATCCCAAGAAATCGCGATTGAGGGACGCGTTGTGGTCGGGGCTGTGCCGATCGCAGCTGAGCTCTCGCTGGCTGGCTGTGCTGGCTGGCTGGCTGGGCTGCAGGCAAGCAACACTTTGCGATGCGCAGCCGGCGATTTTGAAGCTCAGCCAGGCTGGGAGAGCAGGCACAGGCAGTAATCCAACACCCACAGCTCAACGCAGCGACGCACCAACGCAGCAACGCCCGCACTTGGGCACACACTCACGAGCCAGGCGTCACGCTCTCGACGCAGCAGCCATCCGAGCATCTACTCCACCTCTCGCTCTCTCGCTCTCCGCTCGCGATCCGAGGTGCTTGCAACTCAACCCTGTCCCCTCAACACCGCCACGACCATCCCGCCCACGTCCTCCTTCATCCAACCCCCTCCGCTGCTCTGCAGTCATCCCGCAAAGTACGTTCTCCCCGCACAATCAACCGCGCATTCGCATTCCAGCAGCAGCGCGCTATCCTCATCCACTGCCAGCTTTCGAGCTCCCGTATCGAACTCAGCTTACCCGTTTTCATCTCGTTACCCTACGCAGACTCGCTCTCACGACCTGAACCACGACTCGCACGCTCCAGCTCGCACCAAGCCTGCTTGAGCCTCTCCTCCGCCGCATCTCATCCCATCTTCACCCGAGCTCAGCGCTCCCACCGCTTACATCATGGCTATGGACCAGTCGCTAATCAAGCTCGTCAACAAGCTCCAGGATGCCTTCAACAATGTCGGCATCCAGAACCCCATCGACCTGCCCCAGATCACCGTGCTCGGATCCCAGTCGTCCGGAAAGTCGAGTGTGCTCGAAAACATCGTCGGCCGCGACTTCTTGCCTCGTGGTACCGGCATCGTAACGCGTCGCCCTCTCGTCCTCCAGCTCATCAACCGCCCAGCCGCCGCCAAGACCAACGGCGATGCTCTTCCCGCCGGCGCCAACAAGGGCGCCAACAACCCAGACGAGTGGGGCGAGTTCCTCCACCTCCCCGGCGAAAAGTTCTTCGACTTTGACAAGATCCGCGAAGAGATCGTCCGCGACACCGAGCTCAAGACCGGCAAGAACGCTGGCATCTCGCCTCAGCCCATCAACCTCCGCATCTACAGCCCCAACGTCCTCACCCTCACCCTCGTCGACCTTCCCGGTCTCACCAAGGTCCCCGTCGGCGACCAGCCCAGAGACATTGAGCGCCAGATTCGCGACATGGTGCTCAAATTCATCTCCAAACCCAACGCCGTCATCCTCGCCGTCACCGCCGCCAACACCGACTTGGCAAACTCCGACGGCCTCAAGCTCGCCCGCGAAGTTGACCCCGAGGGAACCCGCACCGTCGGCGTGCTCACCAAGGTCGACCTCATGGACGCCGGCACCGACGTCGTCGACATCCTCGCCGGTCGCGTCATCCCGCTCCGCCTCGGCTACGTCCCGGTCGTCAACCGCGGCCAGCGCGACATCGACCAGAAGAAGCTCGTCAGCGCCGCCCTCACCGCCGAAAAGGACTTCTTCGAGAACCATCCGAGCTACCGCAGCAAGGCGCAGTACTGCGGCACCCCCTTCCTCGCCCGCAAGCTCAACACCATCCTCATGCACCACATCCGCAACACGCTCCCAGACATCAAGAACAAGATCGGCAGCCAACTCGCCAAGTTCCAGGCCGAGCTCGCATCGCTCGGCGGACCCATGGGCGAGAACAACTCGGCGAGCGTGGTGCTCCAGATCATCACCGAATTCGCCAACGAGTTCCGCACCGTCATCGACGGCAACTCCAACGACCTCACCGTCAACGAGCTCGCCGGTGGTGCGCGCATCAGCTTCGTCTTCCACGAGCTCTACGCCAACGGCGTCAAGGCCATCGACCCCTTTGACATGGTCAAGGACACCGACATCCGCACCATCCTCTACAACTCGTCCGGCTCCTCCCCCGCCCTCTTTGTCGGCACCACCGCCTTCGAGGTGATTGTCAAGCAGCAGATCAAGCGTCTCGAGGATCCGGCGCTGCGCTGCGCCTCGCTCGTGTACGACGAGCTGGTGCGCATCCTCGCACAGCTGCTCACCAAGAACGCCAGCTTCCGCCGCTTCCCCGCGCTCCGCGAGCGCTTCAACACCGTCGTCATCCACTTTTTCAAAAAGTGCATGGCGCCCACCACCAAGCTCGTCTCGGACTTTGTGGCGGCGCAGGCCGTCTACCTCAACACGGGCCACCCGGACTTTATCAGCGGCCACAAGGCCATGGAGATTGTCAATGAGCGGCTCAACCCGCCGCAGCCGGCGCACGACCCCAAGAAGCCCAACCCGCACGCGATCAACAACGACAAGGACCTCGACGTGTCGCTCAAGAACGAGTCGGGCTTCTTTGGCAGCTTCTTCCAGAAGACGAGCAACCAGCCGAGCCAGGCGGTCAAGGCCAAGAAGGCGCTCATGGAGGCGCCGCCGCCGTCGCTCAAGGCTTCGGGCCAGTTCAGCCAGCGTGAGCAGCTCGAGACCGAGGTGGTCAAGCTGCTCATCCAGAGCTACTTTAACGTGGTCAAGGTGGAAACCATCAGCATGGTGCCCAAGTGCATCATGCTCAACCTCGTCACCCAGTCCAAGGAGCAGATGCAGAAGGAGCTCCTCCAGGAGATCTACCGTCCCGACGTGCTCGACGAGCTCATGAAGGAGTCCGACCACGTGGTGGCTAGGAGGAAGGAGTGCGTAAAGATGATCTCGGCGCTCGAAACCGCCTCGGAAATCATCGCGACCGTGTAAAGTGGCCATGCTCGCAGCGGTGGGGCACAGTGTAAATCTGGTTTCATGATCAATAAAAAGGGCTCTCTCTTTGCTTTTTCCTTTTGCATTGCATGGTAGAATGAGTGGATGAGGTATCTAAGCAAGGGGAGGTCAAGGCGACTCGTCTCTAGACTTTTTGCGAGCGGCTTCCGAGTCGAGACCCTGTCTCTTGATGCCGCGCTTTGCGTCGTCGAGGAACTGGTTGATGGCAAACGGATCCGACTCGTCCTTTTCGAACTGGACTGGGCCTGATCTCGGCGCGCCCTGTTGCTGTTCGTCCTGTGCGCCCTCGAACTTGCTCTGACCCAGCCCAAAACGGTCGTTGTTCTTCAACTCTTCCTCGAAAGCGCCATCGTCTGCACCATAGATGTCGTCTGCGCCTCTACGGCCTGCAGGACGACGGTAGATGGCAGCAGCCGCCGAACTTCCCGAAAACAGTGGCTTGTCATAGAGGTTGTACGAGTCTTCATCGCCATAGCCCGTGAGCGATTCTTGGTTGAATAGCCGCGTATCGGTCATGCTGTCCTTGGACGCTGTGGGCTTGGCGAGACCCAGGGCGACTTTCTCGGAGATGTCGCGGTTCTGCTCGCGCAGTAGCTGCTTGGCACGCTGTTCGTGACCCATGTTGGACATGCGCAGCTCGCGTTCCCTCTCGCGTCGACGCTCTTCGCGGATGCGATCGCGCTCGCGCGCTCCATCGTCATCCTCCTCCTCCGACGCCGAACCCGATCCAGACTCCGAATCAGAGCCGTACCCAGCAAGCATGGCCGAAATTCCCCCACCTGCACCACCAGACTGCCTCGCCCCCACATCCGAGTCGTCCAACCTCGACGCCCCATCATCGTCCGCACGACCCGAAACCGAGGGAGTGGCAGAGGAAACACCCGCGCGCTCGTCACGCGCCCGCTGAGCCAGGTTCCGCAGATGCTCCTCCTTGGCTGCCTTCTCCTTGGCCGCGAGTTTCTGCTGCATGATGCTGCGCTGGCGCACCTCTTCGCGCGCGTGTCGGTCGGCAAGGTTGAGCGCCTCGGCAAACTGCGCAAAGTTGTCGTTGATGACCACATCGTTGATGCCCCTTCCATCGGCAGCCAGACGCTTATCGAGCGGAATGGTGTAGCCGCGGTTGTTCTTCCAGTTGGAGATGGCGGGTGGAATCATCCAATCCTTCTGCTCCTGCGCCGTCACCTTGCGCGGCGGCGAGCGCAGTACGGGTGGTGGAGGAGACGGCGGGCCCTGCGCCACCTTCTTGATGCGATGACGCGGCGGTTCGAGAGGATCGCGTGCGGCCTCGGTCATCTTGATGATGCGCTGGCTTGCGTTGCCCGCACCCTGCTGGCCGGGTGTGTAGCGGATGAACTGCGCCGCCTGCTGACCTCCCGCTGCGTTGGCGGACTTGGGTACGAGCGACTTGGTCTTGCCCTTGGCGAGCGCCTCGAGTGCAAGGCGCGTGCGTTCGGTGTTGCTCATCACTTCCTCCTGCGACGGACGCTCGAGCCCGGACGAGCGGTCGCTGTCTCTGACATCGCTGCGCTGCGAGAGCGGCACGAGGTCCTTGAACTGCGTCTGGACGGTCTGCCCCGGTCGAAGGGTCTGTCTGACGATTGCATCGTATCGCTTGTTGCCCTCGGCGTCTACGCGCATGGCAAGCTTGTTGCCCGGGCCAGTCGCCCTGCTGCGGCCCATGTCGAGCGGATATTGGGCAATGTGGCATTCGGGATAGGCGCCGCCTCCGCCAAAGTCGGCCTGCGTGCGTGGCCGCCAGGAGGATCGCTGGCCATATGGATGAGCACTAGACGCGGATGCTGACACGAGTGCGCTGGAAGACGACGAGGCGGACTTCGAAGGACCTGCCTCGGCCTGGTCATACGCATCGTCATCGACTTCGGCCTCCTCATCGTGGGAGACGGATGCGGCCGAGTACCTAGGCGCAGGCAGCACGCTCTGCAATGTGGCGGCCATAGTGATGTGGAGATGGGTGCGTGGAGGCAAGATGCACAGCAACTTAGCCGGTTGAGTGGACGGCTTGCTCCTCCACGCCCAAGGTGCGTTTGGGATGCATCGCGGCTGAGCAGCCTCGAAGCGCTGAAATTTCCAGCATCACGTGCCAAGTGGGCCCGATGAGGTCGTGAGCGCCCCGATGGCGATGACCAAAGACAGCAGAGGGGCGCGCGTCGATGGATGGCCGCCTTCTGCTTCCTTTGGATTCCGATTTCCGTGAGTGGGAGAGGGCAACGAGCGAGTTGGATTGGAACGCGACTCTTTCGGTCCACATCCTGCGAACCGAACGCCCTGACCGCCTCGAGGCTTCCCGTGCTGAGCTCTTTGCTGAGTCGCAGCCATCCGTCTACCTCTCCTCCTCCATCTTCACCTACCGACAAAGCACCGTCTTGCACATTCGGCCAGCGATCGCATCACTGCGGCTCGCGTCAACTTCGCCGAGACAGCTCACTTGGATCCGCAGCTCAGCTTCCTCCACGCTCCTTCCTTCCTTCTTCAGCAGCCTTTCCGACATCGACCATCTTTCGTCACGCCCATGCCGCTTTCGCTTCCTTGAATGCTAGCTCTGTAGCAAAGCCGAGTGCATACATGGTGCTCGCATACGAGTAGCCTACTTGACAGCAAGGGGTTACCGTCGCCGCTCCCTCGCCCAGCATGTCCAAGCTCCAACGCGGCACAGCCGCATACCGCGGCTTCACCGTCAGCCATCAGCGTGTGGTTCTCGACCTTGGCTTCAACGGAACCGTCGTCGGCTTTACAGAACTCACCATCGTACCCGCACATCGCAGCTTGCGCACCATCCACCTCAACTGCAGGCAGGCTTTCGTCCAATCCGTCTCCATCGCTGGCCATGCCGCCGAGTTCAGCTACGCAGACCATCTCACCGGTGCATCTATCGCCGACACACGCGACGTGCACCGTTACCCCGAGCTCAAGCGCAGGATCTATGCTGCCGCATCCGACGGTGCCCACGGAGAGCTCAGCATCCTCATCCCGCCAGACGTGCACATCCAGTCCCAGCGTGCAGGCAGCAGAGCCCAGAGCATCACACCAGACGATGCCCCTACTCCCGGCGGCTCCAGCGCTTCCAACGAGCTTGCCCCCATCACCGTGCGCGTCGACTACTATCTCAAAGATCCCACCGACGGCATCCAGTTCATGCGTCCCACCGCAGACAGTCCCTACCGTGTTCCACATCTCTTCACCATCGCCTCGTCGTCCGACGCCGCACGCAGCTGGGTGCCCTGTGTCGACAGCCTCTGGGAGCGTTGCACGTGGGAGTTTGAATTCATCGTGCCCAAGTCCCTCAGCACATCCGAGGAAGACGACGATGCAAATCCCGACCAGACAGCCAATCGTTCCGCGAAAGATTCCGCCGATACGGCCACCGCCGAACTCGCTGATCCTGACTCAGAGGTCGTTGTGGTGTGCACCGGCGACCTCATGGAGCAAGTGACGCATCCGAACAATCCTGCAAAGACCGTCTTTTGCTACACACAAGCGGTGCCCACCTCCATCCAGCACGTTGCTTTCGCAGCGGGTCCCTTTCACATCATGCGCGTTCAGGCAGCCAACCGCCAGGCCGGTCAGACCGCCGCAAGCATTGTGACCGAAGTCACAGCCGGCGCACCGCTCGACGATTCCGGCCAGCCCGAGATCCTCGCCTTTTGCTTGCCCGGCCGCCAGGAGGAACTGCGCAATTCGATCGGCTTTACTCGACAGGCGCTCGACTTCTTTTCGCAAGAGTACGGCTCCTATCCCTTCACCGCGTTCCGCATGGTCTTTGTCGATGAACCGCCTCAGGACTGCACCGTACAGTCAATGATGGCCGTCTGCTCCAACGACCTTCTTCACCCGGCTTCCGTCATCGACCAAGCCATCGAGAACCGCCAGGTGCTCAGTCACGCCATAGCCTTTCAGTGGGTCGGCATCAACATCATCCAGGCAACCTGGGCCGACACCTGGCTCGTCAACGGTCTCAGCTTGTACATCAACGGCCTCTTCCTCCGCAGACTCATGGGCAACAACGAATATCGTTTCCGTCTGAAAAAGGACCTCGACCGGCTCTGCGCCTGGGACATCGGCATGCCCCCGCTCTACGAAGCAGGCGCCTTCGAGCCTCCCGACGCAGCGACACTGCCCTTTGTCAATCTCAAAGCGCCACTCGTGCTCCACATCCTCGATCGAAGGCTTCGCAAGATGGGCGCATCCGTCGGCTTGGGCCGTGTCATCCCCAAGGTCTTCCTTCAGGCCATGACGGGCGAGATGACCAACAACATGCTCAGCACGCAGCAGTTCCTGCGCACATGTCGCAAGGTCAGTGGCGCCGATCTTCGCCTCTTCACCGAGCATTGGATTCGCGGCAGCGGCTGCCCTCGCTTCATCTGCAGCGCCAACTTCAACCGCAAGAAGCTGCTTATCGAGATGCACATTCGACAAGAGGTGCCCGCCGCCCAGTTCGCCGCCGCGCGTCCAGGCGATGCGCTTGCCGCGAATGCAGTCCCTCTCTTCGAGGGTCAGATGACGGTCCGTATCCACGAAGCCGATGGGACGCCATACGAGCACGTGCTCGAGATCAAAGGGCCCGCAAAGCGGTACGAAGTACCCTTCAACACCAAGTACAAGCGTGTGCGTCGAAACACCAAGCGCTTTCAGGCCCGACAGGCAGCCGCCGCCGCTGCTGCACAGGGAGACCAGGAAGCACAGGAAGCCATCGGGCTGATCGATCTCGGATTCGGCCTGGGCATGTGGGAAGACGAGCAGGCGCGAGAAGAGTGGAAGGTAGCAGACTGGACCGAGGAAGACGAGGAAAAGATGTCATCCGCGCCTTATGAATGGATCCGCATGGACGCCGACTTTGAGTGGCTCGCCAGCATTCATTTCGAACAGCCCGACCACATGTGGGTCTCGCAACTCCAGCGTGACCGCGACGTGGTGGCGCAGGTCTCGGCGGTGCATGCGCTGGCCCAAATGCCTTCGCTCGTCACGTGCAGTATGCTCACCCGTACTGTGCTTGTCAACAAGTACTTCTACCGCGTCCGCACGGAAGCCGTCCATGCGCTCGTCCACTGTGCCATCCCGCAGCTGGACAACCTCGGCCTCTTTCATCTGCTCAAGCTTTTCCGGTCGCAGTTCTGCCACGACCCGCCCAACGAGGCTTCATTTGAGGACCCGCTCGACGTGCCTTGCATCCCTCGTGCCAACGACTTTTCCGATGCTGCCGACTACTTCCTGCAACGCGCGCTGATCCATGCCATCAGCCGCGTGCGCAATCCGGACGGCCGCACTCCGGCGCAGGTCAAGCGCTTCCTCATCAACCTGCTGCGCTACAACGACAACTCGACCAACCACTTTGTGGATGACTTCTACCTTGCTGGTGCGATCAATGCGCTCGCGAGCGCCTTCATCCCCATCGACTCGGGCTTGGCTCAGGACAGCAGCGCGAACGCGGAAGAGGAGAACTTCCTGCTCGCTCATGCTATTGCCGAGGTGGAGCGACTGCAAGAGCTCGACCGGCTCGTGCCGTCGTTCCACAACGTGATCACGCTGGCATCACTCGACTTCCAAGTGGTCATGATGCTCGCCAACCTCAAACCCAGGGATCTGCAGCTCTTCTTCACCTACACCCGGCAAGGCAACTTCACGCCGGTGCGCGTCGCTGCTCTCAACTGCCTCCTCCTCGTCGGCAATCTCGACCATCGCGTCATTGCTCGCTACTGCTTTGCTCTGCTGCGCATCGACGAGAACCGTACAGTCAAGCGCGCTCTGGCGCGAGCGCTGTGCGAAGGTCTCGCCGTTGCCATGAGCACTGGCCTTTTTGGCGGTGGAGCTTTGCGTGGACCCGAGACGTTGCTTATCGAAGAAGACAGCGGCCATATCAATGCGGCCGAAAAGGCGCGCGATGCACAGCTCGAAGCGATGCTCAAGACGCTCAAAAAGGAGATTGGCCGATCTGCAGGTGTGCGCGAAGGCTTCCTTGCGGCTCTGTTGGCACCCAATGCGGATGTCGAGGCACGCTGGGCGATGTTGAAGCTAGCCGAGCTGCTCTTCCGACCGGCCGAAGAGAAGGAGTTGCCCCTGCAGCACAAGGTCCAGCTCCGCGTGCGCATGCCGAGCACCCAGGCCACGCTCGACAACGCTCCGATGGAATCGCCGTCCATCTCCAAGATCAAGCTCGTGCGTCCCGGCATCTCGTCTGCAGAAGAGGATGCGGCTGCCAAGGTGCCCGCGTCACTCGCAGCAGCAGCCAGCAATGGACCTCGCGTCGCTTTCGAGACGCCAGAGAAGGTCACCGCCGAGAGAAAGAAGGTCAAGCCCAAGAAGATCAAGCCGCTGGCACCCGGTCAGGCCTCGGGCATGTCGTTTGCCGATCTCACCGCTTGCAGGAACACGCTCAAGAAGCTCATGCAGAACAAGCACGCCTCGATCTTTCTCAACCCGGTGGACCCTGTGCGCGACCAGGCGACCGACTACTTCGACGTGATCAAAGAGCCCATGGATCTCGGCTCGATCCTTAACAAGCTCGACAGTGGACAGTACAAGGACCGCCACGCGCTGCGTGCCGACTTTGAGCTCATGATCCGCAACGCCAAGACGTACACGCCCGATCCGAAAGCATGGGCGCACAAGCAGGCGGTCGGGCTCGAAAAGGTGTTTGGTCCGTTGTGGAATAGGATGGAGAAGACGCTGGAGCAGTCGGCAGCGCGCCAGAAGGCTGCGCAGGATGCGGCGCTGGCGAACGAGCATAGCGCGTCTGTGTCGGGAACGCCCGAGCGACCATCTCCCGCCAAGCCGGAAGCCCTGCCCGCCGCGTCCGACCCCATCGCGCCGACTTTGCCAAGCAGCGGCGCGAGGCGAGAGTCTTCGACTCCGAGCGCAGCGCCCAAATTATCGCTCAAGTTCAAGCTCAAGTCGAAACCGGCTGGCGAAGAGTCTCCCGCGGCCGCCACGCCCACGCCGAAGCCCAAGGCAAAGCCTGTGATCGAAGAGCCATCTCCTGCAGCACCTTCGACGCAGTCGACGACGCTCAAGATCAAGAAGCCGCTGATCAAGCTCAAGAAGCCCAGCGAGGGTGATGCGGGCGTTCCCTCCACCCCGTCTCCGGCACCGCCAGTGGCCACCAACGCCGGCCCGCAGAGTGTGGATGACGATATCCTCGAGTTACTCGGCGAGATCCCCAAGCCGAGCAAACCCAAGCCGAGCAAGAGCTCGTCAGGCGTCTCGCCGTCTCCTGCGCCTGTCGCAGCTGCGTCAGCGCATGCCTCTCCTCCCGCGCCGTCACCGAGCGTCAAGAAGCACAAGTCCGCCCACACTGACTCGTTTGGTGGTACGGCGACGCCAGCGCGTCCCAATGGCTCCAGCGCGGCGTCGGCCGAGTCGCCCACGAAGGACATTGCCAAGCTGGCGGAGAAGGACCCCGTGGGTGCGACTGCGGGCATGCCGATGAGCGGCAAAAAGTGCAAGGTGCTGCTGCAGGTGCTCAAGAAGTCGCCGTTTTCGATCTTCTTCCGCTTCCCCGTGGATCCGATCAACGACGGGCTGCCGACGTACCTGGACGAGATCAAGGAGCCGATGGACCTGAGTACCATGGAGAAGAAGGTGAACCAGGCGGCATACTCGACCATGGGCGAGTTTGCGGCGGATATGGAGTTGATTTTTGCCAATTGTCGGCAGTTTAATCCGCCGGGGACGGAGCCGTGTCAGCATGCGGACGAGTTGGAGAAGCTGTGGCGCAAGGAGTGGGCCAAGACGGTGACGCCACGATTGGAGGCGAACGAAAAGCGCGCGCTCGTGGGGTTGATGAACCGGCTCAAGACGCATCAGTCTTCGCTGCTGTTCCGCGAGCCTGTGGATCCGGTGGCGTTGGGGATTCCGACGTACTTTGATGTGATCCCGCGCAAGGACGCACGCGATCTGAGCCTGATCGAGGCCAAACTCAAGGGCGACAAGTACGATGCTTTTGCAGCACTGGATGCCGACATCAAGCTCATGCTCAAAAACTGCTACACCTTCAACGCCATGGATCCGGCCATCATCGAGATCGCAAAGGCCTTCGAGACGTTCTACAAACGCGAGTTCAACCATGCCAAGCAGCAGGCGGGTACAGCATCGGCAGGTAGCCCTGCCCCTCCCGCTGCCAAGAGGAAACTCTCCACACCCTCCAATGGCACAAGCAAGAAAGTCAAGAGCTCCTAGGCCAATCACGCCCCCCTCTTTGTAATTTTATCAGGTCCTGAAAGGGAACGTGGACCAAGCACATGCAAAAATGTTCTGCAGGAGGGATCAGGAACACAGTGCGGCCTGGCGTGTGCGACAGCATCGTATTGCGGTGGTGCGATCAGTGAGACGTCGGCGAACCAAAGGTTTGATTCTGAGACGCCGAGTCGGCTGGCGGGGTGGAAGCCTTCTGCGGGTGAGCGGGGAGAGGAGGGCCGCCGGACGACGAGGGCCGATCGCCGCTCATCACGCGGCGCAACCTGCCTGATCTTGACCTGATCAGCGAGCCGAATCCGCCCGTCGCTGGCTCGCCGTCTGCCGCCGTCCTCTGCCCCTGCCCCTGCTCGGTACCTGGCGCGGGTGCCCCTCCATCGCTTGCGTTGGCGCCGCCCATGGACGCGAGGTTGAACTGGTAATGGCCTGGCTGTGCGTCTTGCGACGAGCGCGAGTCAGCGCGGCCTTGGCGCAGGTGCGAGGGCAGCCCTCCAACACGCTGTGGCACAGCCGCAGAAGCAGAGCTGGTGGTGGAATAGGCGGTGCTACTTGAGCTTGAGCGGTTCGACATGGAGAACGGCAATGCGGACCCAGACGAGGTCGGTAGCCCGCCGATGGAAGAGCCCGACTTGACGGACGATGCACCAGCGCCGGGAGCGAAGATGCTGGATCCGGTACCCGCGTCCAGACCGAGCTCCTTGAGCAACGGGTCGATGGACGAGAGCTCGTCCTTGATCATCTGACGTGCGAATGCGTCGATGTCCTTGACCTGGATGCCGATGGTCTTTCTGATCTTGGCGTCGGCTTTGAGCAGCAGCTCCTGCGTCACGCCTGTGATCGCAGGCGTCGGCAATCCATGCAGCGACTTGTCTGCGTCGCTCGAACCATCTTGACCAGCGGCGGGCGGAGCAAAGCCAGCAGCGGTGAACGCCTGGCTGATGCTTTCTGCGCGATCGAGATCGTGGCTCGCGTGACGCGAAGCGGATGTAGGTGGCGATGCCGCGCGCGGAAGCGTTGCACTGCTCGACGCTCCGCCTTCCGCGCCGAGTGTGCCAGCGTCGCGCGGAAGAAAAGAGAGCATCTTGTAGTAGATCTCGACGAGCATATCGCAGAGGGTGAAAAAGGTGTGGAAGAAGTCGAGCTGGAACGGCACGTTGGGCGCTATCAAGTAGGAGTTGTGGTCGCTGGCGACCAGAGTTGATGCGGGCCCAAGATTGGCATCCAGCGTGCCAAACTCGGAGATGGCGTGGGCGGCTGCAGAACGCTTCAACGACTGCTTGCCCGACTTGAAGAGGCTGCGCATGCGAGGACGCTGTGCCCCGAGGGTCGCGGCACCAGTGCCGGTGGTGAGGGAGACAATGTTGTCGTCGGTGTAGCCATCCAGCTCATTGATGAGCGAATTGATGGCGCGGGCCATGTCGGTAGGATTGGGAATTTCGAGGATGCTCGACAGGCTAAGACCAAGAACAAAGAAGCGCAGTGTGCGCTTGTGCATGCGCTCGTTGTCGAAAGCGACTGCAAGGTCAGCCATGTCCAGCTGGACGGTGTTGAACCACGTGCCTTGGCCTTGTAGCGAGCGCTTGAGGTAGGAGAGGTTGCGGATGCGTTTCTGAAAGACATCTCGGAGGTAGTCGGTGCCACTGAGACCGGCAGATGAGGCGTTGGGTGCTTGACCCGCAGCGGACGAAGCCGAGTAGAGCGTCGAGGAGCCTGCGATGGATGATGCGGCCGAGGGCGAGAATGTGTTGGAGTCGGCATGGCCGTGTATTGAAGAAGGTGTCGACGTGTCCATGGCGTCGAAGCAAGCCGCTGTCGGCAGATCCGATGCGCGAAGATGGATGAGATACCGTTCGGGGCGACGCCGAAGGAGATGGAGTGGTCAACGCCAGTGTGGGACAAGTGAAGGAGGAATGCAAGGCTGGTCGCTCTCGAATTAGGGTCCGAAGCCAGGGCCCGAGTGACAGCTGCAGCAAAGTAGCGTGCGAATTCAACACACGCGCTTCTTTGCCTCCACCCTCAGATCCGGCTACGACGGCCACTTCAAAACTGCAGGGCGCCGCACGGACACACGCGGCTACGCCTTCCAAGCACAATGGCTTCATTTGTCTGCAGTCCGGAAGATCACATTCGCCGGATGCCAAGGCTCTCAGTCATTACACAAATGCAATACATCCTCGATACAGAGCGGCTGTTTCGAAAGGGAGCCTGGTGTCGCCGCGCCATTCGCCTTGGGGAGCAGCCGTAGCTAAGAGAAACGAGGCAAGAAGGGTCCAACGCCAAAGCGGCAACGTGCTCGGCCAATCCGACGCGACCGTTTGGACCAGTCAAAAATTCACTGCTCAGCCACACAGCTCGCCACAGCTGCTGAGCGAAGCTGCCGCTGGTGGGGTCGACTCCACTTTGGCGGGGCCGTACAGCTGCGGGAATCGGAAGCACCGAATTGCACTGCTCAACGTGGACCTGCATTCGACAGCCTCTGCCAACAACGAATCGGCTCAACCGACATCCATCGACTGGCCATCCTCCTTGCTGCAGCTTCTGGCATCCTTGCCTCGATCTTGCCGTTCCTATTCGCGCAGCTTCGGCTCTTCCGTGCCTGGAACGTCCCATCTCATCAATCAAGGCTTGCATCGATCCGTCAGGCTCTCCCGCTCATCAGCTCATCCTCTGGCCTACTTTCGCCGGAGTTCTCAGCGTCGCGACCGTCTGCATCAGCGAACTCGACGCTCGCGCCACCTGGCCTCTCGTCTCCTCCGCCTCCGACTCTTGACAGTCACGCCGTCGGCTGTGAGCTGCCCGAGTCAGCCCCACTTGGAAGCCCGTCAAGTCTCGCGCATCCCACGGCGAGATCTTGATCGTGCTTGCAAGCGGGTGATACCCTGATCCAGGGTATCGCTCCCTCTTTGCATGGTCGCTCCCACGCTCTTGGATTGCTGGCATGTGCGCGATGTTCAAAGATTTCGCGCCCTACTCAAAGGCAGCCCGCCGGACAAGAACAATCACAACGCGCAGCATGTAGGCGCCAATGGCTCTTACGGCGCGAGTGCTTCGTTTTCTAGATCGCCTCACAGCTTTCGCGATCCGTCCGTGCCTTGTCCGCCAGCGGAAGTCAACCGACGCGACCACTACGGCCGCACCGTCCTGCATCACATCGCATCGTGCACCGAGCCCGGTAGCATCGGCTACCTCAGCTCCCTCCTCGCGCATCCCAGCGTCAACATCAATCTTCAGGATGGCGAAAGTGGCTACACCGCGCTCCACCGCGCGCTCTACGCCGCCAACCTCCAGATCGCCATCATCCTCCTTCGCAGATCCGATCTCGACCTCCGAATCAAGGACTTCGAGGGTCTTACCGCCTTTGACCTCTACAACTCCACTGTAGCTGGAACCAACCCGCCAGCGGATGCTCTTTCCTTCGAACCGGCACGCCACCACCACGAGCGCACTCTCACACAGCTCTTCACATGGGGTTCCAACCGCAACTACAACCTTGGACTTGGAGATGGCGATGATCGTCAGCTTCCGGACAAGATCACCTTGCGCCGGCAGCCGGCAGCCAACTCGTCTTCGGCAGAGGAGAACTTCAGAGCCTCTCTTCCGGCAGGCAAGAAGTTCGACCGCATCGGTATCAAGGACATCGCCATGAGCCGCCTCCACACCGTCGTGCTTACCGACGAAAAGGTCGCGAATGTGTGGGTGTGCGGCCTCGGTGCCAACGGCAGACTAGGTCGCTCGCCCCAGACACAAACGTCCTTTGAGCCGCTCAAAGATTTCGCCGAGACAGCGCGCTCCGTCGCCGTCGCTCAAGATCACACTCTCATCATCACCGCCTCGGGCGCAGTCTACTCGTTTGGACTCAACAGGTTTGCGCAGCTCGGATACACAATCGAGCAAGAATTTGGTACTGTCGCCTCGACAACAGCAAAGCTTGCCGGAGGCGCGGGCGTTACCTTTGGACAACCTGCCAATACACCACAGGTTGAGCTCGACATTCAGATCTCGCCTCGACGCATCGTCGGTCCACTCAAGAAGGAATTCGTGCTTGGTGCAGCATGCAGCAAGCTGCACTCGGTAGTCTTCACTTCAGAGGGCCTCTTCACATGGGGCACCAACACCGGTCAGCTCGGTTATGACCGTAGCGGAACTGCCGTCCAGGTTCAGCCACGCAAGGTCACGGCGCTCGCAGCAGGCTCGGGGATCCAGCAGGTCGCCGCCTCCGACTTTGGCACCGCTTGCCTCATGGAAGGCGGCGATGTCTTTGTATGGCACAACGACACGCACTTCCGCATCAACTTCCCCCTCGCACGCTTCTCCAGCAGCATCTCGGTCTTTCGTCCCAGGCAGGTGCAGCCTAAGGCGCTCATCTCCAAACTATCGAGCAGCGGCAACACGTTTGCTGCTCTTAGTGACATGGGCGACCTGTTCACCTTCAATCTTGAGCATCCTTCCGAATACAGCAGCACCGGCACCGTCGGTCGCGCTCCCGCCGCGGCTGGATCCGCTGCCAAATCATCGGCTGCACAGACGGCGCCCAAGCCACAACTACTCTGGTCCGTCCGCAAAAAGTTCACTGCCGTGCGCGATGTTGCCATCGGCGCCGACGGCTCGGTCATCCTATGCACCGAAAGCGGACATTGCTTCGTCCGTCCTCGTCGCAGCGACACCGGTGGAAAGGGCGGCGGCGGCAAAAACTTCAAGTTCCAGCAGATCCCTTACCTCCAACGCGTCGTCAAAGTCGCCACGAGCGAGAGCGGTGCTCTGGCCGCAATCAAGGCGGATCCAGGCATGCGTGATGTGCGCGTCAAAGGAAGGACTGTCGAAGAGGCGCTGCGCGATCTGCTTCCACACCTCAAGGTGCAGACGCTGTCGGAGGATGTGGAAAAAGAAAGAGGCATCACCTCAGAGGTGGTCGAGATCTCGGATGTTCGCAGCGAGGCTGGATCCGAGAGCGAATCAGAGGAGGAGCCCGAAGACACGCCAGCGCGTGTCGGAAGCGATGCTGCCAAATACGTCAAGATGGCGCTCCTCATCACAGAGGCCGCCAAGCGATGGGTCGCAGGCAGACAAATATCGGGAGTACAGGCCGACGACAGTCAGGCCGGTGCTCCAGCTGCACCGACAACTACCAGGCGCGAAGCTTTTTATGGTCCGCACAACCTTGTTCCGCCTTTCGGTTGCGACGCTTTCCTGATCGCGGAAGGACACTATCTTCCGGTGCACAAGCTCATCCTAGGCGCAAGGATTCCGAGCCTGCAAGCGGCACTGCAGAACACAAAGACGAAAGAGTCACTGCCGCAGGGCATCAAGGTTAACACAGTGGGGGACGGCAAGCGCATCACTGTGCTGACCCTGTCGAATTGCAGCTTCGTGTCGGCGCTTTTCCTCCTGCACTATCTGTATTCGGACGACTTGCCTCCCATCTGGGTCCCGAGTATTGGTCTCGTCATCGACAGAGAGCTCAAGGCGGCCAAGATTGACCGCGCTCGCATCCAAGCTGAACTGCTCAGCCTTGCGGAGCGCCTCGGCCTGTCATCGCTCGCGGCCAACATCAAGGCCAGCTTGCCACGCCAGCCAGAGCCGACGCTTCGCGAGCACATGTCCCAACTCTTCCAATCGTTCGTCGACGTTGAAGTTGCAGAGACCCGACGGGAATCGAGCTTCAGCGACGTTTTGCTGCGCTTCTCCGACCGCACGATCCCAGCACACTCTGTCATCCTCCGAAGATCGCCATTCTTCGCCGCCTTGTTCCAGCCGCATTGGACTGCAGAGCGATGGGAAGGCAACAACACCATCACGCTCGACATGAGCCACATGCGTTGGGAAGTGGCGCGCATCGTGCTTATGCACCTGTACACGGACATGGGCGAGACCATCTTCAGTGGGTGCGACCAGGAACGGTCGTTGGAGCAGTACATGGACTTCCTGGCCGAAGTGATGGCAGCCGCCAACGAGATGCTGCTCGACAAGCTCAAGCTGGTCGTCAGCTCGCTGCTACGCAAGCGTGTTCTAGCGCATACTGTCGGCGCGGTGATGACCGAGGCTGACTTTTACAGGGCAGACCAGCTCAAGGACATCACGATGGACTACTGCACCAAGAGCATGGAGGCGCTCCTGGAAGGTGGCCGCCTCAACGAACTCGACAACGGTATGCTGCGAGCGCTCACTGCGTACGTGCGCCGCAAGCAAGATGAAAAGCTGCATCGCACCTTCAACGAGGACCGGGTTGCTGCGCTGGTCGAGAAGCACCGCGAGTTCTACGATGACCTTGACATCCCGCCACCCAGCCTGCATCTCATTGCCAACACCGTGCGACCTAAGCGTGCAGCTCCTGCTGGCATCAAGTCTCCATCGCTACTGCCGCAAGGCGCCAACCGACGTCGGTCGAATTCACGTTTCGGCATCTCAAATCCCGCCAGTCCGGATGCGCTTCGGCCACTCGACAGTATCGCGCAACGAACGGCTGCAGACGATTCGAGCGAGATGTTCGCTATGGACGACGAGAACCTGTCGACACCCCGCAAGGAGGCGAGCGTGCGCACGCAAGGCTCGCCATGGGCCGTCCTGCCGCAAGTGGCGCACTTGAGCCTGGATGATTCCGTCGACAAGGGCTCTCCAGCTCGGCCGTGGAAATCCAGAACGGTGGAGGCAGAGCGGAGGCAGGCTACCCCAGACGTGCCGGGGTCACCTGCGTCTCGCCCGTCGGATGCCCCGACCGACCTGCGCAGCATCATGGCCAAGGAGCAGCAGCGCCAGCATTATCAGTCAGCCTTGCCGCATCTTTCCAACGCTACAACTCCGAGCGGATCTGGCACATCGACGCCGGTGCAGAGAGCGGCAGCCCCTGGCTTTGAGCTGTCGCCCGTCAACATCGCAAGCACACGACTCTCTCAGAAAGAGCGCAAGCGACTGCAGCTGCAGCAGGAGGCGGCAGCTAGTGCAGTAGCTGTGCCTGCGCAGACCCGCAGTGCCAGCTCGTCTTCACCGTGGAACAGGGCTACTGCCGGGTCGTCACCCCCTGATAAACCTGCCGCTTCGTCGCCATGGAGCTTGAAGGCAGCAGCTACAACGGCCATGGCTCTGTCGACTTCTCACGAGGGCTCCCCTGCAGCGGCTTTCAGTCCGAGTGGGCGACGTCCGTCTGCAGCACCTGTGCAGCCCGGGTCAGGCTCCCGTCCATCACTGTCCGAAGCTTCTGCATCGCCAGCCGCTAACATGGGCCCGACGTACACTCCAATGCGCATGGAGGCCAAGTCGACGCCTAAGCGCATGATGAGCAACGAGGCTGCTTGGTCGACACCCACGGTGGTGCCGGCCCGCGGCTCGTTCGGCACATCGCCGTCTCGGCCTGCAGCTCCTCTTGCTTCGCGAGAGCCGGCGTCCAACATGCAGCGGTCGCTACTTGGCGCCTCCCGACCTTCGCTCGATGCAACCGCCGAACGTGCCACTTCGCCTGCTTCGACAGCACACCTGACCTTCGCTCAAATCCAGGAGCAGCAGCGACTGGCCATCGAGGCAGAGCAGGAGACGATCAAGCAGGCCGCTGCTGCGCGGCGCAGCTTCCTCGACATCCAAGAGGAAGAGCGCCAGGCAGAGGAACGGCGCAGAGAGGAGCAGAAGCAAGCTGCCGAGTTCGAAAAATGGTTTGCCGAAGAGTCGAAGCGCGTGCAAAGGCAAACCAAGGCGAGCAAGTCTGGCACCAATGGAGCGGCTGGTGCGACTGCCAGCAAGGGCAAGGCGCAAAAGAAGACGGCCAACAAGCAGCAGCCGCAGCAGCAAGGATCGCGTCCTCCGCCCGATGCGAAAGCCTCGGAAAGCAAAGCGCCCGGGGCCGGAAAGAAGGGCGGTGCTGGTGCAGGAAAGGGCAAGCAGTCGAACCCGACCAAGTCGGCCCCCACGCAGGAGCAAGGAGATGGACCCAACGCCGACCGTAGGGCAGGCAAGCAGCGATCGGGATCCGTATCGCACAGTAAGCCAGCAGTGGACAAGCCGTCGCCGAAGAACGTGGACCGCAACGGCGGCAAGAATGGACGGACACCCGACCACGATGCCCGCAAACCACTTCAGCCCCCACCGCAGCATCTGCCTGCGAAGCCGTCCAATGCCGACCCCTCGCTCTCGGCAGCGGCGCCCAGCTTCACCCCGCGACACTCCTAGTCTCCCATGATTATCAGATTCGGATCGGAAAAGTTTCCATAGACGTCACACACCCATCACATGCCGTGCCGATGTTGCAGAGCGATGATTGAGAAGTGGCGATTGCAAGCAGCGGCGGAGCAAGAGTGACATTGAGAGGGGAGAGTGAGGTTTCGGAGAGCTTAGTTGGGGTTTGGTTTGGTTTGAGAGGGAGGAGTCGAGGTGGCTGCGATTTCGAGCGGGTCGAGGGGCGGGGTTGGGGGGTGGTCGTCGATATCTGAACGGAGAGGTTTGGGGCGATGGGTGTCGACGGCTTCGATGGGGAGTTGGAATCTCTTTTCGTCGCAACCATACGCCTTTGGGGTGAGTTGGATGACGGTGTGGAGGGGGATCTTGATGTAGGGTAAGTCCTCCTGCGAGAGGGCGTGGAAGTATGCGTACAGGCATCGGATGATGGCCTGGTGACCGATGATCAGGATGTTTTCCTGACGTTCCAGCTCCATGATGATCGGTTCCAGACGCACCACAACGTCGCGGTACGATTCGCCGCCTCTGTATCTGTAGTTGAACTTGTCGTCATCGCGGTTGGCATAGTCCTCGGGGTAGTACTTTTCGATCTCTTCGTAGGTCATTGCATCGCAAACGCCCGCATCCAGCTCGTCGAGACTCTTCCAGGCCAACTTTGGATACGGCAGTTCGCTTGCCGTCTGACCCGTCCTGCGCAGCGTGCTGTGCCAAACCGTGAGCGGTGCATCGCCAATATTGTCCTTGATGAGCTGCGGCAACGCTTTGGCATACATCCATCCGCGCGGCGACAAGTCGGAATCTCCACCGATCTTGCCCTCGACGTTGTACTGCGACTCGCCATGGCGCGAGAAGAAGATGTTGCGCGGCGTCAAGTGCAGATTCATCAGGTAGAACGCAATGCGCGACTCGAGATAGCCCTGAATCTGATTGATCGTCACGCTCTTGCCCACGTCGGTCACCTTGACGTAGCTATAGTGCGCCTCGGATCCGTCAAAGTTGACCGGCTCGTAGGTGTCTTCGTAGTGACGGATGCGTTCCAAAAAGTCCTTCTTGGCAGCTTCGGGCGTCATACCGGCATAGTCGGGATCGCCACTGCTCACTTTGACCGCGATGTTGGCATCGATCACCTTGGGGTCGGTGCAGATCGACTCGAGAAAGACGAGCTTGAGATCCGGCTCCTTGGCGATGCGATCGGCGATCTCCTTGCGACGAGCGCGGGTCGAGTTGGTCGCGTCATGGATACCCACATTGCCACCGCGCTTGAGCCAGCCGATGAGCTGCTCCAGACACTCCTCGGCCATCTGCGATCGCAGCTTGTAGGCGGACGGATTGGTGGGGTCGAAGAACGACGCGGTGTGATCCTCCTTGACGCCGGACGAGTTGTACTTTGCGCGTGCGAGAGCGCGGCGCAGCTGGCCCACGTTGAACACCTTGACGTCGTACTCGAGCCAGCGCAGATACTTGAGCACGCGGTTGGCCACGTAACTCTTGCCGCGCGCGGGCAGACCGACCATGCAGACGACGATCTTGGCGCCCGAGTAGTCGGGCCTGGCGCCGGCCGCGCCGAGGTTGGGCGTGGATAGGCCTGTGCGGATGCCGTGTCCTAGACCGAGCGCTGCGCCCAGCCCGCTCTGGCCGCTCGAGGGACCGCCTTCGCCGACCTCGGGTGCGTCCTTGAGGATGCGGCCGCGGCCGTTGTCATGGGTCGGCGACATGGGAGTGTGGTGATGATGATGGTGATGGTGGCTGTGCGAGCCGTGTTGGTACTGCTGCTGCTGCTGCGCTTGCTGTTGCTGTTGCTGCGCCTGGCTCTGAGCCTGGTGGAAGGAGTTGGAAAGCGAACCGCCCATGGCAAGCACGTGGCCGGACTGGTTGAGGTGGTCGGCTCCTTCGTAAGGCGTGCCGGGGACGCTACCGGACTTGCTGCCTGCGTGGCTGCCGGAGCGCGTGCTGTATGCGCCCGTCATGGCGAGGTTGGGACCGGCCGCGGCAGCCAAGCTGCTGGAGACGAGCTCCGGGTGGTCTCGAAGCAGAGCCTGCAGACCATCGGAGGACGAAGCGAGGTTGGAGGAAGCGACGGCGACGTCGAAAGCCTCGCGCTGGGAAGCCTGCGGGAAAGGAGCAGGTCGCGACTGACCGTGGCTTGACTGGGAGAAGTGGCGGGGAGAGGCAGAAGAAAAGCCCGGAGTGCCACCGGAAAGCTTGCGTGTGCCGGATCGAACGGAGGCGGAGCGCGAGAGGTCGCGTGGAGCCTGCTGTTGGTTGGCCGCGGACGCTGCAGCTTCTTTCTGCTCCTGCTCTTGCTGGGCCATCTTGAGGGCAAGCTGCTGGGCCTGGGTGGCACTGTATCGACCGGGCGAAGCGGTGCCCGGGCCGACGCCAGGACCACCGCTGAGGTGACGGTGGTGGACAAAGGCGTGGGGCATGACGGGCGACGATCCGCCACTCTCGATGGCGCTATCAGCGGCATTGCCAGCATCGGTGGTGGGGAAGGCCTCACCGCCGCTGGCAGGCGCGGGGATGTCGACCGGCTTTTGCGACATGGCTTGCGTCGCTATGTGGGAGGAAAGCGAGGTCGTTGAGCGCCGAGATACTGCAGATCGAAGTTCAAGATTCGGCTGGTGCGACGAAGACTTGCAAAGTTGATACTGTAAGCTGGAAGTCGTGTGTCATGCGACTGGAAGGACAAGAGGAGGCTGTCGTGAGTCAAGGTACTGCTGGCGTGTGGCGCAGACAGGGTCTTGAACAGTCTCGGAGCTGTTGGAAGGCAGCAGCGGAAGGGGTAGATGCGGTCTGTCGGTCGAGACGGGTGCGAGGAGCTGCTGCTGGGTTCTTTGCGAGCAGGGACCGGACCGGAGATGAGCGAGGCATCGAGCGATTGCGGGGTGCGGCTCGGGCTAGGAACTCTAGGGTTCAGCCTCTCTCAGGCCGCTCGGGGTGCGGCTCAGCAGCGCTCCTCCGGCTGCCTTCCGCTCCACAGCAGCGGTGAGTTGGCTCGTTCGCACGACTCTCACACGGAAATCTGCCGTCAGCCAGCCAGCTCTCGGGCAATCGAGGGCGCCCGGTCCAAGTTTCATCCGGAAAGTCACGATAGTCTCGGGACGGCGTAACAGAAATAAATTGATCGCCGATCCTTTCAAATCTTGGAAAGAAGATCAGGGTGTCAGGTGGAGGAAAGCGAAGGTTTTGAGCTTTTGCTTGGACCCGCATATGAACTGTGTGCACCTTCTCTTCTTCCCCGTCCACACCGTCACAAAGACACACACGCGCAAAGCAAACATGGCTCCTGAAGAGTACGAGGCGCTTTCTCCCGAGCAGCAGAAGCAGCACGATGCTGCCGAGCGTGCGCGCGAAGCTGCCGAGCAGGCCGAACTCCCCTACACCTGGAAGCAGCAGCTGGACGCTGTCGAAGTCTCGGTTCCCGTCCCCTCGGGCACCAAGGGCCGCGACCTCGTGGTCGAGCTCAAGAAGCGCAAGATCAAGGTCGCCCTCAAGGGCAAGGACGCCATCCTCGAGGGCGAGCTCGCCAAAGACATCAAGGAGGACGACAGCACCTGGACCATCGAGGACGGCAACCTCGTCGAGATCCACCTCGAAAAGATGAACAAGAACGAATGGTGGCCCAACGTCGTCTCCCACCACCCCAGGATCGACACCACAAAAATCGTGCCCGAAAACTCGAAACTCAGCGACCTCGACCCCGAGACAAGGTATGTCCATTTTTATGCTCACGCATCCAGTGTAAACCGCCTTGTATACTGACCCCAGCTTCGTCCGTGTGACTGCAGAGCCATGGTGGAAAAGATGATGTTCGACAACCGCCAAAAGGCCATGAACAGGCCCACCTCGGATCAGCTCCAGCAGCAGGAGATGCTCGCAAAGCTTGCCGCCGCCAACCCCAACATCGACTTTTCCAACGCCAAGTTCAACGCCTCCTCCTGATCCATCGGTCCTGCACTTCTATCAGCGATCGTCTCTCCGATGTACAATTGTCACACGAGCGATGCCTGCAACAACTGGATTGTGCAGTGACTCTGTCATTTTCTGAACCTAACGAGATACGCCAGCGCCGGCCGAGCCCGATGCAGGGTTTTGCTGCGACTGCGGCTGAGCGGCAGCCACACGCTGCATGAGCTGCTTGTCGAGCTCCACGGCGGAATTCCACCTCTCGATCGTGAGCGTCTTTTCGGCGTGCGAGATGGCCAGCAGACGGACGAGCGACATTCTGCGCAGCAGATCCTCCTGTCCCAACGCGCCTTCCTTGCTCGCCACACCTCCGTGGGCATCCTTGGACTCCTGCTGCTCTTTGCGTCTCTCGGCGACAAACTCGTGCTGAATATGCTCGCTGACGCTATCGGGGATCTCGAACGCCTTGGCAGTCGCCAGACTCCTCGCCTCAAGCAGAGCGCTTCTCCAGCCAGCCAGCTGTTCTGCCTCGTCCTTGGGCACCGAGCTCGAGTACAGATCCTCGCTACCAGCCTCGGGCGACAGCGGGCAGTGGATGTCGAAGGGCAGGAAACTCTTGCCCTGGCTCAGGACGATCGCGTTGAGGTCCGTGTCGAACTCAAACTCCGAGTACGGAAATGCGTACGGCAGCTTGTGCGACTCGAGCACCGACGAAAGCGCACGGATGTTGCGGATGCCCGACTCCTTGAGCTGTCCCTCGCCCATGGTGCCTTCGTTCACCACGATCGTCGTGCCATTCACGAGCTGAAGCCGACCCGCTTCCAGTCCCGTCCCCTCGCCGGCGCTGCGCGCGTACAGAGGCTTGCGGTCGTCGTTGAGCGAAGCAAGCTCCATCGAAACATCCACCACCGCCGGAAGCAGCATGTTGAGCCGGCGCGAGAGCTGCGTCTGCTCCGCCGAAGAAGCCGTCTTGCCTGCCGCTCCAAAGTTGGACACGTTGAGCGTGAGTGCGCCGAGACACAGGTTGGCGCGTCGCACGTGGATGCGCGCGATCGTCGCCAGCAGCACCAGCTCGGCCGCCAACTTGTCGCCTGCCAAACCGCCGCTGAGAAACGTAATAAGAGCATCTCGATCCGCTGCCTGCGCCAGCGCATTGCCGGACGACGATCCGCCCGTCGACTCCTGAGCTCGGACAGAATCAAGCTCGACGGCGAAAGCGCACACAGCGTGGATGCAAGGCACCTCTGCCGGCTCGGCGCCCGAGGCAGCTCCGGACCCGGTCTCTTGCCACTCGGCCTGGGGCAGGCTCGCCTTGTCCAGGATGCCGATCACCTCGACCAGCTCGGTCGTCTTGAACTTCTCGGCCGCTTCCAGATCGTACAGCTTCACCAACCCGCCGACGTGCGGAGCCTCGGGCAGAGGAGACTTGGCGAGATAAGCCCGGGGCAAAGTGAACTTATCCGCTCCGCTCGAGCTGGACGATGCCGCACCGCCCTGCGACGGAGCTGATGAGCCTTTCAGCTCCTCGGCAGCAGCCTCGGGACCGACTTCGAGTTCGCGCTTCATGCCGTTCATCGCCTCCTCCCGCGTGCCAGGTCGGCGTCCAAAACAATCGGTACCCACTCGGACGTTGTCGCTTCCAGCCATGGTGGCCACATCCATGTCAGCCGACATGCCCATGCTGAGCTCTAGACCGCCGTTTGCCTCGGACCCCTCCAGCAGATCCGCATAGGCCTCCTTGACATGGGCCTGATCCGCCTTGGCCACATCAGGGTCCTTGCGCAACAACTCGACCAGGTTCTTGCGCGTGTGAATGAGCCTTTCAAAGTCTGGATTGGCCGAGACAATTTCGTCGACGCTCTTGGGCTGATCCGCGTCGGCACTGGAGCTGTTGGCCGCAGCGCCGATAGTCATCACACCGCGCAGACGCAGGTTCGGGCACGTGGTGATGACATGGACAGCGAGCTTGAGCAGCTCGCTCTCCTTGGCTTGCTCCGGGTCGGTGGACAGGACGGGAGGCAGGCCGCTCTTGGCATCCTCGCCACTCGTGTTCACCTGGAGGTAGACACGCAGAGGCTCGTCGCGCTTGGCAGCGTCCGGAGAAGACAGCGCCTTTTGCAGGACGTTCGCCGCCTTGATCGAGTCGAGCGTTTCCAAGAGGTAAAGGTTGGGAATGGATGCCAGAAGCTTGCCCTTGTTGCTCTGCAGACCGCCGACAAAGTGCCAGCGAATCTCGCGAGGGAGCACCTTGGCCTTGTCGACCATCTCTTGGACGTAGTTCTCGCCGAAATGCAGCTGGCCAGCTTTCTTGTGTGCAGCGAGGATGGCCGAAGGAGGGTGGAGCTTGGAGATCGCGACGAGACGGGGCACCTTGCCTGACGATCCGATTGCCTTTCCCTTCTCGGCCGCGCGACGGATGCGCTGACGCACTTCCTCGACCTTTTGTGGTGACTGAGGCTCTTCGAGAGCTACTGCTGCAGTGGCGCTGGTGAGCTCATCAACGCTGGAATCGGAGGATGCTTCAGCTGCCGCCTCGCGATGCGCTTGGGCCGCCCATTCCGTCTGGCCAGGCACGGAGACGGCGTACATGACTGCTCTCTCGGCAAGATTCTGATGATCAGGTTCGGCGTGCTCAGTATCGACTGAGCTCTCCGAGGCTGGAAGGATGGCCTCGCCGCCAAAGAGGCCGGTGATGTTGCGGTCCCCCTGTTGATGCTTGGCCAAGAACACCTCGGTACCCAGACCGGTGTCCTGGATCATGGCGCGGAACCGAACCAGACGATGTAAGCTGCCAGCATCGGCATTCGCTTTTGGAAGAAGCGTGGCGATATTGGCAGCGGACAGAGTGGGGATCTTGGACTTGGCATCGGAAGAGGCAAAGAGTTGCTGGAAGTGGGCTGTGACGAGCTTGGTGATGTTGTCGGGCGACTTGTCCTGAGCATCGCTGTAGATCTTCTGGACGACCTCGAGCGGCTTGTTGAGCGCCGCTGTGAAGTCGGTGTCGGGCACCATCTTGACGGACCGATGACTTGATTTGGTTGCGAAGCACCTAAAGTTGCGCTCAAGCAGTGGAGGAGCTGCGTTTGGTGCTACCACGAGTGCCGAGAACGAGCCGGATGGGATCGATCGGGTGTATGAGGCAAGCCAGTTCGTAAAGCGACTTCTCATGCCTCTGCTCTGTTGGGCGAGGTTGTGTCGAAAGGTGGGAAGTCGCGTCGAGGTTGGTGAGTGTTAGACACGAAGCGGGGAAGGCGGAAGTCAGCGCGAAGATGCGGAATTTCCTCAGCCAACCATCCGTGCGCGGGTGGTACAGATTTGTCAGACTTACGGATGCAGCCCTCCATTGAGCCATGTGGAGCGGGGCAGCTGCTGGACCCTGGATGCGGACCCGTGCACACCTGGACACACACCTTGTCCACCATCCATTTCTGTCGCTGCAATTGGCTTTGCTTTGTTCCTTCTCAGATACAACTGTAGGAGGTCAACTCGGGCCATTGCGGTCCAGACCAGAGCAGAACGGCACCAGGAACTACATCTCCGGCGTGCTTGATCAACGGGCACCAATAGCCATGTCCGGGTCGGGAGAATCCTTCACTTTGCTCGAGAGTGGCACCTCTCGTATGCACTTCAAGCTCGCTAAGGCCCTGGAAGATGCAACATCTCCTCATGAAAGCGATCTCGCCATTCAAGATGCCTTGACTCAAATTTGCACCCGTCTGGCGTCCAAGTCATCAGCGCGGCACCTGTCGGAGCTCGTGCCACCACTTCTCACCTTGCTCCATTGCCTCCATCACTATCCCTCCGCTGGTCAGCAGCAGGAACCATTGGATGTCAGCTTCGCTCTACTCCCTACTCTACAGCTGCTGAGCCTCGCTACAGACTGGAACGACGTGCTCCTGGCGCACCAGCTCCTTCCTTTCTTGCTCGAGCGTCGACCATCTCCCCTACCTATCTCGCCGAGCTCTTCAGCAACAAGCCGTTCCGCGCACAGAGACGAAGATCATTCCTCATCCCTGCTGCTGCTCAACACGTTCAGGGCCAGTCTTGCCGCGGCCCTCGCTTCGGGTGACAATGATGTCACTCCCTCCGAATCATCGCCGTCTGCCTCCTCGTCCCGATCGCGGTCGAGGTCACGCTCTCCATCACGGACACGCCCTCTCAGTACGTCAGCAAAGGCCGCCTCATCAAGATGCACCGATCTCAGAGTTATGGAAACGCTCAAATCGCTCGCAAATGGCATACCGCAAGGCCCTGCTGTTCTGCCATCGCTCGCTTCCACTCTGGTTGCCTTGACTCGACACTCAGATTCGACCATCCGCTCTCTCACGCTCGACGCAATGCTGTCGTGCGCTTCATTCTCGAGTGGAAACCAAGAGACAGATGCGGATGGCGATGTGGAAGGACGGAACGAGATGCTGGAAGCAGCCCTCACGATTGCCCGCCTTGTCCTTGCATCTACCTATGCTTTTTCCACGGGCTCCGACATCGACGAGCAGGACGGAGTGATCCTCGCCGAGATGGAAAGGCGCGTAGACCCGAATCCAGGCGTGCTGCGCTCTTGCCTCAGGATCATTGAACGCGCCCGGATGGCAGGTCTGATCTCGAGCAACGAGCTTGCTTGCCACGTCGTCGAGATCCTTCAGGCGACTAGATGGTTGCCGATGCATCTCGAGCTCAAGTCGCTCCAGCAAATCGACGTCCCGGTCCAGGTGACGAACCGCACAGAAGGTCTGCGTGCGCGCGCAGCTGCACGACAAAGAGGCCCGCTCCAGGCGCAGCACAATTACTATGGCACATACGCGCCCTGGCTGACCGAAGCCTGTCTCGCTGCCCTCAGCAGATGTGCAAAGGACCTTCTCGCGTCTTCCACGCCCAGACTCGAACAAGACACGCATGCAGAGCTCCTCAAGTCGATTCTGCGCATCTACAACTCTGCCTCCCAAGGCAAAGCGGCCGCGCTGGCCCTGTGTGTGGCCTCTGCGCGCTGCATCGGCGCATTATATGATTCCCCGCAGGATGGCTCGGAAGTTTCCGCCCACCCATCTCTTTCGGCCTCAGGTGGTAACCAGGACGGCGAGACTGCAGCATTGTGGTCTGCACTTACGCGACACACGAGAAGCCAGCTTAGCAGCACCAACCCGAATCGCAAAGCTGCAGGCATAATGCTACTCGAAGCTTTGCTGCCGGTCGGATGGGCATACCAGAACACTGCGGCTGCTACCGGCGAGGCAGGCAAAGGAGTACCATCACCAGCGCCAGTGCATATGACCGAAGAGGACATGGCACAGCTTATGACCTTGCTGGCCGATTCCGATTCTTCGATCCGCAAGCGGACTCTCGGACTATTGCATCGAGTCGACTCGAGCCTCACTTCGCTCATGCGCACGCAGCTGCAATCGTCTGTCGACACGGAGCTTCTCAAATTGAACGGAACTCCGATCACCGCCGAGGTGACGTCTGTGGCCTTGAGACTCCTCGAGGTCGCCGCTTTCTCCGTACAGTCTGCGGATGGCGCTGCCCAAGCAGCTGCAGAGAGCGAGCTCGAACGTGCCGTCATGAGCATCATGCCACTGAATCCCTTTGGATCATTCGGCTCGATCGAGTCTCCCCCGGACACTGCTTCGAGCTCGGCCTTCCTTTGGCAGCTGCAGGCGCTATCGATCGACATGCGATTGGCTCTGATGCGGTGCCTTCTGGGAGCGGCTCGTTCGGAACCCGCATCGTCCGGAGCTCTGCGCCTTCTTTGCACTTTGCTGGCCGACATCACTCCAAGCGACTTCCGAGCCAAATCCGGTGCTCTTGACAGCTTTTGCAAGTGGTCTGTATCGGAGCTGCTCGGATCAGATGGCATCATCAGCTTCTTGATACGAGCTTCAGGAGAAGCCAGAGCCCTAGCGGCAGCGCGCGAGGCTATACTCGCCATCACAGCCCGGACCTTTTCGTTAATAGTGAACCTGGAAGGCTCCGAAGAGGCGCCTGCAACACTCGCTGCATGTTTGGAGGCACTGCAGCCTGTGCTTTCAAAGCTCATCGAGACCGAGTCCATCGCGGCCATTCGACTCGAAGCAAGCAATCTGCAGCTGATCTGCCGAACGATCTTCCGCCCCGCCGAAGCGCAACATGCAATTCTAATGGACAGGATCAAGACGATGGCTTCAGCTTGCCAAACCATTGCAAATTCGGCAAAGTGGCTATTGACGCTCGAGCTCGACCACACTTCGGCATTTCAGCGGAAGGAAGACCGCAAAGGTGAGTACTGGTGAGATTTTTGCGGCAACATGTTAGACCGCCCTGAGGCGGCCCGTGGCCCGAGCGTTTTCGAAGAAGAAAGGGTTCGCACAAGGCCGTCTTCCGATGTACTGACCACACTTTCATCATCGTTCGCATTCGTGCTCCCGATCCCCCTCATCATCAATTGTACCGGCCCTTTGCGGTATCAGCCGAATCCACAGGATCAGCGCTGCTCGCTGCCGCAAGCAGGTTCTTCGCTCCTTCTTCCACGAGAGATCATAGGACGGCGCGCTCTTGGACGCAGTCTGCAAGCTCTGCCGATAGCTTTGCCGCCGTTCGTCTGCGCGAGCAAGTTCCGGATTCGCTGCTGCAATCCTCACTCCTTCTCTCGCCGGACGGCAGCACCGCAACACTGCGCTCGAGCGATCGTCATTCCAGTCACGGAAACAGCAAGTCCAGCAGGCAGACGAGTCAAGCCCTCTCTCGCTCCGCAATCCCGTCCGAAACCAAGCGGGTCCGCGACCGACGCATCGCCGACGCTATGTCAGAGTCGATAGCCAATCTCGTCCTTGGCTCGGACGCGCATCCCAGCTCGTCCAAAAACGAGGTGATCTTCTCAGCGACCTCTTCGGGCGTTCTCGAGGGCGAAGAGCTCGAGCTTGTTGAAGAGGTAGCGGATCCCGAGAGACGTCTCGACCTTGCAACGGATGCAGGAAAGGAACCGACCCTGCTGGACCTGGTGCACCAGTGCCACAACCACGACCCGTGGCTGGACACAAGCTTGACGCCGTTCATTCTTGATGGCGTCCAGATCGGCTTTTTGCCCGCGAGGGTCGTCAAAGCCTGCATGGACGATTCGGATCGCCAGCGAAAGGCTGGACTGCCCGCTGTCCTGCGCAAAGTGCGTTTTGCCATGCGCCATCGCGAGATCGTTCCACCTTCGGCAAAGTCTCGTGTCTGCGAAGCTGTCACCTTCACTGCAGAATTCGCGACGGAGGAAGCACGCACCCGAGGCCTGAACGAGGTCGCTCAACGCTGGCGGAAGGCACGCATCTTCCCCGACCCTCTGGACGGCTGGAGGGACGAGCTTTATGCGATCTACGGCCTCAACCCGCGTCCTGGCACACGCAACCCGATCGCGTTCAAGCTCGAACGTGCCGCCTGCGCTTTGTTCGGCCTTGCGACGTTCGGAGTGCATCTCACGGCGTACACGGTAGCGCCCGAAACCGGCGAGTTGCGGGTGTGGGTTCCGCAGCGAAGCAGCACTAAGTCGACATGGCCTGGCTACCTGGACAACTCGGTGGCGGGCGGCATTGTGGCGGGTGATCTGCCGATGGAGAGCGTGGTGCGCGAGTGCGAGGAGGAGGCGAACCTCGAGGCGACGCTGGTGGAGAAGCACATCAAGCAGACGGGCGTGCTGAGCTACTGCTACAAGACGTCGGCGCAGGGCTGGATTCAGCCCGAGATCGAGTACGTGTACGACCTGCCATTGCCAGCAGACGTGGTGCTGCAGCCCAAGGACGGCGAGGTGGACCACTTTGAACTGCTCACCCTCGACCAGATCTACGAGAAGATGCGCCAGGGCCGATTCAAGGCCAACTGCGTGCTCGTGATCCTCGACTTTCTCATCCGCCACGGCTTCATCACGGCAGACAAGGAACCGGGCTACCGCCAGATTGTGGCGCAGCTTCATGTGGATTTGCGCCTCCCGGGGCCATGACGTGAATACAATGGTGCAACAGTCGTTCAATTGCGTGCGAGGAAACGGTGGTATCCAAAAGAGCTAGTCGAGCCAGGCTGGAACCAGGTCCTTGAACTGTCGTTTGACAGAGTCAGTATTTGTTGCAAGAGGCATGGTGGAATGATGGGCGTGACTCACTGTGCCTTCGAGTTCGAAGTATTCGTGAATGTGCTCGCAGAGGTTCTGGTAGAATCGGAGCTGATCCTCAACGGACGTATCCTCGGGGAATGCATCTGCGAACTGCATACTCGGCAGCGGTTCAGTATGCGGACACTGACAGCTGCATGCTATCGACACTCACCCTGCCAAGAATCGACAAGGCTTCGTAGATCCTTTGAAAGAAGTTTTCGTAGATAGCCGTGCGGAATTCGATCGACGAATGAGGTCCCGCTTCGTTTAAATCGTCAACAAGGTGCTCGTAATGATCCTCGATCGCCCCCATGGCCACGTCAAAGTTGTAGTGTTCGGTGAAGAACTCGATCAGCGGATTACTCATTGGCATGGTGGACCCCCGTGCTGAAGTTTGTCTGCAATCAAGAATCGATGAGGAAGAGCGCGGAGAGAGCCGAAGCTGTGTCGGTGAGTGACAGTCTTGATGCAGTGCTTGTGATCAGAAAGCAACGTGCTTGTCCCTCGGAGCGAGGCAAAGTCAAAGATGAAACTCTAGGTCGAGCCACAGTGCGGGAGCGAGGGGGACACAGAGTGCAGAAACGAGGGGGAGACAGGCACGCTGTCACCGAAGCAATTACTGTACGCCGCTTGAGGGTAGGACAGCGTCGCCATACGTGGCGCGCGCTCATCCGCACACAAAGCTTTCAGGACCCAATCATGCGTTCCGCAAATAGGCAGTGCGGGAACTGTGTGAGCCTGCGCAAAGTCCTTCCATGTGCGGTTTGTCTGCGCTTGCCGCTTCATTCCGTGTCGAGGCGCAAATTGGGTTGGGCGCGAACACAAACCTTGATGCGCTTTCATTTCGACCCGACTCGTGTCAGGAACACGACCTTAGCTGGTGCGCTCCTTCGCACCTCGGACGGCCTTGTTGATCAGGTGGATGACACCCGACATTCCAGCGAGAATTTACCGCCTCCCTTGCGCGCAGACGAAAGCGCACCGACGACTCAATCACAGATCACATTGTGGACGCGATTGTACTCATGCTCGCGTGCAACCTCGGCCTCGCCTTTCGCGGATCGCGTCGTGCCGCACCCTCGACGATCGGGTACAGGTGCGACGACGAGGTGTCGTGGGCGACAGACTCAAGAGCGGCCCCGACCTGCCCCGACGGGTACTGACACACCAACACGTGCGTTTTTGGTTGTGAGACTCGGGTCTCCTTCCGCATCTTTGCCGTAGGTGTAGACACCAGACTCGCGTCGGACAGAGACCAGCCACCAAAAAAAAAAGAAAAGAAAAAAGAAAAGAAAAGGGGGGTTCTCAGAGCGGAAGGCTCTTCTGCGGCTTCATCGACTCGATACCAAGGTCAATGCGGATCTGCTCGCGAGTGCTGCTCGCGTGACACGGCGTTCCGTCCTCCAGGACCTATCGGCCTCGCAGGAGTAAGTTACCTTCAGCCACGTTTTCACACTAAGCTCTGTCCTGTTCGCACACTGTGGTCGGAGGGGGAAAGGTATTAAACATTCGGGTATTTGTGACAAGAATGTTTACAAAAAAGAGGGAATCGAAGCAGAGTAAAAAAGATCGACTAGGGGAGAGAGGAGGAATTAGGGGAAGATGGTAGTAGTCGAGCTAGCTCATGAGAGCAGGAATGGAGGTGCAAGCGGCAGGCAGCGCTTACTGGGTAGCGTGAGCCTGGCGCATGGCGGGGGCAGGGTTGAGGGTGTTGGTGCCGTTGCCAACGCCGTTGCCGATGCCAGTGCCGTTGACAGTGCCGTCCGAACCGGCGAGACCGGCCTCGCTGGCCTTGCCAGCCTCGATGGCGCGAGCGTGGTTGCCGGCAAGGTCCTCGTAGTCGGAGAACTTGCCGCTCTTGAGGTGAAGCGAGGAGTAGTTGCACTTGCGAAGCGCAAACATGTGGAAAAGCGCAAAGACGGGCTTGGCGAGCAGGTCAAGAACACCGTAGAAGACCATTTCGCCGTCTGGCGAGATTGTGTTGCTGCCATCTGCGAGACCCCATGCGATCTGCGGGCAAGAAGCAAGTTTGAGAGGATGGAGAAGGTGTAGGATGATGTAGGACGTTCATGAACGACGATGATGGAAAGAAATGGTTAAACAAAAGATAAAAAATAAAAAAGATGGTGGTTAGTGGAGGTTCTTGCGGCGCGTCGCGGAAAAGGTGCGCGGCAGCCGGAAATTCGACTTACGGGGTACAGAGTCCAGAGGATGGTAAGGAGGAGCGAGGAGTAGAGGTAGGCCTTCTTGAAGTCGTCGCCGAGGTGGGCGGCGGACTTGAGACCAGGGCCGTAGATGACCCAGAAGACGTAGAACATGGCGACGCAGCCCATGGTGTAGTAGCCCCACTTGTAGGTGGACTGGACGAGGGCGCCGATGAGGCCGGTGATGATCATAACCAGGTCGAAGAAGATGGTGACAAAGATGGTGGAGAGGGGAAGGCCGGAGACGAGGAGGATCTCGAGGAGGAGGAGGGGGGTGGTGATGGTCCAGTCGATGTAGCGGGCGTACCAGATGGAGCGGGTGGGGCGGGCGCCGTTGACCTCGGCGGGGCCGTAGTTGGTGAACTCGACGGTGACGGGGGTAGCGCCAAGGTCGGAGGCCATCGAGAAGTAGGCGACCGAAGCGGTGGCCAGGATGGCAGCCGAGAGGTAGTGGAAGGCGCGCTCGCCGCGGGAGAGCTTGAGCGACCAAATCATGGTGCCGAGGCCGGTAGCGGCCATGACGGAGAAGACAGCCCAGAGGAAGTCGGAGCCATGGGTGGTGATGTCGATGTCAGCGACAGTAGGGTTGACGCGCAGGGCCTCGTTGCCCGCTCGCTTGAGGAGCTCAATAGGAGCGTTCATTATGACAGGTAGTTGGTGGAGGTAGGTGAAGGGCTGCTCCGGCTGTGGTGATGACTAGGACGGTGAGGGAACGAGAGAGGAGGAAGTCGAGGTACCAGTCTGCCTTATATGGTCATTGCTGGGAGGGGCGCAAAGGGTCGCAGGACGAGCTCATAGCGCGGCAGAGCGGGCGGACTGGATCTGAGGGACGGGACATCAAGCCCAGCGCCGGATTGATCGAGGGCTAGTGACTGAGACGAGTTGCGGCAGCTGCGCAAAAACGTCAGAGGAATGAGCGACCATCACGTCGAGGGCACGACGTAATCGGCCCGGCGGAGCAGGAGCTTGCGGGCGGGCGGGCGGGCAGGCTGACCTGGGTGAGAATCGGTGACCGCGGCGACGGCATCCGCGGGCTGACAACCTAGATTGTCGGGAACAGTGGGCACGCTTGCGAAAGGCCCGGTGCATTGAGCGCAGCTTGACAGGAGGGACCGACGGCGGTGCGCTGTGGATGCAAAGATGTCGGCGGGATCGAGGTAGAACACGCTTGTGCACAGGCAAGGCCTCATGGGACGGGAGAGGAGTACGTCATTTTGCCAGAGGCCAAGTGAGGCAAAGGGAGCTAGAGATGCTGATGGGGGCCGGGTGGAACAAGGGTCCAACACGGGCGTGTGGATCGAGCCCTGGTCGCTTCAGATCGGGTGGGTTACTGCCCGGTCCAGGGCGAGGCTGGATTTGGCCGGTTCAGCTTCGATGTGACTCCAAAGAATCACGGCTGTGGTTCGACAGTGCACCGACGGTTCGTGGCTCTCGCCGCCGTCAAGCTCTTGCACATGCTCACGCCGTGCTTGGCGACATTGTGCCTCATCATGACCGCGGCGGAGAAAAAATGGGCGGAAAACTACTGACGTGAGCACTGCCGGATGACGGTGTCAAGACAGCATTTTCTTAAAATTAAAAAATTGAATGAATAAAATCGAAAAGGTGGGATCGACCTCCACCTGTCGCTGCAGGCGCTTTGTACGACCCTACACAAGATCCTGCGTCATGATGGCCTGCCGACGCTGGACGGCACCGCACAATCGCGCCGCTCACGGACTCGTACACGACGATCCGGCACGCTTGCCGAAACCAAAGCTCGGGGTGGCTTGCCTCCAGATCTCGAGCTCTGCGCTACGCCTTGGTTGTACAGATCGGAGCTCTGTTGGGTCTGCATCCGAGCCCTTGACATTCTCTGGGGCAGGTCAAGCGTCTCAGTGTTCGCTCGACGCAGTCTCAGCATGCAGCGACATCATGCTTCCATGCGGCTTGGCTCACACTGACAACCAGCACAAGTGTTTCGAACGGTAAGCAGACAGCACAAGTTGGCTTACTCGCAGGTCCCGCCGGTCAGGCAGACCCAGGCGACCCAGCTGTAGAGTTGTTCGTGTATTCATCCAAGCTTTTCTGAGAGTTTCTACGCTGGAGATGCGAATCAGCGGTTTCTCGAGCGTTCAGCGGCCGCGGCGAGTCGGAGTTTTGGCCGGGCTTTTCCTGCTGCAGGCCGACCTTAAATGTAGGGAAGTTGCTACGGTAGCACCCTTGTGGTGAGAGAGCTTTCCATCGCTTCGAAGTATCTGGGAAGCTTGCCTGATTCGGCTGCTGGGCCAACTTCGAATGCCTCGATACGTCTCGCTTCGGCGCATGCCCTGCATCCCATCTATCGTTTCTGCGCAGCCGAGCCAGCCGATGGGGCGTCGGTTGGGTACAAGTCGCGACCTAGGAAGCAACGGAGTTGGAAAATAGATACGAAAAAGAGTCTGCTGACCCACGCATGCCCGTCGACCGTCGGAAGTGCAAGCAAGCTCCACGAGCCAGAACCCTGCGGCAGCAACGGCTTGAAGTTGGTCACAATCGCAGACGCCTCATGCAGCTCCATGCACGCTCAGTCACTATTCATCCGTTTTGAGCTGCCACACGCAATACACAAATTTCCGACACGAGCGTAATCACCACCGGGCTTTCTCATTCGCCATCTTAAGTCCGCGCGATCCATCCACCAAGCGTTGTTCTTCGCCTCGTATTCTAGAGCTTCTTGGCGTAAAGAGAAGGAGCAAAGTACATGAGATTCGGCAAGAGGCCAGGTTGGCTTGGTCTTCCAATTGCAGTTGCTTGGAGGGTTTGTGCGGCTGCTTACAACATAGCCGCATACGTGCACATTTTCGCCTTTTTTGACAGCAGCTCCCGGCGCCACACGAACGACGTCATCGCTCGCAGGGCAACGCGCCCATTCCTCGACTCACGTAAGCGCGTCCCGCATTTCCCCACTTCGCATCCATGCATCGCGACCCTCGATCCCGGCTGTCTCGCAAGCCTTCGCGATTCAGCCTGTCACGAAAACCCACGCGATTGCCTCGGCCGCAGCTGTCAAACAAGCCAATCCCGCAATCGGGCTCGTACAACCCAAGCCAGCGATCGGCACTATCGGGCCCGTGCACATTTGGCTGCGACCTTCACTAGCGTTCGAATTCGAGTCTTGCAATTGTATGGGTTCCTCGTTCGGTCCCAGATAGCCGCTCCTCAGATTTGCGGAATGGCTGGACGTCTATGAGCTGCGTCTTTGCGCGGATCCGCCCAAACACTGCATTTCAAGGCTTGGCCTGATTCAAGAGCTCTGCAAGGTTTGGAAGCAAACCTAGTCGAGGCCGGGTGCGAAGCTTGATTCCTTGGCAAAGCTGCCGCGGTGGCTGGAACGTGGGCTGTATTGGTGGAAGTGGAACCTCTGGCGGGATTGGCGTTGGCCACCACACTGGCAGCTGAGGACTTAGCGAACAAGATCTTGTGCCCTTCCGCGATTGGGAGGCATCGTGGCAAAGGCGGTGGAAAACGGAGACCGCTCGCGGCGAGACTCAAATACAAGAGCTTTCCGCGGTCGAGCGCGGATTCGTAAAGTTTCTCAGCTTTGCCGTTTACTGACGGACTCTTGAGCGATCGCTTGGCAATCGAATGCTAGCTCCGTACCGTCTCCCATCCATCGATCAGCTCAGTGACATGCGCTCCGACGCAGGCCGGAGGCGAACTAGCAAGAGAGCTCATGGGCAGTCAATTGCTCGAAGTGGGCTTGATTTCCAGCATCTTCGGACCCACCAGTCCGAGTCCTCACGCATCGGCACGGAACCTTTTCGTTCTACCCCAACCTTGTCCACCGCGTATCGCGCAGGGAGGCAATACAGTTGCGGTACATGCATTCCACCTCCAGACAGGTAAACTTCGACCTGTGGTAGAGTGAGAGATGCCGGCCGCCAAAACATGGAAGCCGTTGCCGGTAGCCAATGTGGCGAAAGCTGCCGCAATTCGCAAACCCGCAGCTTCCCCTTCGTCCGTCAGCTTGCTCCTCGAGGATAAAAGGACGGACGAGACAGACACGAACCGTGCTCCCCTCACCCTCAAATTGCCGCTCAAGACGAAGGTAAGTACTGACACAGCTTGACCAGATAGGCAACGCTGACCGTCACGATCTTTTGTCGAATAGAAAATAGCAACAACACGACTCAAGCCCTCGCCATTACCCAGACAGTCGGCGAGTCTCACGACGATTCATCAGGCGAGGATAACACGATGGTCGAAGTCAGGAGGGACAGGGGAGAAGGTCGAGGAGGGGATAGCGATCAGGCTGGGCCTAGTCGTAAACGTCGCCGAAGTCACGGGGAGGATGATGCAGGCGAGGAGCCGGAAGCCAGGAGGAGGAAGAAGAAGCCGCTGCCGCGGAGGCGGCAGATTCGCGAACATCTGCTGGTTCGCCATTGGCGAGACGAAGGATGTGACACGTGCGTCAGTCAAGGCATCGAATGTGTTCCGCCAGAGGCAGATTCGAAACAAGAGAAGTGCGACGACTGCGCAGCAAGATCGAACGAGTGCAGCGGAAGATGGATCACAAAGCAGGAGAACGTCAGCAAGATGCACAATCTGCTGACGGGCCGAAATCCTTTGCAGATCGACGACGAGTGGGTCGAAGCAGAGATCAAAACATTCGGCAACTATCTAGGAGGCCCCTGGGATAAGTGTCAGGAGTATCCCGCGGCTTTGGCATCACCTCGGTCCCGCGCATCCGCATCCCTCCAACAGGCAAGTCCTTCCTTCTCGCCCCAACGATCTCGTCCCGAAGCAACTCGTCCTCAAGAAGAGGCTCCTCAACCTCGCCCCCAATGTCTCCATCCCCTTCGTCAACCCCTGCCCTCGGTCGATCAATGCCACCATCGGCTCCTGCGCCATCGACGGAGGCGTCCGCGCTTTCCCAAAGCGAGCGCGAAGAACTTCAGTGGTACCGCGAAATGTATGCGGGCAGCTTCCTGGTCGTCCCGACGCCTCGTGAGACGCGATCTGGCACGAGACGACATATGTAGAGGCAACCATTCAGCCGGAAAGTGGCCGGCGTGCGGCGCATCATGTAACTCCTTTGTCTTTCCCAATGCTTACTCGAATCGTGCAAGTCTTGACACTCATAAGCCAGAAAGGACGGCTGAGACTGAGCTTCGTGCCGGCTGTCTAACATAATGATATAACGGAATACTTTCTTTCGTATGCTGTAAATATGAACATGATGTTGGTACAGATAGTGCGACTATGCTTTAGGCAGCCGCGCCAATCGGGTTTGGAAGCGCAAGACGGATCTCGGGCGTTCCCGTTCCCGAAGAAACCGGTCGTCCAACGACGAGCTTGGACGATGGCGTCTTGAGAGTGTCGACCTCTCCGTGCAGCGCTGATCCGCCGATAAATGCCATGGTCATCTCGAACGACGCCTTGAGCAGAGTCGACGACGACTCGGCAATACCGGACCTGTTGAACGGCCTGAAGCCACCGGCAGCCGTCTGATAGTCGGCGATGAGGAACAGGTGACGCGGCGACACAGCGATACCGTACGTGTCGAAGATGCCCCGCATCTCGGCCACGATCGCGGCACGCGCTGCCTCCACACCGTACGTGTGGAGCACGGCACCAATGTCGTTGGTGTACAGGTTGTCCAGATCCACCACGCCAAAGCCAAAGTTCCACAGGTCGCGGAAGTTGATACCCTCGGCCGTGAGCGAGACACCGTCCTCGCCCGCCTTCGGCGGCGGCTTCATGACACGCGAGATGTTGGGGATCTCGTGGATCACACTCTGTCGGCAGACGCGCTCCACAATGTTGATCAGCAGCAGCTTCTGCGACTGCGCAGCGAGCGTCAGGTCGAACTCGGCCCATCGCGCCTTGACCTCGTCGAAGCGGAAGGCGTTGATGTACTTGGAGTTCTCCTGAAGCGCCTTTTCGAGCGCAGACGTCTGCTCGGCCCAGTCCTCGTTGACGGAACCGTCCGACGACTCCGAGTCGCTGCTGTCGCTGTCGACATCCATCGCGTTGGACGACTTCTTGCTGCTCTCGCCCGAAAAGGCAGCTTCGATGTCCTCCATGGTGGAAGGCACGTTGTCCATCACCTCGTCGTCGCCCTCTTCGTACGAGGCGTGCGCAGCCGAGCGCTGCTTCCTCTTGGCTTCGTCGGCGTCGCCGTCACCAACTTCGGAAGAGGCGTCCTCCTCGTCGTCCGAGTCGGCATCGTTGCCCCTCGAGCGAGGCTGGGCAGCATTGGCGCGCTCCTCGCCGTCTTCGTCGGCATTGTTGCCCGCCGCAGCGTTGTCCGAGAACGTTCGGCCTCGGCCGATGGCAGCCGCTTGTACGGCGTGCTCGCGCCTCTGCTTGCGCATCTCGTTGTTGATGTTGTTTTCCAGATTCGGCGCAAAGGTCTCCTGCAATCCGTGCAGAATGTGCTGAGTAGAGCAGTTGTACTCTTCCTTGCACTCGTCGGCCGGGTAGAAGTTGAGGCGCACCGTGTACGTCTTCTGGCGGTGGAAGCCGGTCTGCGAGGACTTGGGCGAGATCTTTTCGGTGACGATGGCCTCGTCGATCACCTGGCTCAGCACGAGGCGGCTGCCGTCCTTGCAGAACGTCTTGATCTGGTCCTCGGTGATGCCGTCCAGGACGGGGAGGCGCATGATGGGCGTCTTGATGTTCTGCGACGCGGTCATGACGATCTCTCGCAGACGCGGGATACCGAGCGTCACGTTGGCGGCACCGTGACCGGCAAAGTGGAACGTGTTGAGCGTCATCTGCGTCGAGGGCTCACCGACACCCTGGGCTGCAAGCAGACCGACAGCCTCACCAGGGTCGACGAGGCCGCGGTGGTAGAGCACCTTGCACATGGCACGGAAGGCCTCGACACCGAGCTTCTCCTTGGCGAAGCGCAGCTTCTCGGCCACCTTGCCGTCGTTGTTGCCATCGGCATCGCCAGCAGCCTCGGACTTGCGCTTCTTGCTCTTCTTCTTCTTGTCGGCCAAGAGCTTGCTCGGGTTCTTCTCGATGTACGCCTCGATCTCCTTGGCGTACTTCTCCGACATGGATCCGAAGTGCGTTGAGGGATTGTACATGCTGAGCACAGGCTCGTACTTGTGCGGCTTCTTGAGCGCCTTCTTCATGTGCTCGGCGGCGAGCTCGGCCTCGACGACCTCTCCAAGCTGCTTGGGGTCGTAGCGCTTGTTGTAGTTCTCGAAGTTGGCGGCGGTGAAGTCGAACTGGCCGAGGTACTTGCTCTTGGTGGTGTCGAGCGCATCTTCACCGTAGGCGAACTGGAGGATGGAGCCGTCGGCGTTGCGCACCGTGTTGTCGTACTGGATGTGGACACCCTCGAGATGCTTGATCAGACATCTCTGCAGGTAACCCGAACGCGACGTCTTGACAGCCGTGTCGATGAGACCTTCACGACCAGCCATGCAGTGGAAGAAGTACTCTTGAGGGCGGATACCTGTCAAGAAACGACCGCTGACGAATCCACCAGCTCGCGTGGACGTCTCGAAGGGGCGGAAGGACGGCAACGACTTGCCGCTGACCATGAGCGGGACACGTCGACCTTCGAGAGCCTGCTGACCGAGCAGACACGAGATCTGCGAGACGTTGACGGCCGAACCCTTGGCACCGGAGCCGGTCATCATCTGCATGTTGTTCTCGGGGAACTTCCTGTACAGGCCGCTGGGTAGGCACGACTCGATGATCTTGGACGTGAGGGCGTTGGACGAGTTCATCATCTCACCGTCGAGGACGGCAAGCTTGTCGTCGTCACGCAGCACCTCTTCGAGACGGATGCGCAGATTCCTGTCCGTGTCCGGGTTGTTCTCGTCCTCGCCCTCGAGACCGACGGTCTTCATGGCGACGCCCTTGCCTTCGCCCTTGGCGGCATTGAGCGCCTTGCGCCTGACCTCGTCACCCTCCTTGCTCAGCAGCAAATCGTCCATTCGACACGAGAACGCGTTCGACTGGAGGAACTTGGTGAAGAGACGCGAGAGGATACTGAGGAGCTTGCCGGCCGTCTCGGATCCGTAGATCTCAAAGATAGCATGGACGAGACCGTAGGCGGAGGCACCGAAAGCGGCCTTGTCGAGCACGCCCTGCAGGAGCTCTCCGTCCTCGATGATGACCTTCTCTTCGCTCGCGTGATCCTTGCCCCACAAGCGACCCGCCACCTTGGCCTTGGAGGTGAGGTTGAGGCCGTCGGCCTTGGCGGGTTTGAGGTTGAGGAGCACAGTCGAGATGATCTGCTTACCAGTCCAGAGAGGCTCGGGCTTGAGCAACGCGGGCGGAACGGTGAGCACGCGGCCGCCACCCGTGTACTTGCCCTCGGGACGCAGAGCGCCGTAGAGCATCTGCTGGTACTCTGCACGCGTGTAGAGCGTGTTTTTGGAGGTCATCCACACACCGGCCACGACGTGGTCCTGGATGAGACCACGCAGCGGATTACCGCTGGTGGGCGTGAGGTACTGGTTGTCGGTGTTGGCGACGTAGTAGCACTCTGCACGGGCAGCCTGCGACTGCGGGAAATGCATGTTCATCTCGTCACCGTCGAAATCGGCGTTGTACGAGTTGCAGTTGGCGTAGTGCATGCGGATCGTCTTCTCGCCGACGAGGACGCGAGCCTTGTGGGCCATCATGGAGGGACGATGCAACGTGGGCTGTCGGTTGAGCAGAAGGATATCGCCGTCGCGCAGGTGACGCAGCACCTGCTTGTTGGCGATAGGCGTGCGGGTCGAGCTGCCGAGACCGGCAAAGGTGCCGCGCTTCTGCTTGGACGAGTGCTCCTGCGGTGTGAGGAGCTGGTTGGCCAGAGCGGTCCTCTCCTCTACACTGAGCTTGTCGAGCTGAGTCTCCGTACCGTCTTCGCTGCGGATAGCAACGGCGCCAGGGTACTTGAAAGGACCGTTGATGACGAGCTGACGCATGAGCTGGACGTTGTGCACCGTGACCGGCTCTGGATAGGTGAGCTTGCGAGCAAAGACGGGCGGAACGCCGATCTCGTTGGTCTCGATGTTGACGTCGGGCGAGATGACGGATCGTGCAGCAAAGTTGACACGCTTGCCCATCATGTGCTTTCGGAAGAGACCCTCCTTCTTTTCGAGGCCCTGCTTGACACCTGGGGGCGGCAGCTGGCCCTGACGGAGAGGCATGGGGTTCTTGCTCGAGTCGATGAAAGAGTTGACGTCGACCTGAAGCTGCATCATGGAGTTGAGCACCTTGCGGCGCATGTCTTCGCGCGACTTGATAAGCTGCGTCTCGGCCACACGGAAGTCGGACTCGGAAGCATCTGGCCCAAGCTCGGGGAAGTCCTTCTTGGCTGTGAGCCGCGCCAACTCGGTGATTTGATCTCGAATGGCGAAGGTGGTCTTGAGCACGTTGGTCAGCAGCTCGTTCTGCGAGTTCTCGAACGTCATGTCGCCCATGATGCTGGCGGGTCGGAATCGGGTGGGCGGGACGGCGACGGCGGTGATGAAAAAGCTGTCGGCGCTGGCACCGTTGGGAGTCGACCAGATGGCGGAGCCGGACTTGGCCTTGACCTTACCCTCGCTGTTGCCGAGACGGAAGGGGCCGTTGCGGCCGAAGAGAAGAGAGCAGAGAGGACCCTCGTTGTAGAAGAGGAGGCGCAGATGCGCCTGGCATTCGACGGCGGGCATGACACGGTAACCGGCCTCCTTTGGCGCGTCGTCGGCCGAGATGGCTTGGGTTGCAATGCCGGATGCATCGTCTTCGTTCTCTGCGGAGGCGGAAGTCGATGCCGCAGAGGCAGCAAGCCGACGCTCGATGGCGGCGACACGCTTGACGGGCGAGATGCGGAGGTAACCCTTCTGTTCGTTGGAGGCGATCTCGGTAGGGAGGGGAGCCTTCTCCATGATCTTGAGGAAGCCGTCGCGACGCACGTTGGGGCTGATGGCGTTGCACTGACCGCAGCGCTTCTTGTGGATCTCCTTCATAAAGTCGTTCATGCACTTCTTGCGGAGCGTGTATGCGAGACTGCCCGCTTCTGGCTCGTACGTGGCCTTGCCGCTGGCCTTGGCCTGCTTGATGAGCTCCTTGACTTGCTTGTTGATGCGGTCAGCGAACTCGGCGGGCGTCTCGCCAGCGGAGGACTTCCCGGGCTTGGAAGAGCTGCTCTTCTTGGGCGCAGTGTTTTCCGGATCCGAGTCTTCGTTGGCGGTCTCAAACTCTTCGTTGTTCAAGTCGGAGAACTTGGCGTAGCTTCGGGGCTCCTCTGCGTCGATGTTCTCGGCGTCGTCGACGAGACCGTACTCGAGAAGTCGCAGACGGCCGATCACCTTGGTGAGCACGGGAAGCGAGGCGCGGAATCGGTGGCAGTAGAAGCAGGTGCCGCGAAGCAAGTTGAACATGTTGCCCATGAAGAGCGGGTGGAAGACGGGCGACGGAAGCTCGATGTGGCCAAAGTGGCCAGGACACTGATACGAGTTCAAATGACACGTTGCACAGATGTCGTGGGGGCGCATGGGCCCGAGCGCCGGGTCGTAGAGACCACCGGCATTGGGATGGTTGGTGGTGTCGAGCAGGACGGGGTTGATGATCTGTTTGACCGAGATCCTGCGGATGTCCTCGGCGGTGAGGAAGGAGAAGGAGGCCGAGGCGATGGCCGAGGTGATGGGCTTCTTGATGTCCATGATGGGCTAGGATCCAAGGCGGGCCCCTCAGGAGCGCCGCTAGGGTTTACAAAGTCAGGCAGACGATGGGAACTGCGCGAGGCGAGGTTTGTCCAGGCGCAGGGCAGACGTGAATGGCTCCTCGATGAGGCTGTGGTGAGCGAGCAGCTGTTCGTGCTCCGTGACTCCCGTAGCCTGCAAACAGAGCGAGGATGATGGGTAGGGAAAGTTGGTTGTGGAGTAGGGGTTGGAGAAAGAAGAGGTGGAAGCGATGTCGCACTGCGATGTGGACGAAAGCTCTGCGCAAGCCACCGTGCATTCGAAATTTTTTCCGCACCTCTGCAGCTCAGTTCTTCCAAGTGCGCTCCCAAACGACACTGACTTGAGATCTCAGCTTCTCATTTTTTTGCTCGTCCCACTTTTTTTTTGTGGCAGCAGGCCGGCTCAAAAAATTCAACAGCTGACTTGCAATGACTAAGCACTTTTCAGCCGATGCGCTAGCCTTGAAATCGGGCCCAACGGTGGAGCTGCAGCCAGGGTCCAAGGTGCTCAAGGTGCTGTACCTGAAGCTCGCATCCCTACGACAACACAGTTGCCTCACCTTGAGCTAACTTTCGGCTGCATCGCTGCAAACAGCATCTCAAGCTCCCCATCTCTTCCAAGCGAAGCGATGCAGATCTTCGCTTACGCCCCATAGGCGCAAGGGGCGGCACGCAYGCACTTCTCCACGGCACCCTCGTCATGGTTGATGTCCTCGCTGCAGAGGCACGTTCGTCCGCTCGCAGAGGACCCCACCACGGCACCAAGCGCACTCTTGATGCGACCGAGACTGCGCCCAAGAGGCGGCGTCTGATTCATATCGGCTCCTCTCCTCCACCCTACAGCACGGCATACAGCGATAACCTGGGACCGGCTCGGACGGCCACGGCGCCGCCATCGCCGAGAGCGGAAAGCAAGCGGAATGCGCCATCCACGCGGTCTAGAAACGCACTCAGCTTGAGGGCATCATCGCCCGTAACGCCCTCTCCACCAGATCCTCCGAACGTCTTCACACCGGATCCTCTTCCTCCTCGTACTAAAAGGAGAGGCGCGCAGGGCGACGCCGGCGGAGAACATGGGCTTCGCATGCAAACTCGGCAGTTGCAACGCCTTCGTACGCTCGCCTGTACGGATCCAGATTCTCCAATCGGGACTTTCGGCGGTCAGATACTTCCGCACTCCATCAGAGACACGACGCGCACGGGACGCAGAGCACCCAGGGCGGAGGCATTAACTACTGATGCTCTCTCCCGCGGCCACCATCCTCATCTACCTCCAGCAGGAAGCAAAAGCAGGAGCAAGCGGTCTATCGATGCGAAAGCTAACAATGCAGACAGCGCTGATGCGAAACAGGACGACAAGCTCAAACATCCTGCTGACGGCAAGGCTGCCAAGCAGAGACGGCGTCAGCCGAAGATTCAACGCGTTCAGTTCGGTGGCGTCCAGGCATTGGAGACGCTTTATCCGCCCAACGAAGCCCAGTCTCGCGCCTCTGTGCCGCCACCGTCCGACGATCCAGATGCTGCGGACGAATCCGATATCACCTACTTTCCCACGCTACCACCCAAACGACCGCACGTCGGAACGCACATGCAGACAGTGCAGACGGCGGATGAAGACTTCTTGGACAATCGCCCATCTCTGAGCGCTGCCGCATCTTCGCCTCCACCTCTGTTCGCCCCTGACGACGCTACACGAGACGACGGGGATCCTGACAGCGAGGGCGACTCGAGTCGAGGGTTGCTCGAGGTCCTTTCACAGACTGCCTTGCGTAGGATGAACCACGCCACCTCGCCTCCGCAACCACAACGCGTTGGTCACACACCCGCACGCCAAACCGCAAGGCAGACGCTGAGCCCGCACGAGATTCGGATCGAATTCGACGCTGCACATCTTTCGCACATGCAGGCACGGCGAATTGCCGAAGCGCTCATGCGGAACGGCTCGGATCGGCCGAAGTGGACCTCGGTTCGATTGGACTCGGATCACCCGCATAGACGGAAGCTTCCGACACTATTGCCGACTTCAAGCAAGGCAGTCCGGGCCGCGCTGGATCCACCCACACGGCGCTCCGTCTGTGACGCCCTTTGCTTGACAGCAAGACAAGCATCGCGAAAGGCGGGATCTGAACGGCTTGAATTCGTTCATTTCGATGCGGGCGCACACGTGCATGAGGAGCCTGCAGAGGACCTCGAAAACCTGGCTGCATTCGAGCACCAGATTCACTTTGCCGGATATCGGCTCCAAGATCAGGTCCCATGCGACGCCGAACGGTCCACATTTCCGTGCTTGGAGTCCTTAGGCAGCGAGGAATGGCCCACACGACGTGGTCCTGTTGTCAAGATTCTCGTGCCGCTGTCCGGTCCTCCGCTCCATCCCGCTGCCTCTCCCGCACGCTTCATCAAGCCACACGATACTAGCGATGAGGCCCACGGACCGGCTGCAAACGATACGGTCCTTGTCTGGACCCCGACGACGGCGCGAATGTTCCTGGCCGCGCTCGACGAGCAGGTGGCCTCAGGAGGAGTGTCGAGCTATGCCGAGCTGCGTGGCCTCGAAGCGTCGGAGCTGGAGCTGTGTCCGTCACCCATCCTACACTATGTGGCTAGCACGGGCTCGTCGGATGCGGAGGACGTATCGACATCGCATGTCGCGCTCTACGTGCATGCGCATCGCGTTAACGAGGCACGCTCAGTCCTGGCGGCCCTGGAGCTCGGCGATATGCTTGGTGGCACTCCGTACAAGTTCAGGCCATTCAGCGATCCAAAGTTGCGACTTCTGATCATCAGCGTGGTTGGCAAACCACTCGGCTTGATCTGACGAGCCCTCACCCCGACCACGCGCGTCGTGACTCTATACCCGCAGAATTCCTTGCAATTCCACCAAGCTTCAAGGAGCTGCAATCCACGCACAAAGCAGAACAGACGAGAAAGTGGCCAGCACCGAATTGATTGCAGTGTGAGTCCATCGGGTAGCTATGCCTCGATGGAGAGAAGGTCAAAGTTGAAATGCGTTGGCGCGGCGGCTTCGATTTGGGATCGGGCCGTCGTCTGGCTACGCGCAGGTTGGGCTTGGGGTGGATCGATGAGTTGGACGAGGCGATTGGCGATGCGATCGGCCGAGTCTCTCATCATTCCCAAGTTGCCCGCACCGGGACCGATCTGGAGTGCGGCATAGGCGCCCGTGACGAACAGCGGCACATCACGGCGGTACTCGAGATCAGCCGTAACCAGCGGCATCCCTGCCACAACCGACACGGGGTGTGTGCGCTGCAACGTGGACAGGAAGGTTAGATTCCGAAAGTTGGTCTCGGCACCCGTGGCAGCAATCACGTAGTCGGCACGAATCTCCTGCACTCCATGGGCTGTCCGCAGATTTAGTGTCCAGTCTTGGTCATAGGTCGCTGATGCCACGGTGGTGTGCGTTCGTATCTCGAGCTTGCCAAGCGCTTCGAGTCGGGATAGCAGCTTGGCGTAGGTCGGCGTGACACTGCCGCCGTTGCGCGCGGTTCGCAGGATATTGACCCGCTCGTCGACACTGTCACTTTGCCAAAACTGCATGCGCAGATAATTGCTGTATCGTCCAACCCATCCGAGATCCACGTCGAAGGGCTTGCTCTTGAGATGGCCTCGAACAAGCAGGATCACGCGATCGTATCCGGATTCGAGCGCACGGACGACCAGTTGAGCAGAGGTCAAGCCTCCTCCGACAACCACCATGGTACTTCGATGCCCTGGATGTGGTGTAGGGAACGGTTCCCAGGCGAGACAGCCAGAATGCATCCATCCCTTGCCCCTCGGCGCACTTGCCGCACTCTTTGTCGAGCCGCTGCCAGAGTCGCCCGCATTGTTGGCTTGAGTGAGGAAGGATGGGATGCTCGGCTTACCACCTGCGCCTACGGCACTGACGACAGCTTTTGCCGAGACGACAACATTGCCATTCTTCACAGGGTCATTGTCTTCCAGCTCAAGAAGAAAGCCGGCTTGGTGGTTGCCAAGACCGTCGTCGACGCAGCGCTGGACGCCATCGAGCCACACGAGATCCTTGATACTTCCGCGTAGCGTCGTGACCGGCTGTTCCTGCTGGGGCTCTTGGGTGCCGCTTGCACTTGCGTTGAAGTAATGATGTATGCCTGGCCAGACAGACGCCGTGTTCAGGCCGTACTTCTCCTGCAGCCTGCGAATGAAGGAGTTGAACAGTGCCGAGCTGGGGGTGAAGTAATCGCGTCGGTCGCGCTCGTTGACATGAACGCTGGCAGGGCCGGATTTGCCAAGCAATTGCTGTTGCTGCTTTCGCTTGTGCTTGGACTTTTCCCGCCCGACCACACTGGGTATTTCGATGAGATGGGGCAGAGATGCGTGTGCTCGATCAGAGAGCACGCTGGTGGAACGCTTGCTGCGCCTCTTTGCCTCCTGCCCTGCGACCCGGCCTGCCGCGACGCGAGACTCCATCTGGTCAATGAGCTGGTCCGGTGTGCCCTCGTCAGCGCGTTCCGTCTGATTTGCATGTGCGAGCAGGGCATCAAAGTCGCTCGCGTCCGGATGGAAGAACATCGGGGAACGCAGATGACTGATGCCAAGCGCATTGAAGTTACGCTTCCACAGCCCCATGAAGCCCTCGCCGCATCGGTCGATGACGAGGATCTTGAAACGTCCTTCACACGCGCAGGCTGCATCATCGTCGTCCAGGACACTACGCTCTGGCTTTGCATCGGATCGGGTCGACTTGTGGCTCTTCTTGGGAACGAACGAGCGCGTCCGTTGGCGATGGACAAAGTGAAGGTGACGATGCTCGTCTTCGGTGTACAGCGCTGCGGGTCGCGATTCGAGGATACGAGAGACCACGGCGAGGGCCGCCGGACCACCACCAATGATGACCAGATCGAAGTGCGCCACGGCTTCAGTTTCGGATCCTGGTCGAAGAAGGTGCGAGGTGGCCGAGTTGGAGTCTGCGCTCGGCGTACCGCACATTGGAGGCGTGTGTTCAGCGAGAGATGTCACCTCTCGAGGCAGAACAAGGGCCTCGGGAGTTCTTCTGTGTGGTGGTAGCATGGTGTCGCTCCAATGTCAAGACGGTGCATTTCCCAAAAAGCGTCGTCGAGGACATCTCAGAACGGTTATATACATGCTTGCGAGTTTGGCAGGAGGCCCGTCGAGCTCGGCCAAGAGCAAGGCCACCATCCTCCGCTACCCTGCCGGTCACGAAGAGGCGCGGTCTGCTGCAGGGATGTGCGAGTACCGCAGACGTCAGTGGAGCACTAGTTGACAAGGGCGGCAATTCAATCGTGGGGTAATCAACGATCTTATCACGAGGTCTGACCGGGAGGGTACTCACTGGTGAGGCAGCATCCCGATGTACCTCCCGATCGCAGTGTTGAGACAGATTTCAGCCGATCGGAAGGTCGGCTTTCTCCCGTTTGCGGCATGTTAAAGCGGCTCTGAGGATTTGTTTGAAAGAGACAAGACGTGGGCACTGCCAACGGAGTGAATGGATGAAAGCAGGGATGGCGAAGCGCTCGACGCTCGATGGCGTCAGATTGCGACGGTGGAGGCGTGATCCTCTTTAGCGTGAATTCCGTGATTGCGCGCCGCGGTTGCACGACCTCTGCAACCTGGACTGGGCGATCTCACAATCTGGACCGGTCGCGTACCGTGGATTTCAGCTGCATTTTTTTCCCTCCGCGCTCTTTTCGGGCTGTCATACTTTTCGACAGGTGTCGCCCTGCATACGTGCGCACGCCACCAGGGTCTTTCCCTGGAGCCATACTCGAGATGCGCCTCTGGCGTGCGCGTGCATGAGCAACAACGACTGCGCTGTGGAGCCCCCCAGTCCATCAGCCCCGACGATTCGCTCACGTTTGTGGTAGTCTGGATGGTGCGAGATCGCATTCCATCCACGTGCGTCTCTGCTGCCGGCATCCGCACCTGCTCCGACGAATGCTGCCGCTCCTTTCTATCACGCCAAGCTACTGTATTTGCCCCGTCCAACTCAGCAGCGGTGGCAGGCGGCTAGACAGCTCCATCTTGTCGCCAATCAAATGCGCTTATCTCGGCAGGCGCTGGTGGGAGTGCTCAAGCCCTGAGACCCCCGCGAGAATATTAGCCCCGCTCGCTCGCCATCGTCCTTGCCGCTTGCACATCGGACACCATCAGCTCGGCTAGCGCCTGTGAAAGATTCGTCAGAATGCACCCTCAACCCCACCTCGCACAATACCTCTGGAATGATACTTGGAATAACTCGCTTTCCCTTGCCGATTCCCTCTAGCATCCAGCTGTCTCTGCACAAAGAGTTCTTGAAAGACGGGTCCTGATCATGCCATCCTCAGTCGGAGTGTGCCCATACAATCTGGAGGCTTCCCGTCCATATACCCTGCATGTGCAGTCCGCCAGCTTATCGACTGAGCTAAGTGACAAATCTCCGGATCGTCAGTGAAGGAAGCTGCCTTCTTCTTGTCAATTACGACGGGATCAGATCTGAGAAAGCAGGAACGGGATAGCGTGCAGTAGGCTTGCATGAATACAGTTCTTCGGGGGTCAGATCTGGTGTGAAGCTGAGGCTGAGGGACTGCTTGGCTGCGATCCTAGTCTGACTCGTGCATGTTTGCACAAGAAGAATCTCTGATCAGGTACTTGCTGCCGAGTGTACTTATACCACCCACCAGATCTCGCTCAGCCCCCGAGCCCTCCCTACATCTTGTCTCTCTACCCTCTCGCCTTCACCACATCACCTCGACCTCGACCTCCTCCCCGCTTCTACCGATCGACTTCAAACACGCAAGGACCGAGTCATCCCAGCTCGCAACAGCACTTTGACCATGTCGCAAGCTCCGCCCCTGTCTCAGGGTGCCGGTTACGGTGTCGTCATCGGCCTCGGAGCACTCTTTGCCATCGTAAGTGCAGTGCTTTCCTTTGAGTCCGTGCGTTTCATGTGGGCTGACAACGGTACGTGCGTTATTTGACGCGCAGGTGGTGGTGGGCATTTCGCGCTCGCTGGTGCGCTATGCGGGAATTTCCAAAGACGCCGAAGAATTCAGTGTTGCTCGACGCTCTCTTGGCACAGGTCTGACTGCGGCCGCGGTGATCAGCTCCTGGACATGGTCGACCACGCTACTATCCTCGGTGTCTACGGCTTACAACTACGGTGTTGCAGGAGCGATGCTGTACGCGTCCGGAAACTGCACGCAGATTGTGCTTTTCTCGACTCTGGCGATTCAGCTCAAGCGACGCGCGCCCTCGGTGCATACCTACCTCGAGCTCGTCCGCATCCGCTTCGGAGTACTGCCGCATCTGACGTATATCTTCTTTGCGCTGGCCACCAACATTCTGGTCTGCAGTTCGGTGCTGCTCGGTGGTGCCGCGGCCATCAATTCGATCACGGGCATGAACGTGTACGCTGCGCTCTTCCTGCTTCCTGCCACCGTGGTGGCCTACACGCTTCGTGGCGGCCTGCGTAGCACGATTCTCGCAGACTACCTGCACACCGTCATCATCTTTGTGATCCTCTTCATCTTCTGGCTGCGCGCGTATGCCACGTTCCCGGAAATCGGAAGCCCCGCAGCAATGTACGACAAGCTCGTCTCTGCGTCGCGCAACATCTCGGTCCCCGGCAACTACGACGGATCCATCCTCACTCTCAAGACCGAGGGCGGCCAGTACTTTGCGTGGCTTTCGGCTTTCGAGTACACGGGCGTTGTCTTCCTCGATGCGTCGTTCCATCAGAAGGGAGTGGCGGCGATGCCCGAGGCTGCTTTCCCGGGCTACCTGATCGGAGGTCTGGCGTGGTTCTCGATCCCCTTCTGCCTCGCGACCACGGCAGGACTCGCCGCCCTTGCGTTGGAGACGACCTATCCTGGATTCCCTACATACCCGAACCGAATCCCCAAGGCAGATGTATCGGCAGGATTGGTGCTGCCGTACGCGGCTCAGGCTCTGCTCGGCAAGGGTGGCTCGGCCGCCGTGCTGCTCCTCATGTTCATGAGCTGCACATCGGCCATCTCAGCGCAGATGGTCGGTGTATCCACCGTCGTTTCGTACGACATCTTCAAGACCTACTTCAAGCCCGCGATTTCGGCCGAAGGTTTGCTGCGATCAAACCAATATGTTGTCGTCGGATTCGGCCTCTTCGCAGCGGCTTTTGGCAGTCTGCTCCACGGAATCGGTCTCGATTTGGGGTTGATTTACAATCTGACGGGCATATTCACTGGAGCAGGCCTGTCGCCGCTTATCTTTATCTTCTTCGACACCCGACTGCACCCTGCGGTGGTGTTCCCAGGTATTTGGATCAACTTTGTCGCCGGCGTAGCCGTGTGGCTCAGCGTAGCGTGGCACAACTATGGTGTTGTCAACCTCGCCTCTGTGGGTGGTGTGGTGCCTTGCTTGGCAGGATGCGGCACGGGAATCGGTGTCGGACTGGTGCTTTCCGTCATCTCGGTGCTCTTCTTCCCGCGCGACTTTGCGTGGAGCAGGATTCCCGAAATTCTGGAAGAGCAGCATCGCCACGCGCAGCAGCTTCGCGGCGAGAAGGTGGCCGAGCGCACGCAAGTCGACGAGAAGGCCGCTTCAAGCGCCAGCAGCCAGGGCGAGACGACGCTGGAGCTGATCGAGCACGATCCATCGTACGATCCCAAGCGACTCGACAGGTCGTTCCGCATCGCAGTTGTCTCAGCCCTGACGATCTTTGTGGTGATCACGATCATCTGGCCGTTTTCGCTGTACCGCGACTACATTTTCTCGCGCACCTTCTTCCAAGGCTGGGTCACGGTGTCGTTCATCTGGGCCATCGCTGCCTTTGTCGGTGTGGGTATCTTCCCCCTCGTCCAGGGCATCCCTGTTGCCAAGACCATCATTCACAACCTCAAGAACAAGGCAACCCGCAAGTCGGACAAGCAGCAACCAGCTTCGGATGCTGCATCGCCATCAGAGTCGTCGACTCCAGCGTCGCCAAACGAGTCAAAGACCAAGATCACCCAGTCGCACACCGACTCCAACTACATCGCCTAGACGTTGTTCCATCCTCATCCCCGCGCCCATTGGCTTGTCATCCTCGCGTCCGTTGGCTTAGGGTTGTATGAAGCAAATCGTGATTGTTAAAAAAATACCCTGGACTCGTGATAGCAAGTTTGGTGTAGTTCCGACGCGCGTGCAATTTGTCAATACCCCGCTCTGCGTATTACTCTCAGATCCGCTGGGCTGACTCCCCCTCTCCTCGGCGGCAATGTTGAAGCCACCTTCCATCTCAAGATGACGACAGACGGCCCGTAGAGCAACGCACATTTGTCTCCTGTTGCGACTCAAAATTTGCGAAGACGATGTGCAAAATTGACCTGGATTGTGATTCTAAAAACATGCATGCTACGACTGAGTGTGTTTGCGAGGGCTACCCTTTCCAGGAGCCGCGGAAGAGGTGGACGAGCCTGCTGATGCCGTCCTTTGTATGCGAGCCGGGGTTGAAGCCAGAGGATGGGACGATGACGACGTCACGGATCTGGACGGGCTGTTTGAGCAGCGACAGATCTTCTGGACGCACACGTGCCACAGCGTAGAGATAGCTCACCACGGCATCAGTAAAGACAGCTGGGCCGGTCCATTCTTCGACAGAGAGCGTGTCCCAGCCCCATCGCCAGTGACCCGCCTGCCACTTCCACGACATGGAGACGGCGTTCCATGGGCTGACGCCATGTGCCTCTCTGGCATGCGCCTGCTTCGCCTTGGCATCGGCGTGGAGGTCACCCCAACCCCAGCCGTCGGCGTGTGCATCGCGTTGCTGCTCGATCTCGTACGCACTGTAGACATCGTTGGCCTCGAGGATGCGACGGACGACGTCGAGCATGATCGGGTGGTTGGGCGCCGCATGCAATGTCCACTGCACGAACTGCAGGGGACGATGGCGGCGCATGGGAAGCAGACGCCAGCGCTCGAAAAAGTTGCGTGGGTCGACATTCTCGTTGGGATCGTTCTCGATGCCGATGATGGCACGAACCGGTTCTGGAGCGACGTCGTCGACATCAGATGCAGGACCCCGCGGCAAAGCGGTGGCCCTGCCAAAGAGGCCCGAGGACTTTGGACGCAAGGCGGAGAGAGGCACGGCGTCCTTGGTCCAGTTGGCACGGTGCATGAGGGGGACAGTGTCCATGTCGGACCAGGTCCCTCCGTCATCGAGCATGAGGAGATACCTCAAAAGGTCTGCTTTGAGGATAAAGCGGGGCATGGCGTCCCAGGCGCGCTTGACCGAGGTGTTGTGGTAGTGCGTCTGGACCCAGTCCTCGGCGCCTGCATCGTCGAGGAACTTGGGCTCGAAGCCCATCTGGGACCACTTTTCGTACCACGATTTGGGCGCAGGCTTGCCATCCGAGGACCAGATGGTGGGAGGCACGACCGAAGCCGAGCTGGCTTTTGTGGCATCGACACGAGAGGAGGGCTGGTTGATGTGTGCGAGATGGTCGGCGAGGGCGTCGCGAGCCTGTTTGTTGGGGATGTGCCGGGCCAAGGCGGTCTTGAGCGTATCGACGTAGGTCTCTGGTGGGAGGATGATGTAGTTGGGTGGGCGGAATGTGATGTAGCAGAAGATGTAGAGGATGGGAAGCACGACGGCTGCGATGGTGACGAGCTTGCATCTGCGCGAGGAGCCCTTTGCGCGACGGTATGTGCCGCCAAGCAGCGACGAGTAGTAAGAAGGAGGATTGTAGCCCGGTGGCGGCGATATCGAGCCGAAGTGCAGGTCGAGCGAGCACGACGAATCGCGCCGTTGTGATGACAGATGCGAGAGTGGGATGTCGACTGCGGTCTCTGTGGATGAGGTTAGAGCGGTGTACTCGCACTCGCTGCGTGGAGACGAACTGGTGCTTGCGATCTTGAATGGGCCGATCTTGAAGTCGGAGAGCGGCGCATTGCGGCCATTGCGGCCGTCGCGAGACTTTTGGTCGCCTGAACGGAGGAAAGGCAGCATGGTTGCGAATGCTATGGCGAGTAGAGGATGGCGGTAGTGCGGCGCCCGAGGCGCGTGGGGGTGACAGCGGAAGGACGAGGCGCTCGCGCCTGTCTGCGATGGGGCGAATTCAGCTATACGATCGTCGCGAACAGCATGAAGAGGAGCAAGCTATGCGTTGGAAGCGGATAAGGGGCCGATTCGTCAGGGCGCGGTGGTGCGGAGTAAGTAGAGCCGAAGGCAATGACCGGAGCAGAGGGCGCACCAAGACCTGCTTGGTGTGCAATGTGCGAGCTACGGATTCTTTGTCGGAACAGCGATGGAGATGACGATGACCAGGGAGAGAGAAGGCAGCGATGGGCAAGGAGACGGGTGTGGGAGAGGGTGGAGACTGTCGAAGGAGGCTCGGCGGTGCTGGGCTAAAAAAGTGTAATTTGCCGGTCAGATGCACAGCGCGGACGCGCAGCTGCTGCTGGTGGAGCCCAAAAAAGGAAGCCCTGCTGCTGCGTTGTGCATTTCCTTTCGGCTTTGGCGAAATCGACTTGGCAGGCGCGTGCCAAGAGTGCATGCGAAGCTGGGCAGAAGTGCAGTCAGTCGCGGCGCTCGAGTCGGGTTCCAAATTTCTCGTCGGTGCGTCTGAACAGGCATGTGGCGGCCTTGCCCTTCTGCCACCGCCGCACTGTGCAGCGAGGCTGCCGGAGCTATTTCCAACGGAGGTTGTAGCGGCTGCTGTCCGGCTGTGCATCATCGGAATCGCGCCCCACCACGTTTCCCACGCAATCCGCTCACAGCCGTGTTCGTCTCACATCTCTGCATCTTCTTGACTCTTCATCACGACAGCATGCATGCACACGAATGAAAGTCCTGCTGGGAAATGCAATTGAGTGAGCGCTTGTTGCAACGGAACTTAGCGTGAGCCGCGCCCGCCGCCGCCGCCAGTGAGGATGAGCTTCTTCTTGACGCGCTTCGCTTTAGCTCCGGCCGTAGCAGCATCCGCTCCAGGTGCATCTGGCTTCGTCTCGCTGCCTGCCTGATCTGATATTGCGGCAGGGCGGTCTGCGTTGGTACCATCGCCAGGCACCACGCTGCTGCCGGCGGGCACTGGCGCCTTGGCGCTGCTCCTGCCATTGGGACCTTTGGTCTGCTTGTTCAGGCCACGGCTCTCCCGCACGGCGCCGGTCGGTCTACGACCTGACGAGGTGGACCCGAGAATATAGTCTTCCTCGAGCTCGTGCCATGCATCGTCCATCTGATCATCCCACAGACCCTGCGCATCCGACCCACGGCCCTGGATCGCATTCGCAAAGCTCGCCTTGGATGCAGGCGTGCCCCACACCGTCTTCTTGACCGGGGCCGTTGTGGCCTTGACCCTTCTGCTGGCCGCCTGTGCATCCCTGCGCTCGGCCTGGTCGTCCGACGAGATCGAGACGCGATCCATGCGCTGACGCGTCCCGCCGAGCGAGTCCGGAAAGTCTTCGGTCGCCTGCGCTCCAGGGTGGATCGGAAACTCGCGTTCCGCACCGAACAGCGCCGACTCACGGAAGCTCGGCGAGGTACCTGCGCCCCCGTCCTCGTGCGCACTGCCATGTCCACCTCCCTTGGCATGGTTGAAGCTGCGAGATAATCCGTCCGAGGGAAAGTTGGCCTCGCTCGTGAACGCAGCGAGTTGCTCCTGCTGCCTGCGGTATGCCGCCGCCGCTGCGGGTCCGCCCTGGTTCGAGATGAGTTCGGCCTGCTCGGCACGCGTCTTGGCGCGATCCTCCCGCCTCTCCTTGTCGCGGCGTCGATTGCGTCGCTGCCTCAGCGCTTGCTCGTACGGCCGCAGCGTCGCCTTGTCGATCCAATCCATGCCTTCCCAGTCAACCTCGATGAACACCACGTCGGCGGCCATGGGGATGTGGCTCAGATACTTGCATCGACGCCGCAGCTCCTCGTTCATGCTTCCTTCGTCCGCGCCAGACACCTTGACCGCGAGGTTGCGTGGAAGCTTCGAATACGCTCCGTAGTGCGCCAGCAGGATCTTGGTGTCGAGTGGGTGCAGGAAGATGCTCTGACCCGAAGCTGCCTGGAAGAACACGTACGACGACGTCTCCGGCACAGGCGGATTAACGTTCTTGCGTGTCTTGGGCTGGCGAGTTGAGCCAAACTTCGGCACTGCACCGTGGTTTGCGTCGTCCTCCGTGTGCGGAGTCGAAGTGCCCTCCGCCGACCGATGCGACATCATGCCACCTTGTGTCTGTGCCCGCAGCGCCAGAAATTCCTCAGCACCCAGAGCGGCCTCGGGAGTGCCGTCACGAGCTGCTGCGCCGTCATTCTTGGTGACGTGGCCGACTCTGGCGTCACCTTCTTCGTCCGTCTGCGAGCGCTCCATACGTTTGCGCTGCCGTCGGCTGAGGTCCGTGCGCTGAAGCTTGCCCGAAAGTGCTGCTTGGTGGTCTTGCAGATTGTTGCGCGCCTGTCCGATGGTGCTGCGCACAATGGGCAGGTCGAGCTCGTCGCGCACTTTTTGCATCTGGTCCTTGACCTTGGTCTGCGCGAGTGCCACAAAGTGCAGCCCACTCGCGTCGGTGCCAAAGCTCTTGAGCACGCCGATCTCCTCCTCGAGCTCGCGCAGGTCGCTGTCGAGCGACTCGATGAGCAGCTCGGGCGACGCTAGCATGAACTTGGCGAAACCGAACACGTCGGGCTGGAAGTGCCACGGCGCTGAATGCACCGCGATGAGCGGCTGATCAAGCTCAAGCGTAGGCCAAGTTGTCGACTGCGGCAGCGCAAGCGTGGTGACGTTGGGCCGCTCGATCAGACGCAGGGCGAGCATGTCCGGATGCGAGTGCGTCAGGTATGGCGAGCGCTCGCTCGAGATATCAGGTTCTGCCACCTCGGCTTGCTCTTCCGCCAGCTCGCTCAGATGACGCGCGCGTTCGAGGTCGAACTGCTCCTGCAATCTCGTCTCGTGCTCGCGCGCGGCCGCCTTTGCGTCCCACCATCGGACCGCCTTCAGATCGCGCGCGTACACGGCGTCCCAGCAGATCGGGCAGCGCCGCCATTTTTGTACCGGCGTGGGCACACCTGATGCTGTAGGCCTGGCTTGGTCGTCGTCCTTGATGTTGAGGTAGTGCAGGATGCATGGATAGCAGAAAACGTGTCCGCATTTGGTCATACGCGGTGCTGTGGGTGGCGAAAGGCAGATCGGGCACGCGGCTCCTTCGTGCGCCGGTTCGCGCGGCTGGTCCGAGACAGGAGCGGAGGTACCCACTCCCGTGAGTGCGGAGGAGGTAGGAATGACAACCTGGAGGATATCAGCCCAGTTGAGCGAGATGTCCGGGTCGGCAAAGTACGCGGTGTAGTCGCCGGTCGGCTTGACGAGGAAGCGGTACTGCGCATTGACGTAGCGTTCCTTGTTGAAGGGGGTGTAGTTGGCGCCGCGACGCGATCTACGAGCTGGCGCGGAGAGGGGCGGCCTACTGCGGGGTGGGAGGGTGAAGGAGAGAAGATGGTTCATGCTCTGGCCGCCGCGCCTCGCCTGCTTCGAGTCGACATGGTGCGATGTGGAGTTCGCATTGTCGGGCATGGATTTCGACGACGGACGCGCAGTGCTCATGGAGGTGCTGGAGAAGAGCAGATCTTGCAGATTAAAAGGCCAAGTATCGACGTAGCCTGACTGCGAGCGGTGCTGGTGGTCGAGAGACGCTGCGCGATGCGGCGGAGAGATGCGGAAGAGACCCGCGCACACAGGGCTACGCAGGCGAGGTCGTTGGATGGTTTGAACGCGTCAGCAGAGTCCCTGGAGCCGATGCCTCCTGCGCAAAATGATGTCCAAGGTATTGATGTGCTTTGGTGAGGTGAATGTGAGGAAAGCAATGTGAAGAGAAGGCGTCGCTATCACCTTTGCGTCGAGTCGGCACGTGCTGAGCAGGCTTGTGCTCGCTTCAAGCGTGCTGCTCGAGCTCACCCGCTTGCATACGGCGCGGAGCGGAACTCGGGTTCTGCTGTTCGTCGCGGTTTGACTGGCGCCGGAGCCAGTTTTTTCAGGTCCCGCCCCCGACTTACGCTCAGCAGCCCAGGCACTGTTCAGCGAGCGTGGAAAAAGCGTAATTTTGCAGGTCCGTGTGGAGGGTGTGCGCGAGATTAAACGATGTTAGAGTTGTCGACTACCGCGCCTGGATGTCGCTCTACGGCAGGCTGTCGGCAAGAGTGGATTGCCGGAAGGTGTTGCTGCCGCGCTGTTGGGCGTGCACGGACTGAGTCGAAGCTATGCCCGCTTTCCCCGCACCACACTGGAGTGCAAATCGTGTAGTGACAGCGTAATGGGTGTGGTGCTTCCCTTAGGTCAGTTACTACGACTCCTGCAAGAATGACCGACTTGGAGGCCGCTAGGGCCAAGCTGCAAGAGGTCGAGGTGATGTACTTCGACGTGTTTGGCACGGTGGTGGATTATGTCGCTACCGTGACACGGGCGTTGCGGCGAGAGATCGACGAGACACGCATGGCCGATGAGCACCTTCTGCGTGCGCTGCAGCACGACTACGACTGGCGACACTTTACGATCGCATGGCGATCCGAATACAAGCGCGAGACGCAGCGGCTGGCTGCACTTGGCAATCCCGACAAGGTGACAGTTGATCAGATGCACCTGGCAGCGCTCAACCGGCTGCTCTCCGACCTCCCCTTTGCCGACGGCTCCTCCGTCCCCGACACCATCCGCAAGTTCGGGGTCGAAGCTGCATCAAAGCACCTCGAGCAGGCCTGGACGGCTGACACACGAGCTCGACTCAACCACACATGGCACCTGCTTGATCCTTGGAAAGACTCGGTGCAGGGGCTCGAATCACTCGCAAAGTCCCACAAGATCGGCACACTCACCAATGGCAATCTCAACCTCATGGTGGACATGGCCAAACATGCAAGATTGCCTTGGCACTTTATCCTCTCTGCCGATCTGATTGGAAGCTTCAAGCCCGATCCGAAAATGTACTCGTCCGCAATGGCGCTGTTTGATATCGACCGCTCCAGCAATCCAGCCAGGGCCTGTATGGTCGCAGCACACGTAAGTCTCCACCTCATACATTGACATTTGTGATCACTCAGCTGACTGACTTGGAAACTGCTCCACGATACAGCTGTACGACCTTCAGGCCGCAAAGGAGTGCGGAATGACCACAATCTTCGTCTCTTCCAGACCCACCGAAGACTCACTCCCACCCGAAGGCAAGCCGAGCTACGTCGACATTGTCGTTGACGATCTTCTTGAACTCGCACGCCTCGCATCTCCCAACCCCATCTCATAGGTACACGCTCGCATCACGGTCTAGCATTCATTCATATGCGTTTGCATTTCAAAGGGCGATCTACACGCTAACCAAAGCTGGCCGCGTGCGCTCAGGGCTTGTATCCAGCCTCGGCAAGCACCTCCTTGATGCTGTTGAGCAGGTAGTCAATGTCGCCGCGCTGCTTGTCGACGACGGTGACACCCATGTGGCCGATGCGGAAGTACTCGTCCTTGACCTGCTTGTGCAGACCAGCAGCGACGACAATGTTCTTGGCGACAAGCTTGGGCAGCAAGTCGGTGGCCTTGACGCCCTGCGGGTATCGCACCGCCGTCATGCCGTGTGCGCCGTCCTTCTTGCCATCGGCAGCGAGCTGCTGCAGGCCGAGCTGCGAGACAAAGTCCTTGACGCGGTCCGAAGTAGCGACGTGCTGCTGGAAGCGCTCCTCGAGCGAGGGCGAGCCCTTGGTGATGGTGGTGAGCGACGCGTGCAGGGCGTAGATGAGGTTGGTAGGAGGCGTGGCAAAGTACGCGCCGGTGCCGGCCTCGTACGCCTTCATGACGGGAAGCCACCTGGACCACGAGGCAAAGTAGCTGTTGGGCGGCACCGTGCGCTTCTCAAACGCAGCGATGGCCTTCTTGCTGGCAGCAAGAACCATGAGGCCAGGCGGGCAGCCGAGACCCTTCTGCGTGGCGGTGAGCACGACGTCGATGCCCCACTCGTCCATGCGGATCTCCTCGCTGCCCACACTGCAAACGCCGTCGAGAACGAGGATGGTCTCGGGGCTGACGCGCTTGACGAGCTCGCCGAGGCCCTTGGCATCGCTCAGCACGCCGGTCGAGGTGTCGACGTGGGTGAAGGTGAGCACCTTGTACTTCTTCTTGGTGAGCGCGGCCTCGACCTCGTCAAGCGAGGGCTTGGAGCCGATGGGTGCCTTGATCTGGTCCACCTTGGCGCCGTACGTCTCGAGGCAGTCGGCGAAGCTGTCGCCAAAGTAGCCCGAGTTGAGAACGAGCGCATCCTCGCCAGGCTGCAGCACGTTGGCGGCGACGTGGTCCCAGCCGAGTGTGCCGGAGCCGGCGGTGAGGACCGGCTGAGCGTTGGGCGCAAAGAGCACCTCGCGGAGCATGCGGATGCAGTCGCCGAACACGGGAATGAAGTCGGGCGAGACGTGCGACATGGCCGGGTGCGCGTTGGCGAAGAGCACGTCATCGGCGACCTCGATGGGTCCCGGGATGACTAGCAGCTTGTGCGGGGCCTGCTTGAAGCTTTGCGTCGACATGTCTTTTGCTAGCGTGGAGGGGAGCCGGGGAGAGATGTGATGTGTGACTTGGTCGATTCGAGTGCGTGCGACTGCGACTCTGTTGTGGTGAGTAGCATCGGCGTTGGGTCGTGTGGACGTAGAAGGTCGCCGCGAGTTGGCGTCGTCGGTGTGTTCCATTGGCATGGGGCCAGAGAGGGATTGGCGACGAGCAGGCATGGTCGATCGTGCGAGCGGCGGGTTGCAGGGAGGTGCGGCCGGATGGTGGTGGTGAACAAGTTGTGGTGCGAGAGCAACGATGGTGAGAAGTACGATGCAGGAAGGACGGCAAGTGATGGCGAGAGGCGCGAACAAGAAGGGGCGCGGGACGAGGATCGACACCGAGGCAGAAGCGGGGTCGGTGCGGGATGAAGGCCGGCCCAAGTGGGACAGAGCGAGGCGAGCAATGCGGGGGAGTCAGACATGCGCCCACGCAACGGGAATGGCGCCATGCAGCATGTCGCGGATGTGTCAAAGCGAGAAGAAAGGCGCCGCGCCAAGGCAAGCAAGGTCCGTTCGCAAAGCATCGACCGAGCATGTCCGAAATCGACAGCAGTGGCGGCAGCAGCGGCAGGCTCGCAGGCAGGCGGAATTGGCCGACGCAGGCGCGTGAGCGGCGAAATGAGACCAAAATGCGTCGCGGGAGCGGGGAGATGCCGCGCGAAAATCCAGCCGAAATCAAGTCGCGGGGATACAAAGCGAGCGGTGAGAAGTTGGAAGCAGCAACAGACAGCAACAGCCGCAGGTGGGAGCGGGAAAAGCGTCGGGCCAAGCCGACCAGAAAGAAGCAATCATCAATGCAGCAGCAATCAATCGCCAGCAGCCAGCGGCCGACATCGAGAGCGTATCCGCGCCCGATTGAGATCAAGCGAGCAGGCCGATCCCGATGCAATCCATCGAGCGTCCAGCGTGCCGAGCGTAGTCAGTTGGTCGGTCGAGTTTCCGCCGGGTCCACGATCCAAATTCATACGGCCGCGAACGATGGTAGAGCATCGAGCAAACACCACGAGTTGTGAAGCAGAAGCGATCCAGCCGCGGCAACGGTCCAAGACGAGTGTCGAGATCGTCGCGAAGGGAAGGCGAGGACCAGGATGGCAGGCACATGCAACGGTTGATAGGTCGTGTCCGTATCCAACCGGGGACAGCCAAAGCAGGGAACGCGGTATCGCAGTTCCGAGGCGTCGAGCGTTGGCCGAAGCATACGAAAGCGATCCACAGTCGATTAAAGGGGCGAGCGGTCGTAGCAGGCGGTTGATCGAGAAGGTCGAGATTGAGCAGCGTAAAGGCAAGGGTAAGAGAAAGAGAGAACAAAGACGACGAGGGTCAGTGGCGCCATTCTCAGCGTGACGACGTGCGACAGAGCGCCGGCCAGCGGTCAGGTGCGAATCCTTACGTTTGATGAGATCGAGTGGCAATGCGATGCGTTGGTGATGGAGTGAGAGAAGGCAAGAAGGACAGCGAGGTTGCGATACGGCCCCAGCGGTTTGTGTGGAGAAGGAGTCCGGCACGGCGCCCGGTCCACCGCGTTCCAAGGCGCTTTCTCCACCTTTCAACAGCGGTCGGCTGGATCGGTTTTTCCTCGAAATCCGCAGGCCTTTGCGCCGGAGTAGACCGAGTACCTATTCAAATCGGGTTTCGATTGTTCGTCTCAGGCGCGATCGGGAGATACCATCCCGGCCACCTCTCTTCCTCTCTCTCCCTCCGCTACGAGAAAGCATCCAAGTATCGTTTTGGCTGTGTCAGTCACATCGTAGAAGGTCGGAATGCAGATAGGCAGCCCATTCGGTAGGCAGTTCAGCTTGTCCGGTCCATTTGCTTTGTCACGCATGGGTTAGAACTGCCTAGGCCTCAAGGCAGTGATACTGCATTGCGACTGCGTTGCGCAAAGAAGCCTTGTAACGCAGTCCTTAAGAAGTCCCAGTACCAGCACGGGCGCTCTCGTCACAGTCAAAGAAGCGCATTGATGAGCTACTTCGAGTGACAACATACAAGGGCAACAGTGAGTGAGAGGTTCAGAGGAGGGGGGTGGGGCGTAAGGCACCAACAAGTCAGTACGGTGGGGAAGGGCAGAAAGGATGGGTCGATATGGCGTAATGGCGGTGGAATCAAAACACAGAGAGAGTTGTGGTCAGTGATCTGCACAATAGACGTGAGCCAGAGCGACGTACTTACAAGTCTGCGATGGTGGCAGTGGTGGTCGTGATATCGAGCGGCAGGGGCCAGAGCTGGGTCAGTGAGCTGCGCGAAATGTGTCTGAGAAAGCAATACTTGCAAGCCTGGTGCTGCAGCAGTGGAGATTGCAGCGGTGTTAATGGGGCGATCCAATAGCGATGGCGATGGCGATGGCGATGGCGATGGCGATGGCGATGGCGATGGCGATGGCGATGGCGATGGCGATGGCGAAGGGTAGGTGAGGCCAGCAAAGTGCGCAACAGTGCGTACTGCGGGAACATACTTACAAACGGTGCGGTGGTGGGGTGTTGGTGGGAAAGACCGGTGCACGCCCGCTGCATCTCATCCATCCATGCATCCGCGACTCAGCCTCAACTCAGCCAACTGCATTGATGATGGCTTACAATGGTCTAGGTAGTTCTACTACCTTGCTTTACTCACTCAGCTGATCGAGGACGAAGAGTGGCGGAAGGATTGCAGTCGCCACCCTTGCTCACAGGCATCGAGGAGCGCTTTTGCGGGCCCGTCGAGGACCGTGGACTCGACTCGCGTAGCTGCGGCGGAGTGAGGCTCCTCGCGAGCTGGAGGCAGGCTCGCCTCGAGCTTCGACGAGCCCGCAGCAGCGTGCTGCTCCAGCGCGAGGCTCCTCGAAGCCTATGAGCATGGAGGCAGGCTATGTCCAAGTCTCCCGAGCTCTTCGGCTGAGGATGTCCATCAAGTCCCCCTCGGACGCCATCGACGCTAAGTAGGAGGGCAAGAAAGTCTTCAGCTCAGAGGACCAAGATCTACTCCTCTAGACCGGCAACGATCGCCCAGAGATCTACCAGAGCCGCATCGTCTTGCTCCAGCTGTTCAACACCGCTGTGGCGGAATCCACGCGAAAGTGTCCCATCTGTCAGACCGATCATTGAAGGCAGGGGCAGTCGAAGCGCGGGGACCATGTCATGACCTGCGTCAATCGATGGATCACCGATATCTTGCCTTGCGCGGTGACAAAGCCGCTGGAATCTTCAGCAAACGAGAAGATTCGATGCCCCTTCCTCACTCATCTGTCGATCACGCAAGGCGCTTCCGGAGACGAAAGTGGACACGGAAGAGGACTCCAAAATTGCTCTCGCTCGTCTGGCAACTCATGTGGTACGAGGCACAAAGAGGACGCTCTCCTGTCTGATCCGTCGCGATGACGGCACCTTCTGCCCTTTCCAGGTCCTCAAGCCTGATGAAGAAGCCGTCTATGTCTTTGAAGCTGGCGACGCTCAGCTTAGTCAATTTCACTTGGCGCAGACCTACGGCATTGTGTCAGACGACATGGCCAACATGGTGGCATTTTGCAACCGTCATCAGGAGTCGCTCGTAGGAGTCGCTCGTAGGAGTCGCTCGTAGGAGTCGCTCGTGGGAGTCGCTCGTAGGAGTCGCTCGTAGCAGTCGCACTGTGACGAAGACCTCAAGGACGGGGAGAGGATCGAGGATCATCACTGCCCATTCTGCTCCCACGACGAGAAGCTCAGAAGCTAGCATCGACTGCGACGGCATACCGAATGCGCTACAGCTGGACGACACGTGGTGGGCCAATGCATCATCACCAGCCACGCCACTGTGCGAGACTGTCCACTTCGCGATGTCGAGCCTCAAGCGAAAGATGTTCCCAATCATCTCATCGAGCAACACGGGCTTGAACAAGAGCGACCACATACCCAGGCCCAGGCTTCTCCGTCAGTGCCTGGGGCCTGCCCCTCGGGGGAGAGGGAGGGGGGGGGGAGGGGAGGGGGGGCAGGGGGGGGATTGCTCTCCGCCTCCGCCTTCCGACTTGAGGGCCGTTGGAGGAGAAGGTCTCGGGGGCCAGGGGCACGGGAGCGCAAGTTTGACGGAGAGGCGAGACGCGAAGTGCGAAGCGCGAAGCGACGTCGGCCAGAGAGCAGCTGCGTCCGGAAGGGAAACGTCGGAGTCGTTGGCATCGCTGACATTGTTCGAAAGACCAGGCCGAGGCCATGGTCTCTGATGGCGCTAGAGCTTGGCGGTTGTCCGGCTGACTTACGAAGATGGGTTACGATCACACGAGTATCACTATCTCATCCAACCATGGGTTACGATCTGAAGTCGCACCCTCACGAAGTGTCCAGGCGCCGTTACGTTTTGGTATGAAACAAGGGCTGAATCGCAGGCCAAGCCTTTGAGATGCAGTGTTTCCGCGCAAGGACGCAGCTCATGAATGTATCCTTCTTCCGAGAAGATGAAGGTGTATCACCATTCCGCAAACCTGATGAGCAGTCACACTTTCTCAGGCTGAACCGGCATGGAGGCCCGTAAAAAAATCCAAGACCAGAATTTGAGGGTCAAGTTACAGAACAACGCAGAAGAGCAGCGTGCCGTTGCGGGTGAGTTCTATTTCGCAATTTCCACGCTTCAGCCAGGCACAGCAGCAGGCAAAGAGCGCCAAAGCACGCGGCGGCCTACGATTGGCGTAGAGCGAGCGACGAGTGCGGCATGGAAGAACTGCATCCGTCCATTTGTGTGCTCCGACCGCACAACGCTCCCTCTGCACGGACGCGGCTCGGTGGGATTTCCCCACTTTGTGGATCTGATCCAACACCTCTCTTGCCTTCTGCCCTCCGTCACCTCGTCCATTCTGGTATCCCGGCCATTACAGTAAGCTCATCCTTCAGCGATCGGCACATCGACTCGCCTTGCGACTAGATCAGTCTTGGCTTACACCTCTTGCACCCATTTGCGTTGACACAGCCGACATGCGATTCTTCACTTTGGCCGCTTCTGCGCTGGTTGCGCTGGTGCCTGCCGCGCTCGTCGCCGCTCAGGCACACGACACGCCCGAGCTGGGCATCGTCACGACGTTCCCCAACAACCCGCACTCGATCGTCAAGAATGGCCAGGCGAACACGGTGGTGTTTTCGATCACCAACCCGCCCAAGGAGGACCGTCTGCTGACGCTCCAGTCGGTCACCGGTGCCTTCCTCAACCCCAAGAAGACCGACGGCCAGCGCGGCCGCGTGCTGCGCAACATGACCACCACCACGTTCAAGTCGCGCCCGCTCCGAACCGTCGGCGGCCGTCCCGTGCAGATCCCGTTTGACTTTGTGCCCGAGTTCAAGCCGCAGGAGCTCTCGGTGGAGTTCAGCCTGCTGGTCAACGACGAGCAGACGGGCAAGAAGCACCGCATCCCCGCCTACCGCGGCGCCGTCCAGGTCGTCGAGCCCCCCAAGAACTGGTTCGACCTCCAGCTGCTCTCCGTGTACGTCATCGCCGCTGCCACCATCGCCGGCATCGCCTACGTCGTCTACGCCACCTACATTAAGGCCGAGGACACCACCGCCACCGGCCCCAAGAAGTTCGAGAAGCCTGCTCCCGTTCAGCAGTCCGGCGTCCAGGACGAGTGGATCGTGAGTACCCAATTCTCCCTGTCGAGCGCTGCGAGATGCTGCCGCCCGTCCTACAGAAGCTTCCGTACCAACTCTGACGCATTTGCCCCTTTTGTCTCGACCGCAACAGCCCGAGCACCACCTCCGCGCACGCAAGGGTAAGGGCAAGTCGACCGGCGCTCTCAGCAGCGGCGACGACGAGCCTTCGACCCCCAAGCGACGAGGCAAGGGCCGCAAGTAGACCCTCTTCACGTGGACACCATCCTGATCGGCTTGATAACTACCGTCCGCTCGCCGCTTTGTCGAGCCAGTACACGTGCAATGCCTACCGACTGCTGGCTTTGTAACAATCAGCTGCCGCTTGTCGTCTGGGCTTTCGGCTGTCCCGCAATGTAAACATCAGACGCACGCAAGGATCTCTATGGTGCGCGGATCAAGACACGTTCCCCCTGCGCGATTCTGGAGACTGGCTGCTTCCTACGAGGCCGCACTTGCGCAAGTCTGAGCGGCCGAATTCGCATACGCTTCGCTTTCGATTCCACGAGCCGGAGCGTTCTCACAAGCGGCATCTGGCACTGGGACGCACAGTCTCGCTGTGCAAAGATGTTGTTGCATCTGATTTGGTGAGACTGCAGTGATGCGTGCCACGAAAGCAGATGTTTGCTGCGATGCATCAAGCTGGAGACACGCACATTGCAAGGAGACAGCTGAACATGTCCGGGATGATGGGTCAATCACGAATGGAAAGCGACTTCGAAACGCGCGGGGGATTCTTTCCGCGTCCGTGCAGACCAAAACGACATTTCGCCTCCACACGCCGCGCCAGCTCTGGCGTTTGGCGTTTTCGATCGGGAAGAGCTGCAGGTGCTGATCAATTGTGCAGCTCAGGGTCCAGCTCGTCCGTACTTTGACAGGCGGCGGGGTGCACCTCGCTGTCCTCGTGCGCCCGGTGCTGAGCGCCCAAGGCTCGGCTCTGCCTCGTGTGAGCTAAGCGTCGAGGATCTTGTCGTGCCCAACACAGGCTTTGCAAGAAACCACCATTGGACCTGACGTGCAAGATGGGCTCGATATCGGCGGACCGACCGCCGTACCTGACGCTGACCATCTCGCAGGCCCTCTCTCTTGAGCCGCCACCTGCACCGGAGCCGCGCCAGCATGAATCGGTCAACGCCATGCTGGACACGCGTGCCGAGCATATGCCGCACAAGCTCGCAGTCGGCTTCACCTCGCTCAAGGACAAAGATTGGCACTGCGAGTCGCTCACGTATGCACAGGTCCGTGCACTCGCCATCAAGACCGCGCACGACCTCCAGGCATCCCTACCGCCCAGATGCACAAATGCAAAGTCGCCGAATGGGACGCCGCTCGTGGCGGTCCTTGCGCCGTCCGGGCTCGATCTGTTCGCCCACATTGTGGCGCTGTGGCGGTTGGGGTACGGCGTACTATGCATTGCGCCAGGATCGCCCGCCGAGGCCATAGCGAACTTGCTGCGTCTCACAGAGACCACGGGGGTGCTGGCGCATGCGTCGCAGCTCACGCCTGCGCGGGCTGCTATCGATACCTTGGGGGATGAGCAGGCTCACGTGGTGGAGATGCTCCGTGCGTCGACCGACGGTTTAGACCAAGAGGACGGAAGGAGCTGGGAGACCACCGCGGGCGAGGACGTGTTGGTGACGATGCATACGAGCGGATCGTCCGGATTGCCCAAACCGATCTATCAGCTGAACCGGTTCTGGACCGCGTCGATGCTCACTGCCCCCGGGCGCGAGCTGTGTGCGTTTACCACCACGCCGCTCTTTCACGGCGGAATGTCGGACCTGCTGCGCTCGATCCAGGCAGGCTCGACGATCTTCTTTCATCCGACCGCCGATCCGGGCGCGCTGTCGACGGCTGCCATCTGCCGAGCCATCGACGCGTGTCCGCATCGCCCGGCGTACTTTCTCTCGGTGCCGTACATTCTCGACATGATGTTCACCGATGCAGCGGGCGAAGGCGCGGAGGCACTGGTGGGGATGCAGCTCGTGAGCACCGGTGGTGCGCCTCTGCCGCAGCAGCTGGGCGACCAGATGGTAGCAGCGGGGGTGCGGCTCGTCAGTCGGCTCGGCAGCTCCGAGTGCGGATTCCTCATGTCGTCTTGGCGCGACTTTGCGAGCGATAGCGAGTGGAACTCGCTGCGCATCCCCGATATCCTCGGCCAAAAAATGCTCCGCTTCGAGCCTCAAGACCCCTCCGCCAGCGGGGGGCTGTACGAGCTCATCGTCGATGCGGAATGGCCCACAAAGCTCGTGTCCAACCGGGAGGACGGAGGGTACGCGACGTCGGACCTGTATGCGCCGCACGACTCGCTGCCCAATACGTGGCGCTACGACTCGCGCTCGGACGACACGCTCGTCCTCGTGTCCGGCAAAAAAGCCACTGCACCCGTGGGCGAAACGCGGCTCAAAGCAGTACCTTTCGTATCGGAGGCGATCGTGTTTGGTGCCAACCGCGCCATCCTCGGTGCGCTCGTATTCGTCACCCCACAGGCAGCTGGCGAAGGCGCGTTCGATGACGCGGCGCAGATCGCGCTGCTGAGGCAGTTGCAGCCGGTGCTGGCGCAGATCAATGCCGCCTCGCCGCCACATGCGCAACTGGCGCTCGAGATGGTAAGGCTGCTCCCGCCGAGCGAGGCGGCCAGCATCCCGCGCGCGAGCAAGGGATCGCTCCAGCGCGGCCGTGCGTACGTGCACTTTGCACCGCTCATCGACCAAGTCTACGCGGACTTCGAGGAGGGCCGCTCGCTGCGTGTCCCACCCGCCGGCCAGACCGTTGGCGGCAAACAGGCGCTGGAGGGCGAAAAGCTGGTGGCGTGGCTCGTGGACACGGTGGAGCGGATCAATGGCACAAGGCTGGCGCAGGACGCGGATGTGTTTGTGGCGGGAGTCGACTCGATCCAGTCGGCGCGCATTCGTGCTGCGGTGCACCAGAATGTCGAGCTCGGCGATAAACTGCTGGGCCGTAACGCGGTGTATGAGCATCCGACACTGGCGCTGCTTGCACAACACATCAGCGACGTCCGCAACGGCAACGATGGAGACGCAACCACGCGCCAAAGCCGCGAGCTAGAGCTCATGCATCAACTCGTCGCCAAGTATTCGCGGTCAAAGCCCGCCTCCCTACGGCAAGAAGCTGGGGGCGTCGGCACACTGTTCATCCTGACGGGCGTGACAGGTGGATTGGGAGCGCAGCTTCTGGACCGCGTACTCTCGCAGTGCAGTGGCGAGGACCACACTGTCTGCCTCGTGCGCGCCTCGAACGACGCTACCGCCCGCGACCGTGTGCTTGCATCGCTCGATTCGCGATTCCTGAGCCAAGCTCGTGGGGTCGTCGAGACGGATCGGGTCGAATGTCTGGCTGCCGATCTATCGCGCCGCGGTTGCGGGCTTCGCGCGGGGTTGAGCCGGCAACACGGCCGCGTGGTGACGATCCACGCCGCCTGGTCGGTCAACTTTGTCGCGGGCCTGTCGAGCTTTGAGGCGGACAACATTGCGGGTGTAGCGCATCTGCTCGATCTGCACGACTCGCTCCCCTGCGCAGCAGCCGCTGATTCGGCGTTTGTATTTTGTTCCTCCGTTGCCTCCATCCTTGCCAACCCCGGCGATGGCGGGGGATTCGCGGAGAATGTTTCGCGCGAGGCAGGAGATGCGGTGGCAATGGGGTATGCACGCAGCAAGTGGGTTGCGGAGCAACTCATCGCGCGCCATCCGGGGACCGGAGGACAGTATGCAGCGGTGCGGATCGGACAGCTTTGTTCCGATACAGCTCATGGTGTGTGGAACCAGAGTGAAGCATGGCCGATCCTGATCCAGATCAGCCAGGCCGTCGGATGCTTTCCCGTCCTCAATGAGCGTCTGGACTGGATCCCTACGGACGTAGCCGCACAGACGGTGCTCGATATCGCCCTCTCCGCATCGGACAAGGTGTACAACGTCGCACAACCGACCACAGCTTCGCAGCACGATGCGGCAGGGTGGGACGAGCTGTACAAATGGCTCGCCGAGGATCTGCATCTCGAGCTCGTTCAGCCTCTGGCGTGGCTCGAGGCAGTGCGACGCTCCGACTGCGACTCGCGCGGACTGCTAGCGCTGTGGGAACGCAACTTCGCCCGCACTCCCGACGCCGACGCACCGCGTTTCGTGTGCGACAAGGCGCTGGCTCTCAGCAACGCCCTGCGCGCCTGGGGCCAAGACGGCGTAGACGCCCCTCTCATCCATAGAACCGTCCAGCACTGGCGCAGCATCGGCTTCCTCAAATGATCGTCCTCAATCAAATGTCTCGCTCACAAAAAAGTCGACGGTGGACTCGCGCATGGTGTGAAAGACTGCTTCAGATTCGCAGGGTGAAGCTAAGCAAGGTGAAGCGTTCCCCCACGCGACGTCGACGGTGCTCATGCAGTCGACGACGCCGCGCTGGAAGCGGGACCCGATTCGCCCGGTCCCGCGCGAGGAGCAGCGCCGCCCTGTGCCTGCGGACCGGCATGAGGGGGCTGACCGCCGAATTGCGGTGCGGCACCATAGGGCATGTTGGCGCCTGGCTGGCCGGGGTAGTACATGTGTGGCTGGGCGCCTGGTGGATGCGGCTGGCCCTTCATGTGCGGCGGTGGCGGCCTTGGTCCACCCGCGCCCGGGGGCGGCATGGGCATAAACTGCGCCTGGCCCGCGGGGGGCACGTTACCCATCTGTGGGCTGTACATGTTTTGCGGCGCGCCGTGCTGGTGCATGGGTGGCGAGAAGGGCATCTGCCCCATGAACTGCTGCGGCACGCCACCGTACGGCATGGGCGCGCCCTGCATGTTCGGCGCCATCTGCATGGGCTGCATCATGCCCGGCTGGCGGCCTTGCATGCCCTGCGCTGGCGGCTGGCCGCCAGGATACTGGTACGGCGCACCGGCATACGGCTGATACACCATTCCAAACGGCTGCTGCGGCGGTCCGGGTCCTTGCGTCGGCCCGGGTCCCGGCACAGGAGCCGGCACGGGACCCGGTCCGGCGGGTCCGGGACCGGGCTGCGACATCTGACCGGGATGCATGGGCTGTGGGACATGCTGCGGAGTCTGGCCGCCGGGGTGCATGCCCGGCTGCATCATTCCACCGGGACCCGCGACGTAGAGACCGGAACCATCGTCCATGAGCGCGCCAGGAGGAGCAACGACAAAGTGCTGGCGGTACGGCTTGCCGCTAAAGGCCCACATGGGACCGACCGCCTTGGCATCAGGCACCTTGCTCACCTTGAACGGGTTAAAGTCGTCGCGAATGTGCAGCGGCGTGTTGGACTTCTTGATGATGCGATTGCCGAAGAACGGGTTGGCAGGCGCGGCGGCCGACGTCGAGGCGGTCGGCGGCGTCGAGGTGAGCGAAGGACGAGCCGAAAGCGACGGCCCGGCAGCCGCGGCGGGTGCAGGGCTCGCAGCAGCTGCCGCATTCGAGGGCGGCGCAGCGGGTGTGAAGCTCGCTCCGCCGGGAGTGAAGGTGGCTGCATTCGGATTGAAGGGCTTGAAGGAGCTCGCCTTGGCGCTCAGCTTGAACGATGACGTGCTCATGGAGGACGGCATGCCGCCCTCTGGCTTGGCTGGCGCCTTGGCGGCGTCGTCGGCTTCGCCACCGGAGCCCGCAGCGGCAGCCGCCTGGCGTGCCTTGAACTTGTCAGGGTTGAACGGCGGGATCTTGGGGATGGTCATCTTCTGAAGCAGAGCTTTGCTCTCGGCGAGCTTGTGCGCGTCGCGGCTGGCCTCGGCGGATCCCGAGCCTCCGGTAGGGCTGACGACGTTAGACGAGGAAGCCTGCGCTGCTCGCGAGGTGGCCGAGGAGCGGCTGGCGTCGGCCTTGGCGGCAGCCACGGCGGCCGAGTGGGAAGGCGTGGGGCTGAGGCTCTTCTGCAGGCTCGGGTCGCGCGGCTTGTCCGAGGCGGCGTCGGGCTTGTCCTTCTGCACCATGTCGGCGACGTCCGACGGCATGGGCGTCTTGAGCTTGAACGAGCTCGCCCACGACTTGAGATCGGCGAGACGCGTGTCCTTCTCCTTCTTGGCGAGCGCTGCCTTCTTCTTTTCGAGGCGCTCGCGCTCTGAGCTGACGAACTGGCGGAAGTCGCCCATGAGCGGGTTGGCAGCGTCGATGGAGGCCTTTTTGCCTGCGGCGTCCTTGGACGTGGGCTCCTGAGGAATGCTGGGGCTCGGCACCTTGACGTTGACGGTTGGCAGGTTGGTGGCAAGGGGAGCTGGTGCTGCCGAGACCACGTCGGCGGGCGCGGCTGGAGCGGGAGGAGCAGCGCCGTTGGACTTTGCCGGAGCAGCGGCAGGGGGCGCAGCTGGCGAGGGCTTCTTGGCGGCGGCGGTGGCGGCGCCAGCGCCCGACTTGTTGCGAAGCGCAGGCGGGACGTAGGCGTTGGGGTTGCGGACGACGGCGCCGTACTTGTCCTCCTCGTTGACGCCCGAGTCGTCGGCATGACCCCTCTCTTCGGCCATGTGCGGATTGTTGGTGGCCTGGCCCATGATCTCGCGTGCGATGCGGTCTGCCTCGCGCTCGCGGTCGCGGAAGTCCTTGCCGGTGCGGTCGAGCTTTGTGGTGTAGAGGTTCTCCTCGTAGTTGGACTTGATGCCGAAGCGGGCCTCGTTGGCAGCGAACTGGTCCCAGGGCTTGTTGCTGTTGGAGTCCTCGAGGCCTCCTGCTCCGCTAGCTTTGGCATCGCTGGGGGAGGCCCATGCTGGGAGCTTGGAGCTGTGATCGTCGAGGTCGGCGAGGTCGGGGTCGTCGGACCACTTTTGGAGGGCTCTACCGCTTCCGAGCGGGTCGAAGGCCTTGGAGATCTCGGTGTCGGTGCGGAAGGCCTCCTTTTCGCGCGCCTCACGCATCTCCTTTGCCTGATCTTGCACGCGCACCTCGGCAGCTTGGATGCTCTCGAGGTCCTTTGCGTTGATGAGCAGAGACGACTTGAGAGCGCCGAGCTGAGGCTGTGCGTCCTTGGCGTCTGCGGGAGGGATCTGCTGGGCGGAGGCGAGGGCGACGCCGAGCTCGCCGCCTTCGGTGTTGGCAGCCGAGAAGATGCCAAAGTACTGGGAGCCGCCCTTGACGGTGACGGTGACGGGGTTGCCGATGAGCGTGACGAGGAGGAACATCATGCGGTCGTGCATGAGTTTCTGCGAGTCGCCCTGGGCGGAAGCGGGGGCCGAGGCAGTGGAGGCGGACGACTGCTGATTGGTGGTGGACTGGCTCGGCGGTGCTGCAGTGCGTTGGTTGGCGGCCTTGGCGCTGTTGTCAGGAGCGGGCCTCGCGCCTGGCACGTTTCGAGACTGAGCGTGGGGAGCAGAAGCACCAGTGTTGGCAGGGGGACCGTTACCCCACCTCGAAGGCTGCGGACCGCCAGCGGAGGCGCCACCTCGACTGGCAGCATTGGCGCCGCCGCGACCTCCAGCATGATTGTTGCCAGCTCCGCGGAATCCCGAGTTGGAAGCACCGCGCTGGGCGGATGCGCCGCGGGTGTTGCCGTTGGAAGCCATGACGAGCGGCTTGCTTGCAGAGGAGGATGAGTCGAAGAAGGGGAAGACCTGGTGCGTTCAGCGTCTCATCCGCGCCAACTTTGCGGACGGAGACTGGCTGGGGCGCAGGCCGGGCCGCTCTGGCGGACGTCCAAGCTCGTCAGCCAACCTGTAGCAAGGCAGGCGTGGCGTGGCGAGGATGAGAGGCGCGAGAAGCGCAGAAAGGACGGAGATGGAGGGGAAGGTGGCTAAGGCGGATGTGGAGCGAGGAGAAGGAAAAGAAAAGGATGCCGAGCCGCAATGGGCGCTGCTGGTCTTTCCAGACGCACTCGATGCAGCAGCACCAGCAGCCGCCTCTGAATCAAGGTCCGTCCCGTTGGCCCTTCGAGCGTTGGGGAGAGCCCGAAGAAAGCGAGGCGCGCCTGGAGAGTGCGGCGTGCGGTGGGCGGCGGCAGAGCAAACAAGCCTCGAGCCAGCCTCATGCCTCGATGGCACTCTCTGCGCCCGCACAGACACTTGGCTGCAAAGCGCAAGCACCAGACGACCCGACCACCGTTTTTTCCAGCCCACCTTTACCCCGATCTCAAAGGCAAATTCAAAAGGTTGAAATTTTGGAGACGCCTAAATTGTAGTGCCTCTTTCTCTTGAACGCTTCTCCTCCCGATCCCATTCACCCACTCACGCTTCTGCTCATTCTTTCCAGGCTCCTTGGGAAGGCCAGGCGGAGTGATGGTGTACATGAATTCTACAGCGATGCTTTTTGATGGCAGTCGAGTCCCCATAGCGTACATACACGGAGTCATGCTGATCAGAGCTCGGTGCGAACGTTGGATGACCCTTGCCAGCGGATCCAGTCGAGCCAGCCCGAGATCCTCGTGGCGTCTGAAGCGCCTGCGCCGCGCGCATCCGACCGCGACGGCCACCAACCTGCTTGCGACGTGGTGCTGCCAAACCCGAGCGTGCTGCCGATGGGCACCTTGAGCACGCGAGCGCAGATCCACACGGCTCCTCCGCCGCCGACGACGACGAGACCGATGTAGCCCCAAAACTGCCATCGGTTCGTGCTGAAGCTGAGCGCGTTGCGGTCGTTGCCCCCCTGCACGGCCCCCTTGGGATCGACGGCGATGGCACAGATGAGCCCATACAGATCGGCCACCTGTCCATCGCGGATGCTGATGTTGAGCGGTCCCGCTCCAAGCCCAGGGATCTTGAGCCCCAGCTTTCGGCAGTACGAGTCGGGCTGCACCTCGTGCCGTTGCTGCGCCAGATCCAGATCCGCCTTGGTCGCCACAAACAGCGACGGCATCGACTGCAGCAGCGGATACTGCTGGCGAAGATTCGAAATGTAGCTGAACGAGTTGGTGTCGCTCGAGTCGTACACGAATACAATCACGTCCGCCGCCGAAAGCTTGGCCGTATTGCGCAGCACCTCGGCCTCGTACCGCGATCCAAACTCCTGCAGCACCAGATAGCGCTCCGCACCCGCCTGCTCCACCGTGCTCACCACGCTCATCATCTTTTGCGTGGGCTCGTATGCGCTCTCGAAGCGCTTGCCCACCATGTTGCGCAGCATCGCCGTCTTGCCGCTCCCCGCCGCACCGAGCACAAAGCCCAGGAAGACGCTGCGCTGGATCGCACCCTTCTTCTTCTTGTCCGTCTTTCTTGGCCGCGTCAGCTTGAGCGCCGAGGTGGTGGAAGGTGGTGATGGTGCGTGGTTGCGCGAAGGCCGCGATCCCGGCGGCCCGGTAGGCGTGAGTGGTGTGGGCGAGGGCGCCGATGTGCTTGCCGACGAACCCGACAGCGGAAAAGACGGGTACCCGAGGTAGGCGAGGTAGGCGAGCGTGGTACGATGGTCGAGCAGTGTGGTCATGCTCCACTGCGCAAGCCAGCCCTGGAGCGTAACGGCGCCGTGCTCGTCGGTGATCGTGGACGCAGGGAAGCCGGTGCCCTGCCACGGGTGGCGGCTGTCGGGCGCGGTGATGAAGAGGCTGTCGAGCTCTTCCTCGCTGAGCGCGCCGTCGCGGTCCTTGTCGTGCACCTCAAAGATGTCGGTGAGGAACTGGTAGCCCAGCGGCGAGAGCTCCACCGAGCACTCTGGTGGCACCGCAAACGCAGGCTTGACAAACGAGTCCTCGAGTGTGAGATCGGCACCGTAGCCGAAAGTGCGCAGCACGGTCCATGTGGTCTCGAGACGCCCGCGCTGGATGAAGAGCGTGTGGAGGTAGAGGAAGCCGGCCATGGTGAGGCTGCCCTCGCGCAGATGCGGGTGGTGGGCGGGCGCGTCGCCGTTGATGCTCGAGCCGGAAGCGGCGACGCTGGCGTTTTCGTGGCTGTATCGCATGCCGGCGACGGGAGCGTGCATGACGAGGTCCTTGATGCCCTCGAGCTCCTGCGCCTGGAGCGGCGTGTCGAAGCACTTGCTCTGGAACTCGTTGAGCTCGGCGTCGCTCAGCAGACCGTCCTTGTCCGAGTCGCAGAGGCGGAAGATGCGTTTCAAGGCATCGACGCACGCCGGTTTCAGCACGTGCTCGCGGCTGTCGTAGAGCGGCGCTGTCGGGTAGAGCACGGCCTTTTGAGCAAAGTAGAACACTTCGCTGACGTTGAGCGGGATGCGTGCGGAGCACTCGACGCACGTCTCCACCTCCTTGAACTCGGCCATGACGGGCGCGAGCTCATCTTCGAGCGCGGCGTTGGTGACGTCGCCGGAGCGCAGATCGATCTTGTTGCCGACGAGGATGACGGGCACGTTGATGCCGAGCGATCGGATGTAGGGCAGCCAGTAGGTGGGGATGCGATCGAAGGACGAGGGTGCCGAGATCGAGTAGACGATGCAGATGACGTTGGCGCGACGCAGCTCTGATTCGAGGTTGGCGCGGTGTTCTTGGCTGGAGCTGGTATCGACGATCTTTGTTACGACGGCTTCCGGTGCGACCTCGGGCGGGAGCGTGATGGGTGGTACGACCTTCTGCACCTTGGCCACGTAGGCCTCTTTGACGAGCGAGGTGATCAGTGTGGACTTTCCTACATCTGGATCGCCGGCAAGGACGATGCGCACGTCCTTGCGCATCGTGACAGTATGCCTAGGGCCGCTGGCAGGCTCGCGGGGCGACTAGGCGCAGCTACGGACGACGAAGGGGCCGAAAGCTGGAGCGGAAGGAGGAGGCGCTTTGACCCGCACGGACGGATGTACAGGCAAAAAGAAGCGCGCTAGGGATGCCGACGAGCTGTTGGGTGGGCGCGACGGGCGCAAGCAGCGGCAGGGCGCGGCGATTGCCGAGTGTGGCGCGACAGACGAGTTTGGTCAGAAGCCGGAGCCGAAGAGGTGAGCCGGGCGGCACTGCGTGTGAAGGGGAGCGCTGCGACGATGACAGGGGCAGGTGTGTCCGGTGTGTTTGTTGGTGGCTGATATCGTTCGCTGACCAGAGTAGACGAGATGGGACAGCGAGGACGAGGTGGGAGAGAGGGTACGTTTGGTGTTCAGGTGTCGAGAGCGGCGTTGCCAGACATCTCGAAAGATACTTCACTCGAATGCGCCCTCGCAGAAGCGACTTTGGCTCAAGCTGGAGCTCAGAGACACACACACCTCACATTTTTTGGCTCGCCTCAGCCGCGTCGTCCGCCAAAAACCTCAAGCTCCAGCGCAGCCCTGCGATTTTTAATCCTGAAATGAAAAGAAAAAAAGGTCTCAATCCCCACAGCCACCAAGCTTTCCTATCTTACGAGCACCTTTGACCGCTGTCCTGCCCCAATTGAAGCCTTGCATAGCCTTGCATGCTTGATACAAGCGATCAAAAGAGCCAAGGCCGCACCCGGTTACCCTCCAATGCAAGCGCTAAGCCTGGAGCAGAGGAGCATTTGCCGCCGGCCTACTGCATTGCTAATCCGGACCTCTCCGATATGCGGAGTCCAACACCGGAATCTCCGCACTCTAACACTGACTTTCGCTCTTTTTGTTAGGACTCGCGACTCGACACTGTACCAGTTTCGCCGTGATCGAGCACTGCTGCCTCGTTGATTTTTCTCGCCGCCGCGGCAGTGACTGCGGGAAGAAGTGACAGGCACCGCTCATTTTTGGCTGAGTCGAGTCGAATCCACGCCTGCTCCTACGCTCTCTCTCCTTCACTCCCCATCCTTCCCCCCATCCCATCTTTCGGCATCGCGTCACTCGGCTTCGGATAAGGATGCGGCTCGGCTGAACGTCGCCTTGCTCCAGCTCTTTCCCAGGGCGGTCTTGCCATCGTCTCTGCACGATGCCTCCTCGAGCGACGGTCCGCGCATCATCATGCTCGGTCTTTTCCTAGTGAACGACTCGGCATGGTGTGCGTGCTCCGCCGCATGACGAGGAAACGCAAGCGAGATCTCGCGAGCTGGGCTTCGTCCCCCCGCGCTGCGTCCAGATCCCGCAGTCGAGTCGGCAGTCGAGCTCTTCGGCGCGATGCCTCTCTTGTTCAGGTACGTAGTTCTTGTCTTCGATCGCTCGTGCATACCGTCAACCAAGCAACGACCGAGCGACGACATTCGCGCAAGCATGAACGTGGCTTCCAGTCCAAAGGCCACCGTTACTCGCCGGCGCATCGGTCTTCGATGCGCCTTCAACTGGCCTGCCCTCGGGCGGGCCCATGCGAGTGGGAAGGTCCGCGTACTCCTCCTACCTTTTCGGCTCGTGCTGCCGAGGCCGCTCCTTGATCTCCGGAGGGACCGTGATGTTCCCGTGTCGTCCTCGCTTCGGTGAGGTCGCGGCCGGGCTCACCGCGGGCTTCTCTCCGTCACATCTGCTCTAGCTGGGCGAGTTGAAGCGTCAGCGCGCTGGCCGTCACGGGGGCTTTTGGCCCCGCATCGTGACACAAAGTGCCCACACCAGAAATGGATCTCTCGTCAAGCCTTGGCATGTCGTCGTCGTCACCACCCCCTCTGGGAACTCGTTGGCTTCTTTCCTGCGGTGCATACGGCGTCTGCGGGACGTATGACAAGGCCCCGTGCATCCTCATCTTGTCCACTTCTCCGCGGTCTACAGCGCTCGAGCTAGGCAATCCCACGACACCACCCTCCACCCAAATGTGGGCTCGGGCAAGGAAGAGGATACACGGTCTCGTAGGTCTGCTGTGCTGCGGAGAAGCATGCTGGGTGCATGCTTTGGGCACCTTGCAATCGCTCTAGTAGTGACGTCTTCGGGTGTTGCTACGATAGCGGTTGTAATGCGGTCATCTCTCGCGGGGGCTGTATGCGTTGTGGGTCGGAAAGTTGGCTTGCTAAGGGTGGGGATGACGATGCATGAACCGGGCGTAGAGAATGGAATCGGGCCGCCAAAGAAGATCAGGTTTAGATGTGCGTTAGTCCTCGCGGACGAGCGTACGTCACGGCTGCAGACTGCACCAGCTTTTGCTAGGTCGCATGTTCGGGGATAGGAGGATGCTCAACTTCGTCCTTTGGGGCGAGGTGAAGGCTTGAGTGCAATCGGTGGCGTCTCTCCCCACGTCTCAGCGGGGCGTGAGGGGAGCCAACTCGACGCGAGACTACTCTTGGACTGGAAGCCACCGCCATGTTTGTCGCTATGCATTGTCTGCTCAGCCCGAGCTATGGGAGAGTGTGCGCCTTGTAGCGTATGGAAGACAGGAACTCGGTCGTTGCCTGCTTACTGCAACGCTTTGCGTGGCGGTGGAGCGCACAATGTCGTCCTGATCCCATCAACTTTTCGTCGGCGCAAGTCCGCCTTTCTTCCCCACAAAGTTGGGGTTGGAAGGCTCGCGCTCACACGAAGACATTCTCCACACCCTCCTTCAAACTTCTACCCAACCCTCCATACCCACATCGATGAATGGCACACCATTGAATCCACGTCAGACACGTCAGACAAAAGGTACAAAACTGTGAACGGTCTGGGCAGATTGAGAGGCAGATTGAGAGAATGGAAAAAATGTGACACACATGATGCGAGCGATCAGGGAAAAAGGGAAGTGAGAAATGGAATAGCTGGAGCGGGATGACGTGCTCAGCTGCGGATGCGGATGCCCTTGTCCTGGACGACATTGTTGCCGAAGCGGCCTGCGCGACCGGAGCGGTCGAGGTGATCGAGGCCGAGCGCGTCGTCGGGCTGGAACTTGTGCTCGTACAGCAGGTCGTCGTCCTCGAGGTACGTCGGCTGCTTGTACGTCGACGACTGCACGAGCGCGAAGCGGTACTTTGCAAACTCCTTCTCCGGCACCTCGAGGCGCTCCTGCAGACGCCGCCTCGTCTCGCGGAACGGCTCGTTGCGCTTGACGACGAACCGGAACGGCACGCCGTGCGTGCGCACCAGCTCCTTGCTAAAGTGGAAGGCGTTGATCACCTTGTCGTCCTCGGTGAGGCTGAGCTCGTCCAGCGACACCTCCTCCGCAAACAGCTCCGCATTCTCGCCAATGTTGCCGATCATCTCGACGCCGTTGAACTCGCGCTGCTGGCGGCCGTTGAGCACCGCCTCGAAGAGCCGCACCTTCTGGCTGCCGTTGGGGTCGAGCTTGACCAGCTTGGCCAGGTGGTCCGTCACCTCGACGATCGTCGCCGTCTTGGGCAGCAGGAACGAGTGCACCGACTCCTCCTTGTTGTTGGCGCCCGTCCAGACGATCTTGAGGCTGCGCTTGGTCTCGAGCTCGATGATGCTCACGTCGAGCAGCTCGTAGTACAGCAGCGACGCCTGGCCCTGGATGTAGCTCGGCGAGACGATCTCGTTGACCGTCTGGTTGGCGGTGCGCTTGAGCACCGTCTTGGGCGTGCCGTTGGGCCCGTTGCCCGTGGTGAAGCGCAGCTTGAACGGGTCGTGCTTGAGACGCTCGCCCGCTTTGGCGGCCATCATGTCGTAGGTCATCTTCTTGCTCAGCGTCAGCTCGAACTCGGCCTTGTACTCGACGTCCTCGAAGCGCGGCTTGAAGAGCACCTTGATCTGGTTCTGCAAAAAGTCGTAGAACTGGATGGGATTCGAGTAGAGCGACTGCGACTCGTAGTCGTGCGCGTCCTTCTCCGAGAGCTCGATCTGGAAGCAGATCACATCGCCGTCCTGGATCTCGCTCTGGGCGAAGGTCGCCTTGGGCTTCATCTGCTCGATCATGCCCGGCTTGATCTCCTCAAACAGCTTGACCTGCGTGGTTGGCGGCCAGCGCATGAGCTCGTTGATGGTGGGTGCCAGGTCGCCCACCTTCATGTGTCGCTGGACGTAGACGCGCGACACGCCGAGCAGCGTCTGCCTCGAGGTGTCAAAGTACTTGAGGAAGATCATCATGGACGGATTCGCCTCGTTGTTGGGAATGTCGTTGTTGATGACCTCGAGGAAGAGGCGCAGGTCGTGCTGGCGCGACGCCATACGGTCGCGCACCGTCTCGAGCGTGAGGTTGGGGTCGTTCTCGGGCACCACGGTGTCCGGTCGCACCGTCTTGTTCTGGCGGTTGACGAGCACCCACATGCGGATGAGGTCCTCGGGCAGGTTGTACTGCGCAGCGATGCGCGACTTGAAGTTGAGGTAGAGCTCGTTCTTGAGCACGCGGAACGTAGGCAGGTCCGTCGCTGGCAAGTTGCGCTCCTCAAAAGTGGCGAGGTCGAAGCCCTGATGACCGCGGAAGGTGTCTTCGGTGATGAGCTTGACGGTGAGGTAGAGGTGCTGCTCCTCGCGCTCGCGCTTGCGCGCCTCCATCTGGAGACGCTCGTCCTCGAGGCGCTGGCGCAAGTGGACGGGCGTGTCTTCGGGAGCCATGGGCTTGAGCACCTCGTCAATGTCGCGCTCGCGCACGTAGACCAGCATGTAGGCGTTAGTGAAGCGCTTCATGGCCCGGACGGGCGCACGCGCGCCAATCTGGCCGGCGGGGTGGCCGTTGGGGATCTCGCCGCCGTAGTTGTCCTCGAGCACCTCCTTCTCGGTGACGGGCGTGACACGGTCGTCGTCAAACTTGAACCAGTTGCTGTCCTTCTCGGGCTTGAGGAGCGCAAAGTAGTGGCCGCCGTGGAGGTCGCCCGAGTGGACGAGGACGCCGTGGAGGCGGTACTTCCAGTCCTCGTTGCTGACGGGCGACTCCTTGTCGATGTAGTCGGCGAGGTCGATGTCGAGCGGGAACTCGTGTCGGTCGTTGATCTTGACCATCGAGTCCTTCTCAATGTCGTACTCGAAACGCTTGAGCTGGAGGTGGAGGACGGGCGGGAACTTTTCAAAGATGACGCCCTTCTTTGCGTCTTGGAGGCCGTAGCCCTCGGCGTGGTACTTGTTGTCGCCCTCGAGCATCTCGGTCTGGACATAGTCGCGGAAGGAGTCTGCGAGGTTGTTCATGCCCTTGACGTTGAGCTGGATGTCGTAGAAGTCTTCGGATCGCGAAGATTCGTAGTCGACGTTGACACACCTGAGGTAGGACTTCATCTTGCCGACAAACAGGCGAGTAATGGCGCCGTCGGCGGCGGTGCCCTTCATCTTGGTCTCGAGCTTCTCCTGGAGGACACGGTTGAACTCCTGGACGTCGTGCTGGAGGAAGCTGTCGAGCGACTTCCAGCCGAACGACTTTGTGAGCTCGTTGGTGCCTACGGGCTGATCCGAGGTTTGGAGGAGGTAGAAGACGCGTTGGAGCGCGAGGGCCACGCTCTCGGATGGCACGTCGCCCTCGGTGGGTATTTGGTAGACGGCCTTGCGGAAGTAGTGTGTGCAGAAGAGCGACTGGAGGAGCGAGTTCATGTAGCAGGTGGCGCCCTGATTTTTGAGGCCGACGTAGCCGGTTTCCTTCTTGCTGTCGTAGTTGATAAAGTTGTGCCAGAGGACGCCGGTGGGGTCCTTGAGGACGCGGACGTAGGCGGTGACGTCGGCGCAGTCGTTTTCGATGATGGGGCGGCTGCGACCGTCGGTGGGTACGGCGAGTTTGCGAAGCTCGTTGAAGCGGGTGAAGCCCCAATCCATCTCCTCTGCGGTGAAGCGGTGGTGGGCCTGGCTTGTGGAGAAGATGGTGGGATCGTGTGGATTTGAGATGACGAGGGCAAACTGTGCGCAGACGTGCCAGCCCTCAGGCGAGCCTTTGGGATCGGCGTAGTCGAGGTAGACCGAGACCATATCGTTGGGCTGGCCGTTGGAGTTGCCGAAGGGGAAGAGGAGGATTCGCCAGCGATGGCCGCCGCACTCGAACTCGGGGCCGGTGATGCGCTTATCGAGCGTGCGCCAACCCTTGATCTTCCAGGTGCATACGGCGAAGTCGGCCTCTTCCTGGCCGAGGTCGGCGAGGTGCTTCTCGGCGAAGGCCTTTGCATCGTGCACCGAGACGGGCTCTTCTACCTCCATGGGGCTGGCATTCTTGTCCGTGTCTGGGTTGACCAGGGCGGTGGTGGGGTCGAGATGCGGATCCATTTTGGCGGCTGTGTTGTGGGTGGAAGGAGGGTGCGGGGGTCGAGCTATCTATGTTATAGATTGCGGGTGCGGAAGCCTGGGAAGTGCAGGTGCAGGTGCTTGGCAATGTGAGTGAGGGTGACACAACCGGCAAGCTTGATGGTCCGTACAGCCACGACTACAGTCGAAAGAAGGTGAATGGAGCGGAGGCCTCTTTAGGACGACAGCCTTCTGGTCGGCCGGAGTTCGAGATATTGCCGAGCGGGTCGAGATCGAAGAAACAACCAGCGTGGCAGACGAGGTATATCTGCTGCTAGGAGATGAGGATGCTGCGGCCGGCTTTGTCGCGAGGGAGTGAGATGAGATGGCCAGGAGATCTCGATAAAGAGGTGGTGTATTCAGTCGAAGTGCGGATTGAGCGGGGCCGAGGTTGCCCGTGCGCGGCTCGAAAAAGAGACCCGGTGTGGTCGATCGCAAAAGAACGAGGACGGTGAGGATGGAGTGTCCCAGACGGTCGGCACGCGCAGCTTGTGCGAATCCGACTGAGCGTCCAAATTGAGAACGAGAGGGTCGTGAAGGAAAGGGATGTATGGAGGGCGACGACGACGACGACGGAAGACGAGATGGAGGGTGCGGAAGGCGGGGTGGAGCAAAGGCTGCGGATGTGCACTGCCGAATTGAATTTGAGAGGCCAAGGCGCAACGTAGCGCAACGGAGCTCAGCGCAGCACAGCACGACAGGGCAAAGCAGAACTGAGCTTGGGCAGAGGAGAGAGTGGATTTTGAAGCGTGAATTTCTGCTTTTGGCTGCTTGCGTGGACTCGAGCGACCCTGATGAGGCACCACAGCGCAGCGGGAAGAGAAGCGTGAGGGAAGCGCGGCGGTGCGATGAAAAAAACGGCCGGCTGAGGATTCGCACGGATGCTCGAGTCGAGACGTGGCTCTTCGCGAGCCTCTTTGGATGCTTGAGCTCGACGCTGCGCAAGCGCGAAAATCCAAATCAGGTCCAAAAAGAGGTGACTGAGCCTCAGGCCTCACCGCAGCTCGCAACTCGCAAGTCGATTCGGCAGCGCGGCGGTGGGTGCAGTGGCCGGGCCAGCAACTCTCGTCGAGGATTGCTCTCCTCGCCCAAAAGCATCAGACAGCGCCGTCAGACGTAGCAGGCTGCGCAAAGTTGAGAGCAGAGCAAACAGGTGTTGAGCGCGGACCGGCTTGGCCGAGGGAGAGAGCTGGATCTGCGGCAGTGGCTCTACCGCCAGCGGGCCGGAAGCAATGACGCGCCGCTCTCGTTGATCAGCGTGAAATCAGCGGCGCTTTACACGACACGCCTTGACCCCTTTCGCAGCCACTAGCGGGTTGCAGCGCGCTGTGGTCGCGATTTGACCCTGTTCCGACCCTGTCGACGAGCCTTGAGTCGCCGTACGGAGTTGGCTATTAGCTTCGATGCCGTCGAATGATCCGCACCCTGGGCAGGGGTGTCGTGCGACTCGTTGGTACTCATGAGCGGCATGCTGAAGCGGAAGCGGGGAGTGATCGCGCCCGCGCAGACGCTCGAGGAAATGAAGTCTTGATTAGGCTTGCGCTCTAACATTTTTGTCGCCGTTTCTTTCTCGCCTCGCTGCGGCTCCTCCTCGGAAGCAGCCGTGTTCGAATCGTCGGCTGTTCACCGTTCGTCAGGCTTGCAGTGTGCCCTGGGCGGTCCAGGCGAACCCACCAGCCGCGAAATCTGGTGTTGACGGCGAGTCCGGATGTGGTGGGCGCGGTCTGCTTTGCGACCACTTCAGAAGGTGGTCTCCGTTTCGTTTCGCCAGTCCGGACAGGGAAATTCGCGCTCGAAATGCTGCCATGAAATTCACCGCACCACCAGAGCGGATCGGCGATTTCCTCTCGACGGACAACGACGCTCGTTGCGCGCCGAACCCGCCCCCCCCCCCTTGCATAGAACACGCCGATACGAGTCGGCCCTCCTCGCCTCGACAGCCCCAGGCGCTCGGAACACGACACAGCGCTCGAGAGACGCTTCGGTGCCATGGTCCGCCCCGTCACACAAGCGAGGGCTGCTAGACAATGGGATCCGAGAGGGATCGACAGGGTGCAGCTCGTCAATGCCGGCACCGCCTCCACTCCGGATGCCCCTCCTCTCACTCTACTGCCAGACAGAACACAAGCACAGGGTCGTTCGAGCTTGAGTGGGCGACGGCGGAGGCTGACAGGGGTGGTTCGGAGCGGAGCGCGATAGTCTGAGGCCGAATGGACGCGAGCCCAGGCGTGCGAGCTGAAACGCCGGGCGAGCGCATGCCGGCTGCATTCTGAACGCAAGATGCAAAGCATGAAATCCATACACTGAATCGTGAATTGTTGGCAGTAGCGGGAGAGCCGAAATGCATCCGCGCTGTCGGTCGGCGGGGCCGTCGAGACGCACCGTAACTTAGTCCGAGCGTGTGCGTGGCGATGACGACGACCACAAAAGGTTGAGACCCATGCCACCGACGTGTTCGTGCAGCCGTAGCCAACCTCAGCTCAGACGATCCGACGCGACCACCTGCCAAAAAGATCCAAGACAGGGTCTCGGAGCAAGAGAGGCAGCTCGGACGCGTCTCAGCTCGGGACCCCGCGTGCGCAGGCACAACGGCAGAGGGCACGTCCTACTCGGCCTCGGCTTCAGCTGCATCGCAACGCCGGAGCGCATCACGTCCAACGTGGCCACACCTCCGCTCTCTCTCTCTCTCTCTCTCTCTCCACACTGACGACCATCTTGACTCTGCTCGTGTATAGCCGCCTGGACAGCGTTGCTGAGAATCGACGTAAGATTAATTGAGTCTCTTTCGCACGACATGGCCGAGCGCATGATGATCAGGGTTCCAGATTGCTCGTGGTGGCCAGCAAGATGGGTGTCGCAGGCTCGGTCGGCCGACTGCGGACGAGCTTGTGAGGTATGTGGTGGATGTACGCAGCGGGCTTGAATGTCAGCTTGCAGGCTGCACCGATGACGGCTCGGACTGCGTGGGAAACGACGGCTGCGAGCGCCTCGGTCGCCGCAGCGGAGCGCAAAGTGCAACCATTCTGACAGCTTGGCCGATGCAGCTCGCTCCACTGCCAAAACCCACGATGAAGCCTTGCAACTTGCAAGCCCATGTGCCAGAAAAAGCGCTTGCTCGTCTTGGCAGCGGCAGCAGGGCGTGCGAAGGGAAGCATCGGCATGGAGCCGAAGCGACAGAGGGAATTTTCGAGCGGGCCTCACGACGCAGCGTCTGCAGCTCGGCTCGGACGTCGCAATCGGTAGCGCCGCTTGGACTGGCTGCCTGCCTGCCAATTTGGGGAGAGGCGCCGCTCGGGAATGGAGAGCTGCGAGCGAGCTGGCGAACAGGCGCGTGCCTTGAGATACGTGCTTCCCGCGCTGAGTCCAACACATTTTTTGACTTTGACTTTTGATGGCTGCGGGTGTGCGTGCCTGTCTGCTGTCTGCGTGCTGCTCTCCTGGCTGGGGTGGTGCCTTGCGCCTCGGTTGAGCCGACAGGCGACTTGGGGAGTGATTGAAAAATGTAGGTATCGTAGGCGCACGGCATGCATGCCTCTCCGAAGACCAGCCAGCCAGCCAGGGAGCCGGCCATGCCATGCCACGCCATGCCACGCCATGCCACGCCATGCCATGAAGATGTGCGCTGCCTGCCTGTGGGATGCCTCGATGCGCAGCGGCGCATGACCCAACGAGCCAAAAGCAGTGCAAAAGGCAGCTCGGTCAGACGCTCGGAACGGCTGCATAGCGCTCTGCATCAAGCCCGAACCATCAAAGGCTCCGTCTCCCCTCTCCGTCTCTCTCTCGGTCTCGCTCCATCTTGCTCCTGCCGCTCCTGCAGCGCTCCGAGCCTCCCCTCCTCCTTTGGCCGCTCGCCCGCTCGCCATCGCCGCTACGACGCTCTCCTCCCTCGGCCGCCTCACTCGCCGCATCCTGCTCGTCGTCGATCTTTGCAGCTCGCCGAACCCCGCCACCTCTGCACCACTCGAGAGCGCCCTTCTAGCCTACGCTTTCCACGCTTTGTAGTCTCACCTGCTCCTCGCGTAACCCCAACCCTCCCCTCTGCTGCTCGCCGCGTCCAGAGAGCATCTCTTCGCGTCCCATCTGGTCTCGACGCCATCTTGGTTCTCCACCATCGTCCCTTCCCTCCTCTCTTCTCCATACCATCCATTCCACTCCTCTCTCTATCCCCTAAGCCCCCCCTCCCCCTTCCCAAGTATCCAACTCGTTCACGTTCTCTATTCAGCTCGACAAGCTCTTCGTCTCTCTCTTTCCAACCATCAACCACTTTCAGCTTTCGCTTTTCAAACATCGAATCAGCTGTTCTGGCTACATAGCAACTGTCTTTTCTCTCGGATCGTTCTTCTCTCACACTGGATCTCTAAACGCCTTCTCGCTCGCCCACCGCCCCGCTCTGGACATACAACCAACCTCGCCACGATGCCATCGTCACGCGCCGTCAAGATGGCGGCTGTTGCGCTGCCCGCCGCGCTTCTCGCCTCCACAGCCCTCGCCGCATCAGAGTCGTGCATCAGCCTCAAGGGCAGCTCCATGTGCCCATCCTTCCAGAACAACTTTGTGCGCCCGAGCAACCTCTCGTCCGAATTCGGCTTCTTCGAGACCGTCACAGATGTCGCTTCCTTTGACAGCCTCTTCCAGTACTACATGACCTCGTAAGTTGGGCCCCGCCAAGTCTCACACAGGCCACAACCACACAGGCTGACCTCTCCCCCTTCGCTACTGCAGGCAAAATGGCTACTACAACGACAAGATCCAGGACGGCCTCGGCTGCAACACGACGCTCGCCCAGAACGTCACGGTGCAGTGGCAGCAGACCGTCTTCTGCTCGCAGTTCTCCGAGGCGTCGTTCCAGTCCGGCTGCACCGCCGAGGTGCCTCCCACGCTCGTCTGCCAGGAGACGTGCAACCAGTTCGCCTCGTCCGAGGAGGACATTGTCGACAACACCGCCTACTGCCGCTCCACCAACGAGCTCAACTCGTTCCAGCGTAGCGTCCGACAAGACACGCTCTCCAACGACTACTACACCTGCACCGACTACAGCTCGCTCGCCACCACCAACGTCAACTCGTGCGCCACCGGCATCGAGAACGAAGGCAGCTGCGGCTTTGGCTACTCGATCGACCAGCTCTGCGCCTTCTGCGACCCCGCCGGAGGCCTCACGCCGCCCCCCTGCTGCACCGAGTCGCGCACCGATCTCTCCCAGTGCGCCCAGTGGGGTCACCCGCTCGCGGCTACCATCCGCCCCACCACCACCATTGCTACCAACGTGCCTGGCGCCGCTCAGTCCACCGCCGCCGCCGGCGCTTCCGCCTCGGCCAACTCGGCCACCGTCACCGGCGCGGCTGCCTCGGCCACCGCTACCAACGGTGGCAACACCGGCAACGGTAGCAACGGCGCCAACGGAGGCTCGTCGCGTGCCAGTGGTGCGGCTGCATCGTCCACCGCCGCCATGGGCGCTGCGGGTGCCAACATGGCAGGCGAGGGTCAGCAGCTCGTGAGTGCCAACGACCAGGTGTTCAGCAAGGCCGAGCTCGCCGGCATCATCGTGGGCTGCTGCGTAGGCGCGGCTCTGCTCGGTGCGCTGCTTGCGCTGCTCTGCTTCCGCAGGCGCGGCGATAAGGGCGACACGGAGAAGAACACCATCTACGGCGACGCTGCCAACGAGAGCCACGTCGAGCGCCCCTGGATCCAGAGCGAGGAGGCCATGCTCAAGTCGCCCGAGCTCGGCCGGCCCTCGACGGACGCCAAGTTCGCCAATGCCGCCGGCGTGGGTGCGCTCACGGGTGCTGCTGCCGTTGCGGCTGCCAAGGGGCGCGACTCGGCGGACGAGCGTCCGAACAGCGCCATGAGCGGCGAGACGGGCACCGACGGACGTGGCACCACCATCCCTGCGGTCAAGGACCAGTACTCGTCGCACGACATCTGCCCCGGCGAGACCGTCGTGGCCATCTACCCGTACAACGCCACGCTCAACGACGAGATCACGCTGCAGCCCGACGACGTCGTCACTGTGCAGAGGCTCTACGATGACGGCTGGGCGCTCGGCCGCACCGAGGCGGGCGGCGAGGGCGCGTTCCCGCTCGTCTGTGTCACCTCGACCAAGGGCGGCACCTCGGGCTCGGGCGAGAACCTCGGCGGCTCCACCAGCGGCGGCGTCACCAGCGCCAACGAGGGCGGCGTCACTTCGTCAGCCGACGGCGCCGTCACCGCCGAAGAAGGCGGATTCACCTCGGACGCGCACAGCCGTCACTAGACGCTGCTGTCCCACTTTCTCTTTCCCCTTGCGCGTACGATGGCTCTCCTCCTCATCCCGGGCGGAAGCTGTCGTGTGTGTGAGTGTGTCAGGTGATATTGCCTGATGCTCTTGTGTTCCCTCCCGGTATTTTGTCCCCTCCCAGTCTGTTCTGCCCAAAGCGCGAGCCCGCAGCCTTTTCCCCCTTCCCCCCCTTCCCCTCAACTCTATCGGTGGGCTCACGATCTTGCCATCCTTGGTGCAGGGGCGGTAGCCTGGTCTGGACCAGCACGCCCCCGTCTGCATGTGCAGGATGCAAGAATCGTTCCCGAGACCCCGACTTCCCCCCCCTAAGGCCGCACAGGGCTCGCTTTTTATCCGCTCTTGCTCGGAACAGGCTGGTTTGTTCTCTCTTTGCTTCCCGTGTCACGCTTTCCCTCCCCGACTTCCGCCCCCCCTTTCAAGCCGGCGCTGAGGTTCTTCTCAGCCTGGTGTCGAGTTCACAATGTAGCTACTACCCCCTCCGAGAATCCTCCCCCCCTTGGCGTTCCAACTGTCGTTTTTA